GTAGATAATTCACAGTAAATTAGGTATATTTATTAAGTACTAATGTATGTGACTATAATAAACTGTTTTCCAAGCTTATATGTTAAGTTTTGAAGGAATGAAAATTCAAATATTAAGAAAACATGAAAAACAGTGTATTTTCACTATAACTCAGTCAAATCTTGCTCAAATTTAATAATTAAAGTGTCTATTTGAAGCATATTTAAAAAACATGAATTTATGTCAAATAATCACTGAATTCTGTACAGAATTGAGTGAGAAATAGTTATTTTTTTGTTTTGTTTACTTTTGTGACAAAAAATGATGAATCATCAAGTGTGACAATACTTATGAAAAAGGCAGTAAAGATGTCCGCGAGTGTTTAGGGCAGGTCAAATGGCGTTTCGCAGCAAAAAGTCCATTGACGCGCGATCGTGCTCTCTCTTGCTCCTTGACCACATCCGCGCTCCGTCTCTTCAACATGTCTGGTTTCGACGCGAATAGAATCTTTAATGTCTCCGTGCATGATGCACCCCCTCCTCAAGATATCGATCGTCCAGCTGAAGTGGAGCGCATGCTCCTCGACTTTCTCCTGGAGTATCGTGTCGGCGGCGAGTTCATCTACCGGTACGACCTTTACTAGTAACCACGTCATGTAACTGATGATAGCCAACAGTGACAATCTCCGGACGAATCTTCTACTGAAGCAATATTTTCTCGAGGTTGACCTGCAACATGTAGGACTTTTCAATGAAGAGTTAGCTCATGCAATTCAAGAGAGACCGTCAGAAGTGATGCCGAGTGTACGTTCCTGTATCATCACGCTTGAGCACCGACTAACCTTGCCTACAGTTCGAATCCGCCGCAACAAGAGCAGCACAGAGTATCCTCTTCCCGCTTGCAAAGAGCAGTGGAAATCAGGCCGACTCGAGCATACCAGCTGTGCAAGTCACGATCAAGTCTGGACTCAACATGCTTCAATTCAGGGACCTGTCGGCGGATACACTCAATAAACTGGTCAGAATACCGGGAATCGTAATCTCTACTTCGGTACTCTCATCAAGAGCGACGAAGCTCCATCTCCAGTGTCGAGCGTGCCGATCGACAAAGGACATATCTCCTCCAAACGGACTTGGGGGTATCGGTGCGGGGTCGGACCGCGGCTTACCCAGGCAATGCGATGCCCAGCCAATGGGGAACCAGCCGAAAGACTGTCCCCTGGATCCCTATCTCATCGTTCATGGGAAGAGTACATTTTCAGACCATCAGACACTGAAGCTACAAGAAGCGCCTGACATGGTCCCAGTTGGAGAATTACCTAGACACATACTACTGTCAGCGGACCGCTATTTGACCGGAAAGGTTGTACCAGGATCTCGCGTAATCGCAACAGGCATTTATTCGACATATGAAGCAAAATCTGTGAGCCACTCTCCTGGCGCGCGTTTTGACCAACCTGACAGGTGACTATTGTAGAGAGGAAGTGGTGGAACTGCTGCCCTCCGTAATCCTTACATACGTGTTGTCCATCTCGAGCTGTCTTCCCCTTCCACTAGTTCGGGTGGATCAAACCCTTTCGGCGTGCAATTTACGCCGGAAGAAGAGGAAGAGTTCGGGCAGATGGCACGAAGTGAAAATTTCTACGAACGATTTGCCAAAAGTGTGGCACCTAGTATCTACGGAAGTCTAGGTGAAGTTGTTCAAGAATTTATTCCAAATTATAGGCCATTAATTCGAGGCCACACAGATATCAAGAAAGCGGTAGCATGTCTTCTCTTCGGTGGTTCAAAGAAGATTCTTCCCGACGGCATGCGTCTACGAGGCGATATCAATGTACTGCTGTTGGGAGATCCCGGTACGGCAAAGTCTCAATTGTTGAAATTCGTCGAAAAGGCTCGTGCAATAGTTTATACTAGTCTATCCTTAGTATACCAATAGTCTATTGTTTACTTTTTAGGTTGCGCCCATTGCTGTCTACACCTCTGGGAAAGGTTCTAGTGCAGCGGGTCTGACGGCCTCTGTGCAACGGGATCCAGTATCTGTATGTCCGTTCGTAGTCCCATTGATTACTCTGTCATTGACTCGACATAGCGCGAATTCTACCTTGAAGGTGGTGCTATGGTTCTTGCAGATACTGGTGTCGTCTGTATCGATGAATTTGATAAGATGCGGGATGAAGATCGGGTTGCCATCCATGAAGCCATGGAGCAGCAAACTATTTCAATCGCAAAAGCTGGAATCACAACTGTGCTTAACTCTAGGACCAGCGTTTTAGCTGCTGCCAATCCCGTCTGGGGCAGATATGATGAAGGGCGGAGTCCTGGCGAGGTATGTTGCCCTATGAATCTTTTAGGACTGGTCTAACGGACGAATCTAGAACATTGATTTCCAAACAACTATTTTGTCTCGTTTCGACATGATTTTCATCGTCAGAGATGAACACAATGAAGCACGCGATCGCGTTTGTTACCTCCGGTATTTCGAACATAATTGAATACTGACCAAAATCTAATCAGACAATCGCAAAGCATGTTATGAACATCCACATGAACAGACCAAGTGAACTTACCGGCGAGAACGGCGAAGCAGTGGGTGAGATAGACATCGATAAAATGAAGCGTTACATTGCCTATTGTAAAGCGTACGAGAATTCTCTGCCTCCTTTGCTGGACGCGTGCTGACGTACACTACAGGAAATGCGCTCCGAGGCTTTCGCCTGAAGCGCAGGAGATGCTGTCCAGTCATTTCGTTGCGCTAAGAAAACAGATTCAGCAAGTTGAGCAGGATAATGACGAGCGAAGTTCTATCCCAATCACTGTTCGGTGAGTCTTGCGGATTTCCGTTCTGGATTGGTTTTTGACCCAGTTTTTGCATATTGCATAGTCAATTGGAGGCTATCATCCGTATATCTGAGTCTCTCGCGAAGATGACGCTTTCTCCGACCGTCCTTCCATATCACGTCGAAGAAGCGATCCGTCTTTTCAAGTACTCGACAATGGACGCAGCCTCCGCAGGTTCTGTCGACGGCCTTTCTCGAGCCGAGCTAAACGAAGAAATGAGTCGCATCGAGAAAGAACTGCGACGTCGCCTACCTATCGGCTGGAGCACGAGCTATCAAAGTCTTGTAAAGGAATTCGTAACAAACCAAGGGCATTCCAGTCATGCCCTGGAACGAACACTCTTTGTTCTAGAGAAAAGGGAAGTTATTCGATTTTCAGGCCAGGTGAGTGTCTAAACGCAGAAATACTATGCGTCGAATTGCTCATGAGATTTTCCCGTATTATAGAAAAAGGTCGTGCATAGGTAAGCCATTATAACACAATTATAGGCAAGAATCACACTAATTGAATCTATTAGGATTGGAGTTTAATCTTCTGTCTCCTCTGTTGTTTACTTTCGCTTCGTGTTATCGACCTACCATACATACGTGCATTTGTGTAACCAGTTCCTGCATTGTAACAGTATATTCCTTGATGTATCAGCGAATGACATTTCTTCTCGGTTTGAGAGCAAGGCACCCAACTGCGACAGCAGATATATTTATCCTTGTGTTGTGATGCGACAGAGTCACTTTGAATGTAGTACAAGGTGTGCACATACACAATTTGTACCATGTCGTTTCCATCATGCTTTCCACTTGTTTTCCGTTAGCTGCTTCTTAGCCTGAATATTCTCGTTCTTGGTACATTTATGCAAAATTACTTTCATAATGTATTGTTTTCTCGTTACCATGTCCCCAAATAAAATACAGATAGACTCAAAAGAAAAAGAGTTTGATCAATGCCCGCCTAGCTCAATCGGATAGAGCGTCAGACTCTTATCGAGCAAATATCGTTAGGCGGAATCTGAAGGCTGCGAGTTCGACCCTCGCGGTGGGCTAGTGTGACTTTTTTTAACTGTTATCTTTGCTCTGTTTAGTCTTACTCCGACAATCATTTGAAATATGATTTCCTTTTGGCTTAAACTTTTGCATTGGACTTGCTTCAAAGTGTTGCCACTGCAAGAGCACTAGTGTCGAATCAATGCGAATAACGCAAACAGCATTGTAATGAACTGAATTCAGGAGTAGCAACCCCACTTCGGACTAAGATGACGACAAAGCACAATATATATTCAGGTAGATCAAGGAATAGAACATACTCTGACAAGTTCCACGGAACGCTCAATTGAAAGGGAAAGAGACTGGGATAGAAATAGGATATCTAACCAAGGAGAGACGTTATACGATAGGATGAGGATGAGAGGAAAGGTAAATATAAAGAACGGAGTTATACATCAGAATTAGTTGAGATGAAAAGCAATATTGATGGTTAAAACTGAAAGGGAGGACGTTGTTCACTAAGGGTAGCGGGAAACAAACCGTAAGAGATTCACACATTCGACAAGTTACGGTAGGACTACTATGAGACGACGATAAACGCACGTCTTCGTCAAGCCCGTCCGACTACGTTCGTCGCTGGGCCCAGCCTGGTGTCTGAGCGGTACGATACGTAGCACGAAGACGGAAACTCGGAATAGATTAACGACATAGATTGAGTTACGACGCGTCGGTCATTGTCGCTCAATACTACGACGAACGAAAGGGGAGACAAGCAACTACATAACCATCGTCAGAAGGTCAAGATTATCGTATTTCAACTCAATAACTCACGTGTATTCAAAGAGACTCGTCATTCAAACACTTTGCTTACTTGCCGTCGTGCTTGCATGCGCACTTCTTCGGGCCACTCTTGCCACATGCATCGCATCTGTGGAGACCCTCTTTCATACTGGCTACACCAATGCGCTGTTCGCCAGAACTTCCACTGTCGCTGCCACCATCATACATGGATCCACCTGTGGCACTCTCATCGCGATGAATGGAAACCAAGTGACGACCCAAGTCGTGCTTGCGCGAGAAAGAACGACCGCATCCTGCATGGTTGCAGGTGAACGGTTTAGGACGAAGCGGATCATGCGTTGCCATGTGCGTCTTGAGGTTGTAAGCCCTTGCGAAGGCTCGCGGGCACTGGTTGCATTGATATTTCTTGCGTGGGTCCTCAATCGACTCGTTCGGGTGATGATGCGCGCCGCTGATATGCGCTGGCATCTGCGACACAGGGTGCAGCCGAGGAACAGGGCGGTTGTCATGTCGTGAAATGCGAGGAAGCAACGACATAGCAAGTCCCGCGCCAACCGGACTTGGAGCACGTGCTTGAGGCGGTTGCACCTGAGACGCCTGGTTAATCGAGGACGGTGAGATAGCCGAACTGTAAGGCAACGATGGGTGATGTGAGGCGACTGGATAGTAATCGGACCGCGTGTCATAACCCGAGTAGACGGAACCGCTGCCGCGATTCGCAGGCGAGCGCGGATTGTATTCCTCCAGCGAAATGTTGCCTGAACCACTGCTTGCGGGCGAGTGCCTCGAGGCTTCATAAGAATAATCGGACAAAGTCTCAGCACCCAAGCCGGAGGCGGTGTTTCGAGCCGAAGCATAATCGCTCTGGGCGTTGATGGATGCACGTGCGAAATCCATGTCAAGGTCAAAGGGGAACGAGTAGTTCGACGGGGCTTGGTTGTACAGCGACTCTGAGTACGAAGACAGGGTTTCATACGCAGAGGCAGACTCCGAGCTGACGGTGATCGTCGAGGGCGGGCCGCACGTGGGAGTATCAGAGCGTAGGAAATTGAAGGCGTCTGGCTGGTCGACGATGAGCGACTGCAACTGCAGAGGGTCGAATCCCGCAAGCGACGAGTCTAGTTCAGACTCGAAGAGATCCGGATGCGGGGCAAGAATGTCAGAAGAGGTTGTGAACGAGAAGAAGTCCAGGTTGGTTGACGTCTGCGGCAATTGCTGCTGCTGATGTTGCTGGCCCTGCTGCGACTGCTTTGGATTGCTGCTCGTGAGCAGCTCTGGGGAAATAAACTGTTCCATTGTTGTGATATTTGAAGGAGGATGACTCGACAAGGGAAGGATGAGATGCGTCGGGGGGAGGAGGTGGGGGGAAGATCGCAGTATGAATGAGAGGAGCGTTGCGCAGCGCAGCCTTGTCACCTCCTAAATCACTCTCACGGCTCGCCCATTTTGCCGACCGCGTGACTCTGTCACAAATCTTATTTCCTATACAACCGACGTTTCGTCATCGCTGCGGCCTGATTATTCCTGATTCTTCGTTCTTTGTTTATCCTACTGCCCATCTTCATTGTTTTCACTGCTGTCGCCACCACACGCATGTGCTAGGTCTTTTTGCTTCTTTCTTTCGTGAAGATGGAGGAAATGCTTCGCGTAATGTTGCAACGTCAGCACTCCAGACGCCATCGGAAAACTACCCGATGGGCGATGCACTGCCCGGCTCAATGTGTTGTGCCTGCGACATAAAAGGAAAGACAGACCTTCGCCAGACAACAGTCGCAAGTATGGCTGTGGTTATTCTGCCTATTCTTTTATCAAGCGCATCACCTATTTTTGTTCGTTACCAGCTACTTAGCCATAGCGGCCATATCCGAATTACCCTTTTGAAATTTATTTTGGATATTTTCCTCTGGGGCAGGCATCTCTTCCTACCCTGTTCCATCATAATAAGACCTTTTCAGGTCGATTGCTTTCTTTGGCCATTTCTTCCAGACTAATCGTCTTTCTACATTGAAATAATGCTTGCCAAATTCCTAGAATCAATCAAGACCCTATGCTAGTACGTCAAACTGAATAGACAATCTTCTCTTCTTGCAGATTTCAGAACGAATTACAAGGTACAATAAAAGGCGCTTCTTGTTACAATGTTAATATATGCTCGATCTTCGTGAGGCAGTGTGTACCTGTGGCAATATCAACACCCTGGATATCCAAACGGCTTTATGAAAAGTAAAGCTGCTTTAGTCTCTAAGCCATGCTGTTCATTGTGTATATGGTTCAATGCTTTTCTCATTCTAAATTCTAATGCTTGAATATAGACACGTTACCCGACATCATAATTTCAAAATACTTGTACAATTCCATCTTCTCTGAACTTTGCGAATTGATTCAAGTGATCCGTCCGTATTGAACGTACTTTCTCCACGTTTAACCACGTATGAACACGTTGATATTGTACCTTTCACTGAGTCAGATCTTCAAACGTTGTATAAAGAGTCTTACTAATAATTACAAACGCTAATGTTGCGGAGCACTTTACCTTGATGTTAGGTTGAGTTGAGCTGCTCACGAGGGATGTGCCAAGTGACAACCGGGCCGGATAGATGTTGGCCTCCCAAAAGAATCATCACAGAAGCCTTGCAGTGAGTCAATAGGACCACAGTTTCCTTTTTATAATGAGTCATTATCATCTTTTTCCTGTCTAGAGAGCATTTGAGTATTCCCTTTTTTATGCAGTGCAATGGTCAGTTTTACCACATGATGATCGATGTGTCGTATAAGACCCAAAAAGGAAATAAATCAGCATCACGAAGTGTTGATGCCACTACCGTCGCATCCCACTAAAATCACTACAAAATCACACATAACTGACTGTCAACGATGATTCGATGTTATGTCTTTCCGATTTTACCACTAGTTCACAGGTGTTCCTCGAAGGTATCAACATGGTCACGGTGACCCTTTTTTGACTCTGCGCAGCAAGAGTGATGTCGGTTCATCAAGACCCACGAGGCGCAATTTCTTACCACTCGGGAATCTGATCACCGACGCCCAGTCGGCAATCGCGGCATAGCGCTATGTTTCCTTTCCGGAACAACTGACCGACTTGTACAATCAACTCCGCAGGCAGATTCTTTATGGCTCCGAAGACTGCGCAGCGGTTCGTTGTTCAATGCACCATGTGGTACGCACACCCGGAACACCTCAAGCATGGTCTATTTCGGAAGCGTGACGGTGGGCGCGACGCCAGCTTGTGCGACAAACAAGCCTAACAAGGTCTGCTCCGGCGACTGCGCGTTCAGGTTCATCCCTCATTTATTACAAATCCCAACAAAGCGCAGCTCGCCCTTGCGTTCTATCTGGCGCTTCCGAACGTGCCAAGCCACCAAATTCCCTCCCGCTCCGTCGCGAATTTGAATTACGGATATCTCGGACCTAGATGCTAAACAACCCTGATTTCCCGACGTTTACGACTGCAACAATTGCCTCGTCTGTCTAGTCTATTATCATAATACTAGTAGGCACGCTGCGATCACACAGGCAAACTGTGCTCCGCAGATGCAAATCCCCAGAGTGCGTCAGACCTTTAGTGCGCAGCCGTTATTGCAGGGTCCAAATGCTCGATTGCAGCAATCGCAGCACTCTCTTGCGTCAGATCCAACCATTCGACGTTTAGTGGCGTTGATCAATCGAGTGACTATCTTCAAACGGAGTGTTCCTGAAACTTTGACAAGAGATATCCTGTCTGTACTATCTAGCTGCGGAACAAATTGTGGCATGGTATCGAATAATGTGTAGAGCTGGGCCAACTTTCGTCGAACCGCAGCTCCAAGACTGTTTGAACGTGAACAATCCAACTGTGGCGTTTTGTGCCCTTCGAGTGGTTCATCCGGATCTTTTCCATGGCTCGTAACTGCTGGTTCTAACTGCTTCCGGCTGATACTTGATGACCTCATGACATTGACAAGACTCAAAGGAAGATACTAGTATTCTGGCTCACTCCGCGGATGACGTTGAATTTTGCTAACGCACACTCTCACTATTCACCGTCTGAGAAACTGCGGCCCTTCTATGGCGTTCATGTCAATGTCATTCACGTGTTCCGATACCCTCATTACATGGTTCCCTTCTCCGAACGCAAAGTATCATACCCTTAAGGATCAACTGCGGACTACTTTGTTAGCAGGTCTTTCCCCAGACCGAACGTTTAGCGAGTCACGCTTCAAATGTCCCAATGATCGTATCGACTCCATCTATATCATTGTCAATTTCACAAATCTCTTCACTCTACTGCGCTCCGCAGGAGTTTCAAGACAAAAACGAAGCAAGAGAACGCTGCGGAGACTCTGACCATATGCTCAACAAGGAAGCTCTTCCCCGTTGCACATCTCGTATTTTCATCGATCAATCGAGCATTATGGGAAAGTAACGCGCTGTTGACATACTTTCTTACACGCGCAGCCACTCGAGCGCTCGTCACCGGGATCACCGAACCCAGCGCAATCAATTTCCTAGCAGCTCAACTGGCATCCACCACGCAAAGCAGAAAATAGAGCATAATTAACGCGTCACTCGTCGCGCAGCCAGACCACATCCAGTCCTGCAACCTGGTCCGCAGCTCCTTCACGTGCTTCTCTAAATCTCGAATATCTAACGGATAACTTATTCATGGATTTCTTCACATTTTTAACCCGTATACAGATTACAGAATGACTGACCGCAGCAAACAAGGTCCCATAGATCTACAGGTAGTTCAAGCTCTTGTGTTTCCTTATGTGGTAGTAATATCTACATTCATCTATCCCTCCTTTGAAGGTATACGACTTTACTGGACAAACTGATTTCCTGCACAATAAACGTCTCTCAGACTATGAATAATAGAAGCTATTGGTGCTATTTTCGTTTATCTGACGGATTGGTCTTGCACTACACAGAGTTCCCTCATATATCATGTTCCATTACATTTCACGCTTCAGATTTTGGCATACAATGTACACGTACACATACAGAAATTCATAATGACTAGTAGTAACACCGTTTCTTTCGCGACGACCCATACAATTAGAAAGCTACCTTGCTTGCTAGACCCGCAGTCTCACGCTCGAAGCACTTATGTTGGCTAACTTGATACGCGAACGAGCCCAAGAAATCAGTTGCATCCTTCAAAATCTTGAAGCCCTCCGAGATGGAAGAGGGAGCAGTAAGCTTCGGTGCTGTTACGACGCCAAAGTTGACGGTCACAGAGTCGCCCGACTGTACGGCGAACTGTATTCCTGGAAGACGAACAGCGTCACGAAGGAAGTCAACGGCTAATGATAAATAAGTAAATAAGTAAGTGCATCACATATATTTATAAACTATTCCTACCTTCTCCAACTGCTCCAATTGTCTTCAGATGACCAAATGCCTCAAGTACCCAGTGTATCGCGCGACCATTGCTTGCCAAGGTCTTGACGGATTCAGCGCCTCCAGGAATAAACAGCGCGTCGAACATAGTCGAGCGCTGGCCCTCAAAGTGGTGGTCTGCTACGACTCCCTGCCCTTTACCAAATGCTTGTCCTTCAGGATAGATTTCACCCCTACGAGGAGCGATAAGGAATGGCAGGGCGCCAGCAGCGCTAAGTGCCGCTTTCATCGCGTCAACTACTGCTAGATCAAAACCGTCCGCAACCAGAATTGCAATACGGCGCGATTTAATGGTCGGCGTTGACGGCATAAATTCGAATTGCGACAACCGCGGGGCCCTACGGCCGTGATTCTGACGACCTGGCTTGTCTGGGAGAGGACCACCCACATTAATTGCGACCTGCTTCGCGAGCTCACTGTCGATGTCATTCAGGCGGAGAATTGCAGTCTTGTAGACGGTTGGATCGTCACAATGGTCGAGTTCAAAAGAAATGGCGCTTATTAGGTGCGTCTTCTCGACTTCGGAAAGAGAATTGTAGAAAAGTTGTGCCTGATTCCAATGTTCATCGAACTTGGCACCACGAGCACGCATCTTCACCCCGACTACCTTCTGTGGGTGCCTACAATTTGTGCTATTCAGTGATCGGGAATTATGAAATTTCCTTGAACTTACTCCTTAAAGCCACCCTTCGCTTCTGGTACTGGTGGGACTACCTCGAAACGGTTCGGCCAGTAATTAACCTGACCTTTCGTGATGCGGTGTCTCATTCCACCATCTCTATTGAAATTCATGACAGGACAGACTGGACGATTAATTGGAAGCTGCAGATACCAATTAGATCTCTAGAAATGAAAGCGGCGAAAATCCATGATTGATCCATACCTCTTCCCAGTTGATACCAAGACGCGAAATTTGCGTATCAAAGTACGAAAAGTTTCGTCCCTGCAAGAGCGGGTCGTTGCTAAAGCCAATGCCGGGTACGACATGGCTCGTACAAAATGCAACCTGCTCAGTCTGCGGGAAGTATTCATCAACAGTACGGTCAAGCACCATTTCGCCAATTGGTTGCACAGGCACGAGATCTTCTGGCCAGATCTTCGTCGCATCCAAGATATCAAAATCGAAAGTATCTTCGTCCGCCTCCGGAATTATCTGCAACCCAAGCGTCCATGTTGGAGGAGCGCCATTCTCTATTGCTTCATTGAGATCTTTCCGGTGGAAGTCTGAACAGAACATCATTAGAGGCACTGATTTTCAATCCAAACAAAACTTGCCAGGATCTTGACCACACAATTTGAGGGCTTCGTCCCAAGTAAAGCTATGAACGCCGAGCTCGGGAATCCAATGGAACTTCACGAAGAAGTTCTCTCCGGCGGCATTGGTCAAAGTGAACGTATTGACACCAAATCCTTGCATCATGCGGTAGGAACGAGGAATACCTCGGTCAGACATTGCCCACATGACCATGTGAGACGCTGAAATGCACTTGTCAGGCAAGGGGAATATGAGACAAGGGAGCATTCTTACTCTCAGGCTGTAGGTTGAAAAAATCCCAGAAATTATTATGTGCTGTCTGACCTGTAGGTACTTCATTATGCGGCTCTGGCTTAACGGCATGAACAAAGTCGGGGAACTTTATCGCGTCCTGGATGAAGAATACAGGAATATCGTTCCCGACAAGGTCCCAATTACCCTCCTGAGTATAGAATTTTGTGGCGAAGCCTCGAACGTCACGAACAGTGTCCTAAGCAATAGTGAGTTCTCTGTTTCGGGATAGTGCCAAACCTCGTACTGCACTACCACGAGGGCCTTGAACCGTACTAAAGCGCACGAAGACAGGAGTTGCACGAGAGGCATCCGTCAAAACGCCAGCCTTGGTAAACTTGCTCGCACGGTCGTCAAAGACCTTGAAGTGACCAAATGCTCCAGCACCGCGCGCATGAACAACGCGCTCTGGGATGCGCTCGTGGTCAAAACGGTGAATCTTCTCGCGAGCAATTTGGTCTTCGAGGAGAGACGGGCCGGCTTTAGTGCCGTCAGTGGCCTTGAGCCAATTGTCGGTGTCTGGGTAAGGCACCCCAAAGTCTGTGGTCAGACCTGGTTCATGGTGCTGGACATCAACGGTGTTCTTTTGGAGATCGTCAATTTTTGCATTAGTAGACATTCCTGGAATGGCAGACTTGAGAGTAGATGTGATAGACGACATTGAGGCAGAGTTGTGAGTGGCAAAACGGAGTGGACAGCTGGTATTTGAATCAATGAACGAATGCAGATACGACGTAGCCCATGACCTCATTCCGATGGGCGGACAGAAAGCTAAAGAGCGTCACTGTATGTATGCGGCGCCCCATGCCATCACCGAATCACGATTGAGTAGCCATTGAGCTCAGTTAAGAAACAGTCATGCCAAATCATCCTACACCTCCTGCGTCCGCTATGACTTAAGCCCGACAAACGTTCTTGCCTGTATTGTCGGGGGATGTGCGTTCCCATGTTCTCAATTAGAGTGATTCGATGCTTAGCTACAGCGGCGAAGTCACTGCCTGAGGTCATTAACGGATCACTGTTGACCCGCTATGCAAAAGAAAGGCAAATAAAACGGATTAGCCGAGACGCGTCTTGTCAGGTGACTCAGATCGCGTCGCGCTCCGAATCTGGTTGTGTTACGCTGGTTATTTCGGCGAAACAGCACTACAGTTCGGCACGTGCTTGGCCACAACAAGTACATTTAAATACAACTCGATTCTTCTCTCACCCTTTCATTTTAAACCACCATCTTCTCAAGTTCTCAACTCAAGTCTAATACTACTTCATCCGACACCATAGTTAATCATGGCCCGTACTAAACAGACAGCTCGCAAGTCTACTGGTGGTATGTTCCTTCTTCTGGTCTATCCTACTGCTGCTCTGTGCTCACCGTCTGACCAGGTAAGGCACCGCGCAAGCAGCTCGCCGCCAAGTCCGCCGCTCGTAAGACCGCCGCTGTGAGTAGCACTCGCTCGCTCTGCCTTAGTCCTTTGATACTCATTTTGTTCTGTCCAGGCTACAACTGGTGGTGTCAAGAAGCCACATCGCTTTAGGCCTGGTACTGTCGCACTCCGAGAGATTCGTCGCTACCAGAAGTCGACCGAGCTCCTTATCCGCAAGCTTCCTTTCCAGCGCCTTGTCCGTGAGATTGCCCAAGATTTCAAGGTAAGCCACATTATCCCCATACCCATCGAACACTACTCACAATCATCTTGTAGACCGACCTCCGCTTCCAGTCTTCCGCCGTCATGGCTTTGCAGGAGGCAGCTGAGGCGTACCTAGTTTCGCTCTTCGAAGACACGAACCTGGCGGCTATTCACGCCAAGCGTGTCACGATTCAGCCCAAAGACCTTGCTCTCGCCCGCCGTCTCCGTGGCGAGCGCACCTAAAATGTTGATTACTGTATTTCTAGCATGGGCGTGTACTGTTAGCTAGCGTCTGCTTATCTATTACTGTTATCAAATCAATTATTTGCTGCCTGAAATAGATAGTTATGTTAATCACGTGCGGAGATGATCGGCATGATCGACAATTACAGTTCTTTTGCTCTTGGTCATTGACTGTGACTCGCGATGCATCCAGTTCAGGTCTATCCATTTCATCGCGGTAGTGGTCGGCTGTTGACTTTTCTTCGTCCATGTCTTCATCAATCGTATTCGAGAATGCGTCCTCGCGCACGGCCCAAGGTCGTGCAGGTGTCCTATGGAAGCCGGGGTCGCGCGTTTTCTACAACGCCGACGCCGTTTGCTACTCATCGTGACACACCCCCATCTTCACTCCTTTCACAGACGCTTGATCAGCGCCAGCAAGCCGCTCGCGATGCTCAGACGGATACGGCAGGACCTTTCATGCTTGGAACGATTCAACGCACTGGACCGAAGCAAAAGAAGTGGGGTGAGCTGTCGACGAAGGGAAAGGGTATGTACTTATGCAATACTTGTTCTCGCTTTCCCTCACTGCTTTTGATCTCGATATTCCGAATAGCGATTCGTTCAACGCAGAACACAACAAACTTTACGGTCATAGCTCTCGGTGCAGGGTTTACCGCCATGCTCGCTTATGCTTTACTTTCCGAACTCTTCGCGCGAAACTCTCCCACCGTAAAATTCAACGAAGCTAGCAAACTCATCAAGGAGTCTGAAGCAGCTCGTGTACATCTCCCAGGAAAGCTCATATTCCATAACAATCCTCCGTCAGCGCACCGACCGAAGCATCGCAACCGACGCGTCTCTTCGAGACTAATGCAGGATTCGGCTGGGCGTGAACATCTATTGCTTAATTTCTATGTCCATGCAGAGCCGCTATCTGAAAGCGGGGAAGGGTACATTGCACGAACATTGGAAGCTTTAAAGAGTTTTGGTGAAGAAACATGGACATGGGAAGAGATGCGTGACTGGGCTAATGAGAAGGCACGCAGTACCCGAGATAGTGCCCGTAGATTATTCCTCTACCTCTCAGGCGAATCGGATTCTGGGTCATCCGGACCATCGTATCCTTTCAGTTCAGGAACGGATGGTTCATCCTTACCGGCAGCACCGACTACACGACGGGAAACGCACATTGGACGGAATACCGAAGAAGGTGGTGGTTTGTGGTCGAGCATTGCAGGGATGTTCTCAGGCATTGTAAAGAGCACCGACGCCTCAAGTAGTAGTGGTGAATCTGGAGCGCGGAAACGCGAGGAAATCTTCGAAGAGGGAGAAATACATTGCGACTTGGTAAAGGTCCGCTGAGGTGTTCTGTTGATTGCTCCTATCGGTCTCGTGTTAACGCTCTTTCCTTTCTCTCTTTCCATATAGGATGAAGATGGAAACTACGTCTGGCGATACATTATTGTGGACATGCCGAGTGCGTTTTATATGCATTATCTTGCCTTTCCCTAGAAGTAGCTGATCCCGAATTATCACAGACTCTCGGGCACGATACCCGAAACGCGTCTTTGTGAAACGAGCTCCAGGCGTTCGCGACTACGAAGGGGTTTTACGATGGTACTGACACACTACAGCATTTTCTCGAATTAAATCTTTTTCCTCGCCGCCACTAGCATCTTTACTTATCCAATTCCATCTCGTCCTACCCTAGGCCTCTTGTGTAAACTTTGGACCTCACACTGCTATTCATGATCTGAACCTCTCCAGGCCCGGCAACAACTCAACCCCCTCAATGGCGTCCTCGTACAGCTGCAACTAATTGTTTGCGTTGCTCGCGTTTCGATTGTCTAGCCATGTACTTGTACCATACTTAGGTGACGCGTTTTTTTACTTGAGCATGTCGGGACACCCCACTCTGCGCAATCAATCCACTGTGTACATACTCTCTACGACGCACCACATCCCTTGCTTCGAATAAGATGATGAGATGCAAGCTTCGGTCATTACATTATCTGTAAATAAATACATTGTTTGCAAAGAGACTAGAAGGAAGGCCATGAAATTCAAATAGTCAAGTTCGTCTCCTCTTTAATCGCCGAAAAGCTTCTGTACACGCTTAAGCACCGAGTCTTTGGAAGGATCTAGTAGACATCATCCCCTCAGTACCCCCTATTACAGAACTGGAAGAAATAGGAGACAAACCATAAGGATGATCCTTGGAAGGTATCTCAAGTAGTGCAGGGAATGCTTGTTGATATTTGTCTACCGTTGGTCTAATCTTATCTGCGATCTGGAAGGATAGAGTATACAATACAATGAGTAAAGGACGTTGAGTTTCGATGGGTGGAAGGTATGTACATGTTGGTTAATGAGCAAAATCGCGATGTCTGCCCTCTCGGTAAACTCTTCGAATGCAGATTCGATTGTAGACACCTGCGTCTCTGTGTACCGGAGAGAAAATTGAACGATATTAGTTACAGCGGATGCAGATGGCAACGAAGGATAGGGAGGTCTACGCACTACTGTCAACGACAAGGAAGTTCTTCTTCTGTTGCTCGTTCACGTCTCCGATACCTGCAAGGAGGAGACCTGTTATGCTATCCTGTGTTACCAATCATCGTGGGCGCATCGTCGATCAGGAATGTGAGAGAAGTGTAGGACGAAAGAATAAGTGGACGTTAAGTATACGCCACAGAGATGAGACGAGTACAGTAGCATAATATCGCATGAGTGCTATTCACCTGAGCCATAAAGAGTAAACCATACCTCATCACCAATGACTGCAAGTAGGTTGCGCTCCTTCGAGGGAGCAACTCCCGACGCCATCGTAGTCGTAATACAACGGGGCCGGACGTGCAGCCTCAGAGTTAGAGCGAACGGGAAATGCTGCTGATCGTCACGTTACTTTCAACGGGATCGGCACTCTGACGAAGACGAAATCCTGCGCAAAAGTTCTGGCAAGCACCTCACTCCTTAACCACCAACGAGATGGACATCTTCAACCGACCGCCGGGTATTTCAGAAGATACGCTGCAATACGCACTTTATCCTTCTCCCGATAACGCGGACAAGTCTTCCGTGACAGGTTTAGCAGCACTCATCGAGGAATACGTTAAGGAGCTTCTTCCGGACTTTATCTGGCATCGGGATGCGTTCGAGCTCAAGGTCGTCCCAGACGACTACAATTCAAGTAAAAATAAGGAAAATGAAGGGAAGTGGATGCTCGAAGGACGTGTGCGTGTTGGAGACAGCGTCGATGATGAGTGGTGCGTCGTCTGGCTCTTATGTGAGATCAGCAAAAAGTGGGACGTTGCTGTAACGTAAGTCAACATTCTCTTTAATATTTCCTTGAATAAAACAGTGCGAAAATGACAAAAGCTCCCTGGACATGCAGTGTATTCGACTCAGACGGCGAGTTCTTACTTATTGAAGCTGCGGAATACCTCCCGTCGTGGGTGACACCTAGTAACTCAGAGAATAGAGTACGTGCGCATATAGTGACGATATTTCCGATCCAATATCCACTAATTGTAATGTACTTTAGGTTTGGCTGTATCGTGGCAACCTTCACCTTATTCCGCTCTCATACCAATCGGCGTCGTCCACGAAACCGGATCAGCATCGTCGTCGAACTACCGGTAACGAGAGTGATGAAGGAGAGAACTTCGCAGACGAAGATGATGCCGGCTGGTTAAGCGTGCAAGATGCCTTGAATGCTCTTAGGTCTAGCGATCCTACTGAGGCACCGAAGGAGGTACAGAATGCTGTGTGGAAGCGAATCTCAAGGTAAATTCTTACTTTTCTTCTGATTTTTGTGGAGGCATAACAGTTATTTGGAAAGCTACCCAGCTGCTGCTCGGCAACACATTCACATTACAAAAGCATTCATACCTGTTGATGTTGCAAAAGCGCTTGTAAAGGATCCATCGTTGGTTCAGAGGGCGGTCGAGACTTTCTACACAAGAGACGCAATTCAACTCAGAGTAAGCTGGACTTCTCATCGTCTCTCGACGTGTTAAAGAACCTGACGGGACTGAATAGGCAGCTCACAAAATGTCCCGTTTCCCACCTCAAACATCTGGATTAAGCCCTGTCCGGATGACACGTACCGCATATGCACAACTAGTTGGGCAGAAGTTCCACCCTCCCAAGATCTTCGGGCAATTCAAAGAGCGTGAAGAGACAAAGGAATGGAGATGGAGGGACATAGGCATGAAGATCGTAGGTAGCGTTGACTTTACTCGCAATTGGCTGGGTTGCTTACTTTGTTATAGGGATGTGGATTTGAGATGCTATATCAAGAGACCAAGCCAAAATCTGATGCTTCAAGCGTTGATGCTCAGAAAGCTTCTGTGAGTCACTGATTGTTCTAATCTAACTAATTCAATTACTGAATGGATTGTATAACAAAAGGTTGAAGCACGAAAAGACGCCCTGCGACGTAGACCGGAATACAACGACTACATTAAAAAGCTTAAATCGATGGGCTACTTCAAGAACGAGCTTGAAGGCTCTCAATTATGGAATGAGCTAGAAGATCGAGCGGCCGAGGTATTCGTAAACTCAAGGCGAGACGAGTAAGTGCAGTATATTTATCTTATCGTAATCCAAAGACCTTAACATTCACCAGTGATGCATCTCGCCTTTCCTTCGCGACGCTCGTAAATAATGCCATCGCCCAAGCAGGAGAGAATCCGACCCTTCCTAACCTTGAGGAAGAACCCGACGATTGGCTGAACGTAGACGCGGAGAACTTTGACGAGAAACTGGCAGAGACGATGCGCCCGAAAGCGACTCCACCAGAAGAGAAAAAGGACGCCATGGATGTTGACCAACCTGACTCTACGGAGGACGCAGAGAATCAGGCGGTGCAGGCTCAAGCAGACAAGTTGAAAAACTTGGCGAAGAAAGTAGAGAAATTCGTAGAAGGTGAAGGTACTCTTGAAGGTGCTGTTTTTGAGGAGTAAGCATATTCCACATCGAGAGACTATCTATTTAGGCTGTTATTGACTAACTGTCGTTACAGCGAGCAAATGTCGGAAGACGACCAGTTGTCAGAATTCAGCGAAGAGGAATTCCCTTCTGAGTCTGAAGACGATAATATGCAGCAGGTAGAAGAGACTGGGAATGCTGCAGAGAATGCAGCGCGAAATGAAGCAATGGCCAAGCTTGTTCCTGCACTCGATCCAGGAGACTATGGGAAAATGCCCGCCGACTTCTATAGCAACTCTCAACGAGTCGCTCCAGTGACAATGGAGACCGAGGCGCGAGACGACTTAAAAACACAGTCTTTAACTTCTCCAGCAACCACAGGAAAAGGAAAGGCTGCGGCAACCGAAACTCCTCCGAAGTCCAAGCCGATCCGACGACCAATCTTACCTCGTGACGACTTTGACGGCGTAGACTCTGATGACGAGACAGATGAAGGAGTTGGGGATGAAGAAGAAGATGAGGAAGACCGTCCACAGGTCGTCGGTGAAATAGAGATTGACATGCGCGAGGAACAAGACGAATTCCTTGAGTTTTCGCGCACAGCTCTGGGTATTTCTGATGATATGTGGAATGATATTTTGCGAGAACGGCAAGGCAGGGGCGGTATGTCTTCTCACTTAGTTTGCAATTTCGTTGCAAATTAGGAACTAATTGACTCGCTCCATAGCATATATCCCTAAAGGCATCGAGGTTAAGCAGTATCGTCCTAAGGAACAGAAGCCAGAAGCTCTCCAGGAAAAGTTAGATGAAGGGCCCAAGCTGCGGGAACCTCAATCCGGCCCTCGACCAAACGTGAACCCAAACTTAGACTCATTTGAAGCTGTCATGGAAGCGATGGAAGCAGAACTTCAGAAAGCGCGTCTTGCCAAGAAGCCTTTCAGTCCTGAAAAACTTTCAACTAAACCTGTTTCGAAGGGGAAAGGAAAAGAGAAAGCAGTTAACAAGGACGTGGACGAACAAATGGACGCGGAGGATGACGACATTGAAGCAGCGATGGATGCTGAGTTGCGCGCTGCTCTGGAACGCGAGGAGGGCGATTCGGGTGACGAGGAGCCGATGGATTATGGAATGATTAGGAATTTCCTAGAGAGCTTTAAGAGTCAAGCGGGTCTGGCGGGCCCAGTTAGCTCGCTGGCGGGGAGACTGGAACCTGGATGGTTTCCCAGAGATGAATCCTGAAAGTGGGCAAAGTCTTTTTTATTGTAGAGCGATACAGTTGAGTTGAGAATGTTTCATTGTACAACGTCCAGATAGGGCCATATCTAGTGCACAATGGATTTGGTGTATAAGAAAATATTTTGGCCCAGATCAGTTCTTCTGCTACAAGGACTCCATCCTTTTTTGAGTGATATGCGATCGAGTCCGTTCTTGTCTTCGCAGTTACATCATTCCATTCACACGGTGCACTTTGAGACGAGAAATTTAGCAGGTTTATCGAGGGCCAAAGCCCACCAAACATGGTATGGTATGTTGTGATACATAATTATACAGTCGCCGCCCCTCAGACGTGAATAAAAGCGCAACTTGATCTCGATGCATGTTCAACACTTTTGACCATGAGCCACGGATCTTTCCAGTCGCTTCCTCTCGAGATTCGTGACTACATTCTCACTCTCGTTCCAGACTACTATACGCTGCGATGCGCGGTTTTGTCCTCGAGATGCGTATGTAATACATTTTTATCGAGGAGGAGGACCATCATGCGAGAGGTCGGACTCAGCGAAATTGCACCTGCTCTGCCGTGGGCCTTTGCGCTCGTGCGCATGAGGTATGCACTTGAAGAAGAACCCTTGCAGGTAGTTGTGGAAGGTTTGACCGATACGAGCCCGGATTCTGCGTATTGGAATATTGATATTAGCGGAAAGGAAGCGAAAGCATTGTCAGCTGTATCAGCCGCAACCAGGAGGCTTGAATCGTTTTTCTGTGTACGGTGAGTTTCGCAGCCCAGTGTAACAAACGTGGGGAATTTACATATATTGGATTTAGATACAAAGACAGAACTGCTCTTACCAGTACACTCTCTGAAGTCGAGAGTCTGAGATTTCATCGCGCAATATACCGAACATGGATTATGGCCGTACTTCTCGAGGGTGATAGGTACCAGTATTCTGATATCGTCGACAAGGGCATTGGGTTCTTGACGGATCTGTGTGAGAGGGAGCTCGCAGAATTGCGTGAAGTTGAGTTCTTTCTCGGTGCGATATTTTCCAGTTCTGAGCTCAGGGGATCACTGTTCGACGGTTAGCTGCTTTGGCAATGTATATTTTCATTTCGATTGACAACCATATTCCCGACCAGGCTATCGTCTGCCTCTCTGTGTAGCTCCTGATATTGTCCAGACTGCTACAAGAATTCGTGTCAGTGTTGACCCGTACACGAACCCGTTCAGACCGCCCTTCCTTTATCTGGCTAACTACAGGCGCCTCCTAAGCATGCTAGGGTCTGTGACAACACCCCCAGGGCGATTCATTCTAACCAAATACCGGGTTGGAAATAAAACATATAAGTAACAAGTCACTGTCAGATATATCTAACTCATTGTCCTTCTAAAGGTCAGAAGTGTAGCAGGCGAACTGCGAAATTGTTTGGAGAAAATAGTATGCAGTTTATTGATTGTAACGCTCTGACTCTGACAGCTGAACCAACGTCACAGACTGGCATCTACTGCAATATTTCTTGAACCTTGACGATCTTCTACCAGGACGTATTGCTGGCAACGATTATCTTGTTGGCGTCATCGGAAGATTGATTCCCTGTGAAGACTCGTTACAATACGTGCTCGGCAACATGTTCGATTCTCAGAACGACCCGGAGAGCAAGTGGGAAAAGTCCGACTGGCTGTGTATAAATTGCGTCAAGGAGTTTTGGAGGGAGAGATTGCTCTCATGGGTTATAGACCAATTGGTAAAAGGTAGGTCATGACGAGGTAGATTGCAGTATTCAGTGCTTATTTTCCTTCCAGACGGCCACGAACTTGGAAGCAATTGCAGGTAAGCTTACTCAATTTTGAGTTTTCTACATAGCATGCAGTATCACTAATATGTATGAAAGATATGGTTACAACTGCTGCTGTCAAACACACAATAAACGGCATGCCGAGAAACTGAATGTGCGTGTGCATGATACTTGTTAAGGCATAGGCATGATACTCACTATTTGCCTCACAGCATCTATGCGAGCCTGTAGATCATGATGCCACGGTCTGCCCTTACGTGAGCTGGGACGAATAGGAAGTTTGAAGAGTTTTACGAGTTAGGTAGGGCTAGTAGAATCGGCCACTACACTAGCAGCAAGAAGTCAAAAGTCGGATGGTTATATAGAGGCAGGTGTTAAGTCTACAAGGTTCTTTATGGTGTAAAGTGATGCAGTTGAAAGTGGAAATTGTTGAATGTATAAGCTTGGCTTCCGCTGCACCCGATGCATTGCGCGATATGTGAAGTACGGGACCACGTATTTGTTATAAGTATTTTGACTTCTGAACCACAAGGGCCCCAGTTCAATCCTGTCTTTAAGAATTCACACGGAGCGCATCAAGGCGGGTGACTTGGGCGAAGAGTGTATCGGGGGTATGTTTCTTAATTATCGAGACGCATCAAACACGTGGATCCTCTCGCAGTACCGTAATCACCGCCAAGACGCGAATAAAATGCGTGCGACTTGAACTGGTTCATCCACAATACCCTTGGTCTGGTCCCGTGCATCTCTTTCCCCTCCTATTGATCTGCTCGCCTCTTTAGGCTGCAATTTGCTGCAGTGTGCGGTGCTGCCATCGAGATGCATGTATAATGTATTTGCGTCAAGGAGAGGTTTTCGCGAACAGCTCTGGGTATTTCTGACGATATGTGGAATGATATTTTGCGAGAACGGCAAGGCAGGGGCGGTATGTCTGCTCATTTAATTCGCAATTTGATTGCAGATTAGGAACTGATTGGCCGGCTCCGTAGCGTATATCCCTAAAGGCATCGAGGTTAAGCAGAATCGTCCCAAGGAACAGAGGCCAGGACCTTCCCAGAAAATCCAGATGAAAGACCAAAGCTGCGGGCACCTCAATCTGGCAGTCGACCTAAAGTGAATCCGAACCTAGAGACGCATTTGAAGCTGTCTCGGAAGCAATGGAAGCAGAACTTCAGAAAGCGTGTCTTTCCAGAAAGCCTTTCGGTCCTTATAAAACCCTTCAACTAAATCTGTTTCAAAATGAAGCAGCGATGGATACTGAGGTGCGCGCTGCTCTGGAGCGCGATTCGGGTGATTTGGGCGACGAAGAGCCCATGGATTATAGAACGTTTCGGAATTTCTTGGAGAGCTTTAAGAGTCAAGCGGGCCTTGCGGGCCCAGTTAGCTCGCTGGTGGGGAGACTGGAGCCTTGGTGGTTGCCCAGAGAAGAATCCTGAAAGTAGGTGAAGTTCGTCTTACTGTAGAGCAATAATGCAGTTGAGTTGAGAATGTTTCGTTGTATAACATCCAGATAGGGCCATATCTGGTGCACAATGGATTATGTGTATGAGAAAACTCTGGGCCCAGATCAGTTCTTCTGCTACAAGGACTTTATCCTTTATTGAGTGATTTGCGACCACTTTCGTTCTAGTCCATGCAGTAACATCATTCCATTCACACGGTGCACTTTGCGACGAGAAATTTAGCGGGGTTCTCGGAGTATCGAGGGCCAAACGCACCAACCATGCTATGCTATGTTGTGGTACATAATTATATGGTGGCCCCTCCACCCAGAAGTGAATAAAAGTGCGACTTGATCCTGATGCACGTTCAACATTTTTGACCATGTCCCGCGGATCTTTCCAATCGCTTCCCCTTGAGATTCGTGAGTACGTACTCACCCTCGTATCAGACTACCATACGCTGCGAAGTGCGGTTTTGTCCTCAAAATGTGTACATAATACATTTTTACCGAGGAGGAGGACCATCATGCGAGAGGTCGGGCTCAACGAAATTGGACCTGCTCTGCCGTGGGCCTTTGCGCTCGTGCGCATGAAGTATGCACTTGAAGAAGCACCCTTGCAGGTAGTCGTGGAGGGTTTGACCGATACGAGCCCGGATTCTGCGTATTGGAACATCGATATTGGCGGACGGGAGGCAAAAGCGTTGCCAATTGTATCAGCCGCAACAAGGAGGCTTGAATCGTTTTTCTGTCTACTGTGAGTCTGCGCAGCCTAGTGTAGCGAAGTGCGGAATTTACATATGTTGGATTTAGACGCAAAGACAGAACTGCTCCTACCAGTACACTCTCTGAAGTCGAGAGTCTGAGATTTCATCGTGCAATCTACCGGACATGGATTATAACCGTACTCCTCGGAGATGACATGCACCAACTTTCCGATATCGTCATCAAGGGCATTAAGGTTTTCACGGATCTGTGTGAGAGGGAGCTCGCAGAATTACATGAAGTAATGCTATTTCTCGGTGCGATGTTTTCCAAGATTCCGAGATCAGGAACAAAGCTTTTCGAAGGTTAGTTGGTTTTTCCGCAGATATTTCCATTTTGAATGACGACCATACTTCCGGCTAGACTTCCGTGATGCCAATCCGCCTCTTAATGTAGTTCCTGATGTTGCCCTAGCTTCTATGACAGGTCGTTTCAGTCCTACGAGAAGCCTATCCAGACTGCCCTTCTTTAATGGTGTCAATCGCTTCAAGCGCACGGCGATTGAGCAAAGGATCGGGAAACAGATTGGAAAGAAATATTGGAGACGATCCATTTTAACTAGATACCGGGTTGAAACTATACAGAGATGTAAGTTACAAACCATGGTCAGATATCAACAAACTCATTGTCCTTCTAAAGGTCAGAAGTGCGGTAGGCGAAACGCGGGATTATTTGGAGAAAACAGTATGTGGTCTATTGATTGTAAGACTCTTGGACCTGACAGCTTAATCGGTGTCATAGACTGGCATCTACTCCACCGTTATCTGGAGTTTGGCTTGCTTCTCAACTGTCTGCCAGGACGCATTCCCGGCAATAAATATCTTGCTGGAGAAATCAGAAGGTTACTCTCTCGCCAAGACTCATTAACATTCCTGCTCTGCGAGCTGTTTGATTCTCAAAACGACCCGGAGGGCCGGTGGAAAAAGTCTGATTGGCTGTGTATAAATTGCATCAGGAACTTTTGGAAGGAGAGTTTGCTCTCATGGATTGTGGACCAATTGGTGGAAGGTGAGCCATGAGGAGATGTATTGTAGTATTCAGTCCTTATTTTCCTCTACAGATGGCCATGAACTTGGAAGGAACTGCAGGCGAGCTTACTCAACATTGTTTTTTTCTACATAATTCGCAGTATCACTAATGTGTACGAAAGATATGGTTGGAATTGCTGTTGTCAGACACACAACGAACAGCATGCCAAAAAACTAAATGTGCGTGCGCATGATGCTTGTTAAAGCACAGGCATTTCCTTCTTCAGTATTCTCGTGATTTATTATTTGCTTCACAGCATCTATGCAAGCCTATAGATTATGATGCCACGGTCTGCCCTTATGTGATCTGGGATGAATAGGAAGGTGAAGAGTTTTATGCAATAGGCATGCCTGGCAGGATCAGCGAGTACGATAGCGGCGGAAAAGTCTGAAGCTGGGTGGTTTCATAGAGACAGATTTTAAGTGAACAAGATTCTTCACATTGTAGGTGATGTAGTTGAAAGTGGAAAACGTTGATTGGACATGTTTGGATAGCACTGCATTATAGGATATATAAGTATGATTGATATTACGATAACACAAATTGGCCGGGCCTGCACTTTCTTACAAACAAATGATTATATTTTTGACTTCTGAACCACAAGGGACCCACATTCAATTTTTGTATTTAAGAATTCACACGGAGCGCATCAGGGCGGGTGACTCAGGTGAAGAGCATCGAGGTATGACTCGTTATGTCAAGGCCGCAAGGCGCATCAAACACGTGGCTTCTCGCGCACGGTACCGTAACCACCCAGTCGCGAATAAAAAGGGCGCAAGTCGAACCGGTTCACACAAAACCCTTGATCATGCCCCAGACATCTCTTCAGTCCCTTCCTATCGACATCTGTGACCGCTTGCTCACTTTCGTCCCAGATTACTATTCGCTCCAGTGTGCGGTACTATCGTCGAGATGCATGTATAATGCATTTGTGTTGAGGAGGAGGTCCATCATGCGAGCGGCTGGGTTCAACGAGGTCGGATCAGCTTTGCCGTGGGCTATTGCTCTTGTGCGTTCAAGGGAAACAGTTGGGGAAGAGCCCTTGCAGGTCGTATTGGAGGGTTTGAACGATCCGGACCCGGATTCTGCGTATTGGAAGGTTGACATTAGTCCAAAGGAGTCAAGGGCGTTGTCAGCGGTATCAGCCACGTCCAGAAGAATGGAATCAATTTTCTGCGTACTGTGAATCTTGTCAGTGCAGCTTAGAAGTATGCTTGAAATTTACACCTCGCTGGCTTTAGATACAAGGACCGAACTGCACCTACCAGCACTCTCTCCGAGGCTGAGAGTCTGAGATTTCATCGTGCACTTTACCGGACTTGGATTATAGCTGTACTTTTGGAGAATGATACGTTCATGTCTTCTGTGTCTGACAGCCCGGACGTGCGATTCTTGACGGATCTGTGCGAGAAGGAGTTCGTAGAGTTGCATGAAGTAATGCTATTCCTCGATGCGATATATCGTACGGTGATGTCGGGGATGTCGATGTTCCGAGGTTAGTTTCTTTTTCTGAAGAGATTTACATTTTGATTGACTGTTACATACCCCCAACAAGGTTACACCGGAACCAGTCGGCCATTGAATATAGCTCCAGATGTTCTCTTGGCTTCAATGACTAGTCGCTTCAGCATTTACTCGAATACGCTTGCATTTAGTCAGCCTGGCTTTGATCTGATCAATCGTTTGGAACATGCCATTTCGCAAAGACAGATTGCGAAGCATTTTAACGAGAAATATGACAAACGAGCTATTTTATCCGATTCCTGGATTGAGACTATAAGTACATGTAAGTAGCAGAGTGTGGTAAGATACAAGCAGCTTATTGTCCTTTTAAAGGCCAGAAGTGTGGCAGTCAAGGTGCAACGCTGTTTGGAGAAAATAGTACGCAGTCATATTAAGCTGTAAGACTCTATCATCTTGACCCGCATTCCAGACTGGCATCTACTTCATCCTACTCTTGGCTTTGACGATCTTTTCGAATGTCTGCCAGGGCACCTTCCTGGCAACAGCTGTCTTGCTAGCGACACCAGATCGTTGATTGCCCGCCAACTTTCGTTAACATCCATCTTCAGCGACATGTTCAATTCCCAGAATGACCCGGAGAGTGAATGGAAGACGTCTGATTGGCTATGCATAAGCTGTATCAAAGAATTTTGGAAGGAGAGATTGTTCTCGTGGATCGTGGGCCAACTGGTGAAAGGTGAGTCATAACAAGACGGATTGCAACATTCGACACCGATTGAATTCTTATAGATGGTCATAAATTCGCAGAGAATTGCTGGTGCGCTTCTTAACCTCGTTCTGTTAATGTAATTTACGGTAACACTAATATGTGCGACAGGTATGGTTGGAACTGTCGCACCCAAACTCACAGCCTTCATCATGCCAGAAGACTAAATGTGCGTGAGCATGATGCTTGCTGAAATATAAGCGCTGATTTCTCACTCTTTGTGGCATTTATATAACATTTCTCGCCTTTTAGCACTTGTGCGAACCTACAGATCGTGATGACACGGGTACAACAACTGCAGCGAGTACAAGCATGCCCGTGGAGCCACCTGAGTTCGCCGAATCAGATGAAGATACAGAGTCATATGAAGGCACAGATATGGACGAGTGAGGGTATACATACGTATATATATAATATGCATCATTTTCTTGTTTCTCCAACAGTATTTCATAACAAACATGTAACATCTACAGTACGGTAATTTACTGGAACGCGAATCTACTAATACATAAATGGAAATATGAAAATCATCGACAGTTATCTACTTAACTACTTGTCCCGTGCATGCTCTGGAGTGGAACTACAATCACTAAGTACGCCTACAGGATGATACACGCAGTGCTCATATGTGCGTCAACAACTCTGCAGCTATGATATCTATAAGAGTTAAATGAGTTTTATAGTCAACACTTCCGGTGTGCCACGTCTGACGAAGTTCTATACGCCGCTCCGGACCCCTGCACAGTCTCTTGTCAACAAGATCTTCTCGCTCATTTCTTCTCGCCCTGCGTCCCTCTGTAACTTTCTCGATACCCCAGAACTCAATGCGCTGCTTGGGGATAGAATAGGAGATGAAGTACGGGTGGTGTATCGGTGCTATGCGACGCTATACTTTGTCTTTGTTGTGGACACTTCAGAGAGCGAGTTAGGTATCCTGGATTTAATACAGGTGTGCTATTTTGTGTAGTTGTTTCGATCCTTTGTGAATATTGACTTGCATATCATCACTCTTTAGGTATTTGTCGAATCACTGGATAAGGCCTTTGAGAACGTCTGCGAACTCGACTTGGTATTCCACTTCGACGATGTTCGTTCCTCTTGCTGGTGTCTTGCCGATACATTCAGCTCCCTAACGTCAGAACAGGTACACCACATCCTTGCAGAGGTAATCCAAGGCGGCCTGGTACTAGAGACGAACGTCGATGAAATCGGTGAAGCAAGTGCGTAAATATATAATTATCTTATCCGTGTCCTTTTTCTCTCCAATCAAGAGGATTCGGCAAGGTCAAACGTCCCATTTTTTTCCCGTCCCTTCCTTCTTTTTCCCTGATTTTCTCTCCTGCGGGAATGGCATATGCATATGGTTGACCCCACCGGCAGCTCTTCCCGCTGGTCGGGTTACCACCCCAAAGTCAAATCATCTTCACATCGCCACAGTGCCTTCTCATACACCCACCCCGCTTGCACTCTTTAGTCTATCTTTGCGATTGCATTGGTTCTATGTTTCTCTTCGGCAGAACACTGGTCTTCTTTGCTTTACTTGCATACTGACTGGCTTGTTTTTGCTCCGCAGTTCACGCGTCGTCGCAGGCCCGTAAGCAGGCCTTCCAGTCTGCGAACCCGCTTGCTCTGGGATCCGGCTCAGGTCCACGTAGCTCGTCCCTGCAAACGCCGATTGGCTGGTTAACAAACCGTCTCACGGGCGTCGGTGCTCGTTAGTGTTTTCCGATTTCCACCGGTAATCTACGTTCAGCACACATTGCAATTTAATTGCTACAATCGCACATGATACTCGCACTGTACTATATCGGATTCTTTTCGTTATCCTCTTCTTTTTTTCGAGATCCAGCATGTATTTGTGTCGTAGAGATATCTACTGTGTCTCGGTGTCAATTGGTAGATATCACTCCGACATGCAGTTCATGTGGACGCGCGAACATTCATTTCCCAGCAGAGTTCCGGATCCTTGTCATAGATACCAATCGGCATTTATATGAAGTAACAAAACTAGAAGAATGACGTTTAGACGGATCAGGCTATTGTTATCCGAGACTCTCAACGTTTATATATAACCGGTACTGGGGTGCTGAGACTTATGTATATGAACGGTATATGCCGTATCAAGAATCCCTATGCAAAATTGATATGAATGATGTTGTTCCATACATGTATACAATATTATTGTTTCGTGCTACTCCCGCACAAACTACGACTACGACTTCGGAAAACCACTAGAACGGAATGAAGCGAAATGCTAGGCCTTTTCGGGTTTGTTCCAATGACCGCGGATTCGCTGATGACTAGCCCACAAGACCCAGAATCAATTCAATACTGTGCTATTGGATGCCGATTAGAGCGTTCCGGTTATCCGATGGTTGAAGAGAGCCAAGGTAACTTACTTGGGTGAGAAACATGTTTCCACTAGACATAGTTACCAGGGGTTTCAACTGGCAGGTCTCAACCCCAAATGCAATTGGAAATATTGTGATGCGTTTATCCGGAAGGGACTGCATCAGTTGCAGCACTTGACATACCTAATATATTAAAAAGTACAAATGATCACTCGATATTGAGGCACTACAAAGCTGATTATGACATACGTTTCTTCTTTTTCTTGCCTCCTGCAGTAGAAGGCCTTGACAAGGTAGAGCCTGCAGTATCAGGCGGAGGCTGTTGGAAGAATCTACCTGCCAGGGATGATATTGGTGTTTCTTCCCGAGTCGATTGTGTCGGACCCGGAGTTGAGGATGCTCGTGGTGTTTCATGCATAGACACCGAGGCTGCATTAGCTTCAGATGCTTCTCGGGCCGCGAAAGATGCGGTAGTGTGTGCTGCGGTCGTGCGCATTGCATTCAAAAGAGGGATTATGTTCTCCAGTTTTTTTACATGGGTACCTCCAGATGTTACCACACCGCTCTTTTGTTGCTTCAAGTCCTCCTGATTTGTTGCGGCGCGAAAGGAATCGGAGGACTCATTCGCAGTTTCTCGGGTATCTTCAGTTCCCCGCTTCTTTGTGACTGAATCTGTGGCTGGGGCATCGACAATCGGCCAGATGAAGCCTGTTCGAGGGGTGAAGTCCGGTCTGTTTGTCCGGAGTACATCGAGAGAAGATTGCACTGCATGCAAGCTAGTGAGCTAAGAGATGTTTGAGAAACGATTACTTTCTTGGCAGGGAAATACACGAACAAGACGATTGGAGATCACGGTATATAGGTCAGGCGATTGGTATATCCGGTTGTTTATGATAAAATATGCCGCCAACGGGCGGACTGTGGGAAGGATTGAGGAATCAGGTTGATGGTCATGAGAGAATGGCCGGGCTGCTACCTTCTTCGGGTGAAAGGCGCTCGCGCTTGTGAATGATAAACAAGGATGGGGGCTGGGCGTGTACGAGTGCGAACTCGATGCCTGTGAAGCGCCTGGGGGAAAATGAGACGAGTCAGAACCTATGCAACGGCGCTGGAGAAATATTTCGCGGGGGTGGAGGATTTACTTGAGCTCTTCTGCCTCGTTCAAGATTGGCTGGCCTGTATGCATGGTTTGCATGCGAAGAACCTGATTGTTGCTTTGTTTGTCGTAAAACATGGATGTAGCAAAGTAATCGAACACCGTTTCGGTTGTTAACGGGCCATTTGCCTATTGAAATTTAAGGTTGAGCCGAGGGTACGGGAAATGAAGGCTGCTAATGCTATACCTGGATCCACTCGTGCCAGATGAAAAAACGATGGCTATAGTCGTCGGCTGGATGGAGGTCGTCGAGGTCCATGGCGGGAAGCGGGGAGGAGAGCAGCCACGGCCACGTCCGACGCGCCGTCGTCGCGAGACGCGTAGGAAGAAACGCGAATGAAAGCGCGAGTTGTGTTCCTCATCGAGCGACTCCCACCGTGAATTCCCCTCTGTCGGGTCCCAAACTATCGGGTATCGTCGTCAGCTCTTAGTTCACGACCCCATGTCTCCGCCAGCTCTTCACCCCCTCCATGGCCTCCTCCAGGCGACCCGCGTCCTCTGCTGCACCCCAGCGCGCGGACGGCGCGTCCGACCGGCGCCCTGACGCCTTGCAAAGGCGCGTGCAAAATGTCAAGACGGTATGCACAACTGTCGGGCGCCATATGAAGCACCACTTCGGCGTCGGGATTGTATGTGCTGTCGCGTACTTCGACCCGTAAGTCCTGTGAATGTCTGTCCGTCTTGGCGGTGGGGTTCACCTGCAACGTCGCACTCGCAGAGGCAATTGGAGCACGGATCTTTTGGCCGGCTCCCAGTTTGGCTACAAACTACTCTTCGTGGTCCTCCTCGCGGGCCTGGGTGCAGTTGTGCTACAGGTTAGGACTGAATGCTATCCCGTCCTTTCGGACAGTTCCTGACATGTTCGCAATAGATTCTTTCATGCAAACTTGGTTGTGTGACGGGCCTAGGTAGTTCATCCCCTCTAAACTAGGATCGACTGTATGCTCAAGAGACCTTAGATCTCGCTAGCCACTGCCGTCTGCTCATGCATGACCATCCCCGCTATCCTAGACTGGTCCGATATGTATTCCTGTACCCACTCTACGTCCTATCGGAACTCGCCATAGTTAGCACAGACATTGCCGAACTTCTAGGCTCTGCGATTGGGTTGGTGCTATTGATACCAAGTCTGCCCCTTCCAGTCGCCGTTCTCCTCACGGCGACCGATGTTATCTTTATCCTTGCTGTCGGAGATCCGACAAAGGGGCGTCGCAAACCCGTTCGCATCTTCGAAATGATTATAATTGTGCTCGTAAGTCTAGCCTTGCTTCGTTTAAACTTTTTTCCTGGCATGTTCAGCCAGCTCATCCTTGAATTTGTCAGGTCTTGATTGTCTTTTGTTGCTTCATAGTCCTTCTAGTACGGGTCCGCCCTCACTGGCCTGATGTATTCGCCGGATATCTACCTTCAAAGGGCCTGGCAGAACCATCTGCACTCTATGCTGGTATTAATTTCGTCAGTTTTTTAAAATAGATAAATTTCTGAACATATGGATATCATTAGCTGTTGGAATTATTGGCGCAACGGTCATGCCACATGCACTGTATCTGGGTTCCCATCTCGCAACGCACGACCGTGTTAACTCTCGGCCAGAAAGTAGATCCGGTCTTCCACCACCTTCAATACAGTTGCCCTTGACTAGAGGTGCTATTTTCAAGAAGGCGATAAAGAGCCTCTTCGCCGTGAGGCCCGTTAGACGACACGGCGGAGACGACCAACTTGATACATGGACACCTTACGGAGAACGAAAGAATAACACCCTCGCATTCGTGAAGGCTCACTACACGCATGGTATCTGGGACCTTGTTGTAAATTTACTCGGCTTTGCAGTGCTTATCAACTCTGCGTAAGTTTACTATCTCGAGCAACACAGCCTTGACTTATCAAAGATCCGTCATGTAGAATATTGATCTTGTCCAGCGCTGTATTTTTCTTTGGTCCTGGGAAAACAGCGAACGGGGCGCCGGCAGGACTATTTGATGCATTCGATCTCATTCGAGATATAGTCGGAAGGCGTAAGTTGAAAATTTCTAGCAACTTGTGATCTGACTGAAAACGCATGTTGGATAAAGCGGCCGCGGTCGTATTCGCAATTGCGCTAATAAGTTCAGGACAAAGTGCAAGTATCACTGCGACTCTGGCGGGTCAAATAGTCTCCGAAGGTTTCATCCAATGGAGTATTTCCGTAAGTAACAGTATATTCTAACGGTTCATCTTCGGATATGGAATGTACTGAACTAATTGTAAATGGCTAGCCATTCCTCCGTCGTCTCGTTACGCGTCTTCTCGGGCTCATTCCGTCTATGCTCGTAGCCATTATCGTCGGCCGCGCAGGCATCGATACGTTACTTGTCATCTCGCAGGTCGTACTGAGTATCGTCCTTCCATTCGTAATGTTCCCGCTGGTTTGGCTTACATCGTCATCTGTCGTCATGCGGGTACAAAAACCACGAGAGAGTGTCCTTGTCACCCCTGATTCAGAAGAATCGGAAAAGAGCGAGGACGACGAAGAAAAGAAGGCCGAATCTTCTAGTAAGAGGGAGTCGATCACCGAGGATTACCTTGAGGAAGAAGAGATCGAGGTTCCAGATGACGACGTCCCAGATCCGGTCGAACTCGATATCCAAGAAACCGAAATCGAGATAGAAACAAAAGAAAAGAAAGCCAAGGACCGAGCAAGAACGGAATCAAAGGACGCGTACGATGAAACTGTAGCTGTGCCATTATCAGTGGGCGACACGACGAGCGAATACGTCGATTACAGCAATGGATGGCCATTAACAATCCTCTCCTATGCCATTTGGATCGTAATCCTCATTGCAAATGGCTACCTTATAGTCACTCTTGCTATCGATTAGCGGGCTGCTTTGGACCCATTGAATTATGATTTGTAGACTCGTATAAAAACCCTGTACAGTATCCCTTCTCGCTTTCATCTGCTGTTCGACCTTCTCGTTGCACTTCTGTTGCTATTTTTCTGCATTTGTTATCTAAATATTTTTAACTCGGAGGTTTTAATTTCTCAATGGTGGATTAACACAATTTGTTTGGTGTATTTTCATTCGATCTCGACCATGATTCACTGTACATAGTACATTGTTGTATTCAACTAGAGTTGCTATCAATTTTGGAGAACATTACAACCAACAAAGGTTCTTTATTCGTTTACTGGTATAATCTCTACAAATCTCGTTTCATTTTTGCCCAAACCACGAATTGCAGGCTGGCAATGATGTTACAAGGTCCGAAGCACTTCTATTTATAAATTTGCTTAGCGCTAACAGGGACGCTAGCGCAAAGGAGGTTAACCCGTAACACCCACTTAACCAACACAAAAATCACCGAGGAACGATATACACTTCCGCAACAAGCACCGCAGCCGCAGCGGCGACAGCAACAACGATAATCGGGAGGTTTAACAACGCAAACTGTGTCTGATGCACAATAATTCCCTTCTGTCTCAGGATATCTCGCCAAAGTAAACCCGCGAGTGACGCGGAGAACGAGAATGTGAACGCGCCAAAGTTTGTACCGACTGCGAGTGCGAAGATCGAGCCTACTCGGACTTTTGGGTCGATAGGAGAGTTGTTTTCGAGCCAGGATTGGAGGACTCTGGCGAGGAGGATGGTAGTTCCTATGTTTGTTCCGCATATCTACATGGGATAAATCGTAAATGTGTTAGCTACATCGCCTTGGTAATGATAATGAGCATGCACGAACGTTGCAGAGTATTGTACTCAGGACGAGCATCAGCGTAACAGCACCGACAGTCGCGGAGGCCGTTCCGTTGTCCTCACAAGCGCGAATCCAGGCAGCCCACCATCCAGCGAAGACCTCGACCCATCCCCAAGCCGTCAAGGCTTGCACCAGAATGAACATGCAGATTGCGAAAAGAATCATAGAGACTGGAAGACGAGGCAAGATGGTCATAACCGTCGGTAACCTATCCTTCTTCAGGTGATCGATGTACGAAGAAAGCGTTCCGTGATCTTTCTTCTTAACCTGAATTTCGTTCGAATCGTTGATCCTCGAAGCAGTTTCCATCTCCGCCACCGTCGTTGAAGCACCGGATTCGAGCTGAGCCGCCTCAGGTTGCACAGGCACAGCAGCATTTTTCTCGCTTTTCGACTTCCACTGTTGTCTGTCATGCCAAATATCCCGCGCAAGCATAAGCACCGCAGCAGGGATCGTAATCTGATACACCGGAATGTGCAGAATAGAAGTGCCGATAAGAACACCAAGCGTAATTGCGAACAAGACAGAGCCAAAGATCGCTCCATTGATGTCATGAAGGCCTCTAAGTACGTGTTTTGGAGGGTTTTCAGGCATCGGCGGTGCAAGCGGCTCAGGAGAAAGTTCGACTACGTCGATTTCTTTGGGTACCTGCTCCCTCGACCTGAAGAGGGCAAATCTAAGAAGGAAATATACTGCAACTCCTGCAGCAAGAGCAGGCAGGACCATGTGTGCGGTGTAGGAGATGAACGAGAAGTGGAATGCTTCTGTTAACACAAGATTCGTAGGGTTTGACGAAGGGAATACGCCGGATGCTGTGGTATATCGATTCTGTTTAATTCAATTATCGTTTGCAAAGTAGACACGGCTTACCCATATTTGCCGTTGCGAATTGCGCGAAAATCCATGCTGTTGGAGGCACAATCCTTCATGTTCCGTAAGACATCAATCAACCAGAATATCAGCCAGAAATGCTTACCCAGTTACACGAGCAAAATAAGCCAAGAAGGGTGTTCCAAACAGAATAACGGGGTCCTGTATGCAAGCATTAATTACACTCAAATGGACTGCATAATACTAGAACTTACGTTGCCAACAAACACGCCAGTAAGGAACCAGAAAATATACAAATACAAGTAAAGTTTTCTTCCGGATGATCCTCCCTTTCTAACGACCCAAAATGCGAGGAAGCGGAAGAGTCCAGTGACGTCCAACGAGATTGCTATATACGCCTATCCAGAAACTCAGCAATTGTACGAGTGTCGGTACAGAATGTGATGTTACCAGAGAAATAAAGAGCGCCATGATATCTAAAGGTACAACTCCGCCTCCGCCTGATCCAATAATACCAATCCGAACATCGACACCATGAAGGACACCCGTTGCCAGCAAGAAAAGCACAGCTGTGAGAGGCGCGGTCTGAAAACCAATCGTAAATTTATGCCAAAGGATGCTATTTTGGTGGCGAGGAGCAGCAACGGCACCCTTTTCGAAGGTAGGATGTGGGTGACAACATGAATGCGAAGGGTTACAGATTCGTAGACGAGATGCTAGTCTTTCCACGAAACATAATGCTCTGGCTGGGTATGGAATAGGGACTTTAATTGGGAAGACGCCAACAAGGTCTGCAGGAGAAATATGCGAAAGAGAGAGAAGAAATTTAACTACCAAAGCGCATATACAGATAAATTATCACATACTGGTAAGAAGGAACACAATGAGAGCCAATATACTACGCCAAGAGGAATTCATTATCTTGCTTGTCAACAGCCGCAGTTCATGAAGTAAGCTAGATGTGCTAAGATAGACAGTGTAAGTAATGAAAGCTATTTTAAAGACCTCCAGATTTTCCAGTCATCATTCGCCACTGTTACGTTCGTGGCGCTGAACAGACAGATGGAGAATCATTGTAGTGTACGACGGTAGCGCACGGAGTTGAAAAATGCAAGCAGCATAGCGTGGAGCCATGGATGACGATCGCTAGATTTTGCGGAGCCTAAAACAAAACTTATTTACTCATCCCCGAATAAGCGATCTCCTTCCAAGTTTAGTCAAAATCCAATCATCACCTTGTATTCACGCAGGGTCCCTGTATTCTTCAAGAAATACATGGTCCTAGGGACACACGAATGTGCGTGAAAACCGGGGAGGGGTAAGGGGGAAGCGCACCTATGGTTATTATAGTAGCTACTTGAGAGACACGCCGCACTTGTAATTACGCCAGAGTTTAAACTCAGAGGATCCCCAAACCGAACATAGAACGTAATTTGGTTAAAACATTGCCACAGGTGGCGGCCGTGTGGGGTTACTCAAACGACGACGCGCTGCATAGGGGCCTAGGCCCTAATCGTTATTGCACGGTAAATGGCGAAGACTTAACTAAAAGCGATTTATATTCCGTCCAGAAAGGTACTTATATACCTTGTTTTGTAGTTTCAGCATAAAAGCCAGAGTAGAGATGCAATAATTGTATGTCAAGAATTCTCTGCAGATACATAGCCCAGGCACAAGCTCCGGTCTGCGATCTCAATTCGTGAGTTTTGCGGGCGAGTCTTGCAGAAATTCGACAACAGTCTTCTTCATCTGCTCGTTCATTTTTGAATAATTGTGCCAAACAAATTTATACGGTTGACTCACTGGCGGACTGATGCCATCACCTACAAAATAGACGCTGACGAATTGCCTACATGAAAGTCAGTACATTGTATGTCCAACAGGTTGTAGTACTCACTTTGAAACCCAGTTACTTTCAATAGAGCCAAGGTCTCTAATTACTAGAGCTCGTTTCTCGCTGGGGTTCTTCGGTGGAGGCAGCAACAGGATATCCAGTGGCTCGCCCTTTCGAAGTGGAGAACTGGGGAATGCGGACTTGAGCTTACGCAATGGAGACTGAGCGTCCTCTGCCTCTTGGGTAGAGATGCTGCCGTCCTTTAACTGGTTCGTCATCCTTGCTTGCAAAGCACGCATAAACCCATCACGCAGATGAGAGTACGAGGTGTTCCGCGTAGGAACTGGTGATGCGGATCAACAAGCTGAGCGCGTGAAAGGGAGAGCTGCGAGGAACAACGTACTGATCCGAATGACACAAGCTGTATTAGAAATTATGTAGTCTATCTTCTCATCCGGATTCAAGTTCTCAGGTATCTGTAAAGTAAGCGCCAAGTTCATTTCGACGTCCGAGATATTTAGAGAGCAAAATTACAACTTTTAGATTCGTAAGATCTGCATAAAATGCGACTGAATAGACTTTGATCCCGAGGAAGGAGACTGTCCGTACACCCAAGCCTACAAGCTGGAACGGAGGAAGTCGGACACGCGACGGAATAACAAGTGTTTCGGGAAATTCAATTCCAGTTGCGGGATCGGCTGAGAAGAGGCGAGGTGAACATCGGTGACGTGTTGTGCAAGGCAACTCACGAACTGCGGATTGGAGTCGGCTCTGTTCCTGCCACGGGGGAAATTGGTGCTTGACTATCCAGCAAGACTTTGTTGCGAGTTTGGAAGAACGCTGCTACACCGGCAACCGACAGCAGGGTAATGAGTGCCCCGCGCTGCCAGGAAGCCTTCAGACTGTTTGTAGGCGCCACATGAGAGGAAAGAGGGCGGCGACACGAGCGAACTGGACGAGCACGAACGACTGAACGCAAAGAAGTAGGCGGTCGGCGAAACATTGGGGAAGCTTCTAACGTGCTACTGCTACTGTAGCAGAAAGGACACGGTAATTTGGGTGACCCGACATTACGCGACTTGCTCACGTGCGTCGTTCCAAGCCAGCCCAGGTCGCTGCATTTCTGCTGTACTGCAAACATCTTCCAACACTGCAGTCTTGTAGGAGTTATCTTCTTGGTGATCCCACCCACAGGCAAGCCGATCTGTACGTATCTCGATCTGCGTAGATATCGGCGAACAGCAGAAGCTGAATGAACAGCATAGCACTTCCGCGCTGGCCTGACGCGCCCATCCAACACGCAGTGGCCACAACAGGCCACAGCTGGGCTTCATTAAAAAGCAGGCTGACTCGACTGTCGTCGCCAGTCTTTAGTATACCACCACCATGCCGTCATCCGATGAAGAACGCGAGAGTCCACCTGGCCGTCGGTCGAATAGCGCAAGACGGCGAACTACAAGTAGATCTGAATCGACATCGCCTCCAAGTGTTCACCAGATGCAGACTTTAAACTCGGACCTCGACGCGACGCAGCAGAACCTCAGGAACGCTTCTTCCGCTCTTATTGATACCCTAAATCGCCTGCAGCAAATTCGCGGCGCACTTCGGGACTTGGAGACAACCACTTTAACTAGGCTCAGAAACCCGGAAGCATCTACTCAAGAAGAGCCACGATCTCGTATTGGACCTTCTCACTCTGCCATAGTATTATCCGATGAAGACAACCATGTGCCACTTGATACGGAGGTGCTTCGCGACAGGCTCGACAGACTCGATGCGCTTGGAGCTGAACTTCCTGATTACATGAGAGCTGCTTCAAACTTCATTCGAAACATGACAAATAGAACTGATAGTGGAGGACGTGATGCTACAGGCCCATCTGACGGACAGACAGATTCGAGACCGTCGACAAACGCGACTTCATCTCGCGAGAATCCAGAGCGAACCCCAGCTCCATTCCCGAGGCTCCGTTGGCCGACGCAAGACACTAACACAACTACAACTACTGCACCTCAATCAAGACAAGAAACTGGCCCCGTCAATGGTCCCTTGAGAAGGCGCGTGGCATCTCGTGATGAGGCTAGTACATTGCTTGGTAGACGTGTGGCATCTCGTGCAGCAGCAACGGTTGAAAGATCTTCTGTAAATGCTCCCGCAGAGAGACCCACGCGAGTTTTACGTGTGTGGTCCGATTACCAAGGTCCCTCGGGTGCTGGGTCAGGCAATCCCATTGGTTCTCGAGTTATTGTTCCTCCACGCTCGCCCGACAGAGTTTCACGGCGGATCGCTCAATTTGAGTCGAATGTCCGTCGTGATCATCGCCAACAAGCTGACAGTGATGGTTCTGAAACTGAAGTTGACGATTCCACCTCCCGTCCGATCGTAGTACGAAGAAGTTTGGGCGGAACACGAAGTTTTAGGCAAAGGAGGGCGGACAATGGTAGTTCCCCGCCTCGTCTGTCGTATATCTTGCCACCAGTCAGCCCATCAACTTCTGGCGATACTCCATCTACTGGCAACTCGCCTAGGTTTGCGGAAGAAGAGCGCCAGGAGGGAGTGTCTTCTCGCATGCAGGGCGTATACGGTCGTCTGGATAGACTTTCAAATGCATTGTCTGAGTCTCTAAGAGATGGACGGGTTATCCCAGCACCACCAGCAGCGGACGTGGACTCCCGTAATGAAGACGAGGAGGGTCGCTCTCCATTAGGAGACACGCAGGAAGACCGAAGATTAACAACCGCGTACCGTGAGGCCATTGATGAAGCAGAAGGTCGCAGCTACCGTATTCGCCGACGTCTCAATGCAGACGGGGATGAACAAGTATATCAGATCAACACTGACGCGTGGTGGGACAATGACGATGCCTTCGATATGCTCGCACCTTCCTATTCTACTACAAGCTCGCGCGACAGTGGGTTTGCTTCTGGACGTGAAGATGGCATGTGGTTGCGATATCCATCTGGACCTCCAGTGATTCCTCCCCCACCATCAGGCAGTGCAAGTACTTTCTTCAGGTTGGATAGGTTTAGACACCAGGTTCGCGCACCACGCTATGCTGGTGAAGCATACCGTAGCGAAACAGACCTGCCGCGGTTAAATACAGAACCACAGGATGCAGGTGTGGTTGGCCGAAGGCGACGCGGTTGGGGTAAGTGTCCTACATTGTCCTGGTTGTGTAAAGCATGCATCTAATGCTATATTCCTTTATTTGTAGCACGTCTCAATGCGGACGGAGATGAAATACCCACTGATGAGGAAGAAGAAATTGAACGCGTCCGGGCGGAACAGCGGGTTCGCTCTAACTGGCGAAACACCATGTCTACCTCCATCGCTCGGACAAGACTTGAATACCTTGCGCCGACAACTCGAAGTGTGTTTTCGCATGCAACAGACGAGGATGAAGATGATCCGGGTGTTAGGCTTCACTTACCTTCTAGTCAATCAAGGAGAAACTCGACGTTCAATGTTTTCTCCAATGCAAAAAGGGAGAAAGATGAAACGGATGCGGAGTACGAGTACTTCGGGACTTCTGAGCCGTATTATCTATGCCCGTTGCCAGTGCCTCTCGAGGACACTGGTCCTTCTGGCTCTCGTCCTTCTTCACCATACCCAACTGCAGGAAAAGGTCGGAAGGGTGTCCAGGAAGCGGATTTTGCAGCTCGGTAACTTGACATTTGTATGGCAACATGTTTCATGGCGAGACTTCTGAGACGGTTGTTTTCTTGTCTTCTTGTCCTTCCATGCATGTTCTTGCTCGCTCGGAGACGTTTCTTTCTCTATGCCTTGTTGTCTTGTATTATAGTTTGCATTACAATTAAGACATTAGATACTATGAACGGTCTAACATCGTGATTCGAGAGAAGGCACAAAGGTTAGGGATGATGTCTGGCTAATGACCTTTAAGTACGGCATGGGCCTAGGATAACGTCAATCTCCTTAGACGTGTGCTCAACATGGCTTCGCTTCCGGGTTTTATTCGCCATAATAGCGAAAAGTACTAGAGGAGCAACACGCTAAACGGGTAGCTCAGATTTTGTACGGTTCGGGAGTGTGCATTCCGCTCCAGATGCCTCTGGCCGACTCCGTCGTGCTAACGACCGTTTTCCTCTTTAATGGTACTATCTTGGCGCCGGAAGAGTCGAGAAGCAGCTGGACCTTCTGCTGTATTTGGGTGACTTCGAATCCTTTTAGGCTGATGACTTTGTCCCGGTTGTTCACTGGACGTGTTCGTTGTTAGCATGTTTGAGATACTTTTAAAGACCCAGACATACAATAAAACCCTCGAATTATAGGTTCCTTTGACGGTCGCTGTTTAACGACGAACTCGACATGGGGGTTCTTGCGTGCGAGCTGTTCGACGTTGTTATAGATGTATGTTCGGACGTGAGCGGATGAGGGCCAGACGTCGCAGTATTCGAATACGAGTTTTCGGACGCTGGGGATGAAGGCGGCGTGACCATTTGAGGGCTTTGTGAGGAGTGCGCGCCTGTTTATGAGAGGTGTTGCTGGTGGGAGGCGCATGGTGTTTGCGCCAAGTTATGGTGGACAAGCGTCAAGAGCAAAGGCCGAAGATGGTAGCAACTCTACACTCGGATGGGAATTAACAACTCAAACATTTCTTACGGTAGATAATTACAAAACCGACTTCTCACATGTAAATTACACGGCTACCAATCAGACGAAATTAAATTTAGCAGGACCGTGAAATTAAAATGATGGAGCAGGAAAAGGGGAAAATAAGGGTCTATGTGACATAATGTGACATAATGTCACACACCGTTTAGAGGAGAGAGTGGCCTAGGAGAGAGCCCTCGGTATTGTCTGACCAGGACGACGCGCACCGCGACGCGCCAAATATCTTTCCGACACGCGCTCCTCCCCGACACATACTCATTCGCACTCGGCCTCTCGGTCTTTTGCACAACACACCTTTCTTCTCTTTTTTCGTCGGTAATTTACCGTAACGCTGTGTTGCCTCTGATAACGGCGCTCGGACACGACACCTGTTCCATATTCAGCCGAACCCCGCACGGTAACTCACTCACCCACCACACCTCTTGTTCACATCGTTCCTGCATTCCACGCATCCATGGCACGCACTACCCGCTCATCTGCGAGCCACGCAGAGAAGACGGAGGATGAGAATGAACACCCGGGCAGCCTTTCGCCCCCTACATCCACCAAAGCAAAGGCCGCCGCTGTCGCCAAGAAGCGAAAGCGGCTCGGTACGGACAGCGATGACTTGCCCGCTGCGAAGCAGGTCAAAGCCAATGACGAAGATACTCTGGACAGGGACGAGGAGGAGCATGTCGAAGACGCAGGTTTCCCTCCACTTTCCGGCGACTTGCCAATGAATGACGAAGACGCCCAGAAAATACTCGAGATCTTGGAAATGTGAGTCATGTCGCTTTATTCGTTCATTTCATTTCTATTATGAGGTGCTGATGTCCTTCGCAGGGCTGACACGCAGGCGCTTTTGGACAGAGTTTTTCCACTAGACGACGTACTCAGCCCCAACCCATCTTCTATTCCATCAAGCTCAAAAACGCCGTCAGATTCATACTCGCTACGAACTTTGTTGAAGGAAGCGAAGGATCATCCTCTTAGGATATTTCGGGTACGTGTATACACTAATATGCCTTCTCGTTGTAATAGTATTACTAACAGTGTCGCAGTCTGCCATCAAGCATCTATATCCTATTTCCTCACAGCCTAGGGCGCGAATATCACCGCCTGCCGCTCAACAACTCCGCTTCTGTCAACTCGCGCTAACGTTAATCGAGCAAGCATCTCGCAATAATATCGATGGCCTTTCGCTGAAACCCGAGCTCATCTTGCCAGAAAAGAGCACGAAAGAGGAAGATGAAATGGACGTCATTAACACGCGGCGAAAGTACGCTCTGGTGCAGAGGCTGCCGACAGGCGATTTGTGGACATCTTTGAGTACGGACTTGCCTGGCTCGGATGCAAAGCCGCTTGCAGAGCTGAGCACCGGCCACGCGGAACTCGTTTCTATTTTGCCGTCGTCATCGTCTTCAAAGCCGATTCCGACGCTCGGGGAACTGCATGCGGACAAGAATATACAATCGAAATACAAGCCTCCAACTACGAGACACGTCAGCTGTGGCGCGTTCCTTGATTACGGGCCATATGCGAGCTTCGCTCCTTCGTTTGACAGTGACGGTGGCGATGTTGGGAGGGCAGGGGTGAGCAAGGTGCTTTGGCGACGCCATGAAAAGGGGAAAGCACGGGAGAAAGCGCGGATTTTAGGCGATCGGTATCGAGCGAAGCTTGCTGCACAGGCCGCAGAGTCCATGGGAGTGGACGAGGTCACCGAGGTTGAGTTGACCGAGGGGAGAGCTGCCGAATTGCGGAGGGAAGCGGAGAAGCGGAAGGATCTTCTCGAGAAGCTGTTCAGTCAAGAGGAGGCAGAGCCTTTGCAGAAGATCTTAGACGCTCTGGATTGTGAAGAGAACGTCAGTGAGCTACTGCTTCACAATGCAAAGGCGCTATTACGCCTACAGGAGCTCCAAAAAGAGCGCCTTCGAGGGGAGAACGAAAGTGCGAGACGAGTCAAGGTTGGATCTGAAGAATGGAACCTTGGTAAGTCGGGTTTATTTTGTTGTACAGAACGTGTCGCAAGGTCTGACGATTTTTTTTCTTCAGCCCATGCTATTATGGACTCTCTCACACTATTAACGTCAATGAGGCCTAGAAAACCGAATGGAGAGGTATCAGCCGTTATCCCGCCTGCATCTGTTCTACACGTGCTCCAGCAAACTCTGCCTGCGGAGGCTTCGCAAGGGTGGTATGGTACGTTATCCGAATCACGCGGCTTTGCTGTTCGTGATGATACGACGGTGCGGATGAAGGGGCCCCTCGAGGTGCCAGCTGCGGAACCTGCCCCGGCTACGACGCCTGCTGCTCCTGTTACGCAAACGCATACATCGACATATCCTACGAACTACTCATATGCGGGGTATTCGCAACACTACCGCACTCCGTACACGACTCAAACTCAAGGGGGTCAGACGGGCAGTTACTTTACAGGTACCGCAGCACAGGGTATAGGCACCCCGCAGGCACAGAAGACACAAACGCCTTATACATCACAGTATGGTGGCACAACGCAGTACACTTACGGCTCGTGGTTCCCGACGCAATCTACTGCGGGGAGCGGGGCTGGTACGCCTACGCCGAGCTCAAGGAAGGGAACACCACAGCCATCGACGATTACCTCTGGCGCGTTCACCAACTCGACGTACTTGCCGTATAGTAGTGCGTTGGCGGCGGCGAGTTCGGCGACGCCTGTGAGGGCTGTGGCGAATACGGTTACTGGGAAGTCGCAGCCGAATGGGTGGACTTTGCCGAATGTTGGTACACCAGGCGCAGGTGGTGCAAGGGTAGGAACAACGCCTACTGGGACGAGTGGCTTCACGTTACCTGCGCATTTACGACCTGGGGGTTTGACGACACCAATGAGTCCTTTGGCTTCGGGATCGACGTTTGGGTTGAGCGCGACGCCAAACTATGGTGTGGCGAGTACTGCTGGGTACCAAGCGACTCCTCCTGCCAACACATGATGAAAAAAGCATGGATGTGAAAGTGGTGCATTCACCCACTCTTGGTGTCTGCTCCTCTGTTTTTGTCTTCTATCAGTTAGACATCTTTCATACTTTGTCTGGTTTGTATGTGGGGTTCTTTCTTTCTTTCTTATTGACTTCTCTCATTGTCATCATGATAGTAGACTCCAATTCCCTCCACTTCGATTTGATAACTTTATTCCGTATTGTCCTTTCCACTCCTTTCCCCCTTCTTTTCATTCATATTCTCTCTTTATCCTTGTCTTCCTCTTTTTTTTTTTTCTTTCTTTCTCCATTCTGTCACTTTTTCTATCACGTTTGATTGATAAAATAGCCCACTACGTATCCCTTGCGTTTTCTGTACATATGCATATATACTCGCACACGGAAGTATTTTGTTGCGTTGAATAAAATCGAAGTAATTAGTTTTTGTGTTCATTGTAAATTCCTCCAGGAGAAAGGACACCCCATGTCAATATGGTTACAGTTAACAGTTATAGTAAAGTGGTATTTTAGACTGGAACAATTGGCATTGTTTGCAATTTTTCATTTTCAACCAGAAAAATAACAGAATATCGCTTGAATATATATAGTTGACTCTAGTCTAGAAGTTAAAGGATGTCCGACTTTCCCAACTCGCACAGAACTGGTACGTATACATGTGCAAGGAAAACCCACTCAAAAGTCGGAAGGGAAATATTATTCTAACACGACAAACCACCTCCGAAGTTCCTTGAGCTCCAAGGATAACTTGGGCCCTCGCATGGAGGAAAGTTGACCATCTACATTGTGTACTGAGTGGGTATTTCTCTGGTTGGAATACACAGTGTGGATGGTCTTTCGTGTTGTTGTGCAAGCAAGGTGTTGCTGACTGAATTATAATTATAATTATTTTTGCTTTAGGGCCGGCAGTAATTTCTCTTTGCGGTTTTACTTAACTAGTTAATCATTATATCGACAAGATTCAACGTGAACAGAATACGCATCACTTATGCACAAGCGCATTCTTTTTAATACTGTTTCCATATTTGATAGGCTAAGGATACAGGCGTAGAAGAACACAAAAGCAGGAGTAAAAGCAAAAGGTAGAAAAAAAAAAGAAAAAGGACAGTAGCGAATCAGCAAGTTACGTTCCCCCAGCTCCCAATCGACTCCATCCCTCTTTAGAGCCGTTGGTCCAAGCGTGCGGGGCTTCATGTGGTGCAAAAAGGAACGCAACACAGAATCCGCTTCCATTATTTCCCTTTCTTTCTCTTTATTTGTGTGCCCGCGCTTCGTGAATTCGACCCGTTGTCCTCGCCGTCTGTTTTTCATGTAGTCCCAACCCATCGTCTCTCATACCGTCATCCCATATACGCATCTCGTGACCATATTGCATAATGTTAGAGCATATAGGAGGAGTGGGCATGTCTAGTATAGACGAATCGGTTTGCCCATTGTCGTTTTGATGTGCAGCGAACCGACGTTCTGCCAGTTCTTCTTGAGCAGCGATACGAGGAAGTTAATAGCTAATAAGTTAAAGTAGAGTAAGTATTTAAAATGATTTAAGGAGAAAGGAATGGTTAACACATACCCAACATGACGTTCCCAAGGATCTGGTCCTCAGTCATCTGAACATGGCCAATGGCAACACCCAAGCAGAGAACCTTCTTGAGCTGGAACTTGATTGTCGACTTGACTTCGTTGACTTTGCTCACGAGATCTTCAGTGTGGGATACAGGAGCCGGGAATTTGCCAGCTGAATATAGAGTTTGAAGTTCAGTACGAGAGCATGTTTAGATTGGTCTGATTAGAAACGCACCTTTCGAGAGACCCGGACCAAGGAGACGAGGGATAGTTCTGATAAGAGCTTCGGACGCAAGGAAAGCATCGTACTTCTTCGCGAGTTTCTTGACAAGCTTCTTGTTCTTGTTGAGCCTAAACAGACACAATCTCACTCAGCACCTACTCATCACAGAAAACGGTAGGCCGGAAGGGGGAAAACGTACTTCTTCAAGTCATCAACGGACTTATAGTCCAGCTCAATCTTCTTCGCACGATCAATGTCGTTCTGGTCTGCGAGAATGCAGACGGACATGCGGGGACGGGGGATGACTGGGAGCTTGACAGTGCCTGAGAAACGCTTGTCGCGCTGCGGGTCGTAGTTCTTCAAACCAATTTGGAGTTCGACAGTCTCGACGAAGTTGCGCTTCTTCTCGCCTGTGGCCTCAGCCAGCATTTCCTTGACGGAACCCCGCACACTTGACACTGAGAGCTTGCTTCCGCTAACATGAACAGATCAGACAGGGTCTCAAAAGGCTTCGAGCATATCCACGCACCTCATTTTGAATTCTTCACCGCTGGAGAGGGTCGGTGTTTTGTGAATGTGTACTTGCTGTGAGTGCCATGATACCAGACAAATCGATTAGGTAAGTACTATACAGCTTTACTTCCCACGGATGCATTTTTTTAATCAACCCAGAGAAAATACATGAGAAATCCTCCTTTTAGATGCACAGCGGATAGACACGATGCCATAGAGCTAAGATAACACATTTAAAAGCTTGAAACCGAGCATATCGAGATCAAGAACGAGGATGAAAGAGCTTAGAGCATCTTAACACTCTTGCAATACAGATTCAGTAATTGATCTATTTTAGGTAATAAAGCGTGAGAACCTCATTCGTTTTGAGTATCGTTTTCTTTCGTTCCTTCGTATTTGTCCTTCTCCAATTGCATCAATACTTTGAGGACCGTCCGTTGGATCAGCATCTACGTGCGAAGCGAACATCAGTCAGGTAAAATAGCTGCCTTCCATACCAGCAGGCTAACTCTCAAGGACAAAAGGTGGCAATCCTCAAACTAACAAAGATCTGCCGAGTTTCGCTTGTATATCTTCACGTTTCTCCTTAGAGTGCTGACGTTTCTTGATTAGTGTGAAGTCAGTCTCTCTGATGACTTGCTGCCGACTTACCAAATCTTCCCTTCAAGGACAAAATGTCAAGTCGGACAAAGGCCAAGTAACCTCGTATACAGTCATTTACGAGCGCCCCTATGTTAACAACTATTGAACATTGATATTATCTTGTACCTTCTCAAAGCCAGACATGCTGCTCAATTAGCTGCCTACTAGTTCTGCTTAGCTTGAATTTCATACTCGGCTCTCCATGCACATTCGGCAGGCTTCTCATCTTAGCTCGTACTGCGTTACAATTTATTGCGGTTGGTAAATTCAGTACCTGGACCACAAGGTGGAGGCACATGGAATCCCGCGAGCAATCTGTCTGGTCACGTATTCCTTTTCATCGGTGGCTATAGACTTCTGATACTATCCAATGCCGTAACGTGCACGAAGCTTTACTTCGCTTTACACCCGTCCATGCAGACATTTCAAAGTGTAATTTGACACGTTCGATATACATGTCAGAAAAGACTGTCTCATTGAAGGCGAATTCTCTCTTGGGTAACGGTTCTAAGCGACAAATCGTTTTTCCATCCTTGGTCTTATGCTGAGTGTGACTCCTGCTTTTGGTCCAGTCTCTATAACTGTCTAGAGTGTCATCATTACGGGTGCATTATCTGGTTCTGCCTTGCTTTCTGGCCCTAGCGCCTATTCCTTTATTTGTCACTGCGAATGCGCTGCATGCCTGGTTTTGCGAGCCATGGGTAGCTTTACCAGGCGTAATTTCGTAATCAGCCACTTCTCAGCTGGGAAACACTCAGGCTAATTTGCGATCGATTCATCGCTTCCCAGGGGGCTTATCTCCCGTCAAATATATTCATATACAGTTGACTCATTGGCGTTAGAACAACCGAACCCTGCCAACTGTGAGTTCGCAACAGTTATTCCACCGCCGAGGCAGTGTGCTCTTGGTGTCGAGATGCGCAGTATTCAATATGACACACACTCGCCTTGATTAATCGGTAAGGCGAAAAACGAGGAAACATGACATGAGGATCTATCCTGCATAGGCGTAAAAATGCACATGTTCATCCGCTGGTGGCATGACTAACGGATTACCTTTGGCTTATAATGTAGCAATCGATGCACAAGATTAGCAGTCCAGCTGCCTCACCTGGAGGGTTCCTTTGCTCGCAAATACGCATTGCCCGGTATCCCAAAAGCTTCCAGTAGGATCACCGGGACTGTTCGCTCCATTCTTTATGGCCCGTTTCAATTGCACAGTACCTTGCCCCTCTGTGTAGACAAAGAGTAGCACGTCCATTACTCATTCCCATTTCACAAAACGTTGTAAATAGACAGGCGGCTCGAAGTCTGAATACACCGTTTCGGTGCTTGAAACGCATTTTTGTGGCGGGTGGCGAGAAGGCTGTTTGAATGTGATGATGGAATGTATGCCAGAGTCAGAACGAGCCGCGGCAATAATTGTGTCTCACGGGCCGACCATTCCTGTAATAGCAGCGTCGCTTATAGCCGGAACTACATAAGCGTCATCGTAGCACATTCCTTTCAGCTCTTTCCTATCCTCCTCTCTTGCGTCTCACCACCTGTCCTCATCCTCGCCGTTGCTCGCCAAACTATCGTGCGTTCCTGTGTATAAGAAGTTGTCTCTGCTGCCGTGCCTCGAAAGCAGCCCACTTCTACCTCCATTCACGTCCCTGTCCCATTCAGTGACCTGCCCTTGACCCACCTCCATTTCACGCCATCTTTGTTCACACAGCAAGCGTTTACTACTCAAGTCAATTACAGAACTCCTCTCACTAAGAAACAGCAGACCTAAGTCAAGATGGGTATGCGCTATAGGCAATACCTTGCAGGAGCACGCATATACGGGTGCTCAACATGTCGCACACACCTGGCAACCATTCATTCGATGATCTCTCGTGTAAGGGCTTCTTCGAATGCTTCGGAAGTTTGAGAGCTCCACTAAACATGATGTACTGCACGTATCAGGCGTTCAACGGTCAGCACGGACGAGCCTATCTGTTTGATACCGTGTAAGTGGCGTGTGCTTTTCCCTTGAGGAGATCGAAGAGCGCTGACGGAATACTGCCTTCTTCTTTGATACAATCAGAGTCAATGTCACAGAGGGTGAACCCAGTGAGCGCCAAATGACTACGGGTAACCATACTGTTCGCGACATCTACTGTGTTAAATGTGGTACTACTTTGGGATGGAAATATGTCAGTCATCTATCTGAGAATACTTCAGCGTATTTTGACCCGCTGACTTGCTTGCTTCGGCATTTTTCTGATCCGATGAATAGGATTTCGCATATGACTTGACGCAGAAGTACAAGGAAGGCAAATTTATCCTTGAACGTAATCTGCTTGTGGACGTACAGTGACCATTGTAGCGTCGCGTTCCCGACGCCGCCATCGGTCCTCCGCACATGCCAATCGCCTCCAATCCGTCCGGTTAACTATCAGATCTACGAATAGCCCGTCTTGCATCAAACAGCGACTAGCGCCGCGCGCTCGCCATATGATCGGCGGCATTTTCCTCCTACGCCCTTATTCAGCCAGTGGCTTACCCGTCATCCAGCACACATGCAGCCAACGCAATTTCCTTGAGATATTGCGCCCTGTCTGATTTAATAATCCCCCGCAGATATCCGTAATATCTTGCCGGCGTAATTCGGTTGCTTTTAACCACGATGTTCTGGGATTCGCATGGTCCCAGCCCTAGAAGCCTCAACGCTCGTACTCACGATCGATCGTGCTTGCATCCGCAGCAAATGAGCAAATTAAGCTCGATTGTATGTAGCACCTCGCAGTTCGATGGCCTGCGATTGTCTTCTCAACCCCGCGCAATTTAGCCGTTGCTATACATTTACTCGACGTTCCCCCGTAGCTTTCGGACAGAAGCAGTATATTTCATCACGATCGTATTCATTTATCTCCTCACTCCTGGTCTTGCTTTCACCTGTAGTTTAGTGGTGATGTTCATGGACGTTGTAGTTCAGAAGCAATAAAGTGAATATTTGGACATTATAACGATTGGGAGCTAATTTCCGAGTCTTCGTTAATCACCTGTATTGACCCTTCATGCCGATTGCGGCTTGAAGTAAGTCTCGTTGCGCTCTGATTTGGCAAAAGTATGTTTTCGTTCTATGTTAACTCAATAACTGCCCCACCCTTGCATAGTGTCCTCCGATTGTTCATCAAAGAGCATCTTCGAACTTCATCTCAAGACCCATACCTTATGAAACCTTTGTAGTGAGTGGGCCATCCATACATTGTGTGGGGCATTAGCCACGTTAAACCACTGTCATAGTCTTGCACATTCACATGTCGATCGTTGTAGAAAATCACTGTACTTTATTCACGTGTGAAGTCTTCTAATAATTGCGAAACGAGAATACGAGCAGAACTTCTTAGCCTTTTTCTTTCGCTATAGATTACATAAAGGGAATGAAGTAAGAAGTTTGGATGACACCAGCTTGATGAGACGGCAATAGGAACTTACAAGCAAGCAATGCTGTGCTTGTGCTTTCGTCGGATCCCACAATATCCAGAAGTAAAAAAGGTGACTATTGTGATAAATTGTCTTCAACCAGGTTCAAGAATGTCTGTCGTCAAGCGTGTTGTATAGCAGATGAGTTTCTATAAACACTCTAGGAAGATGTGCAAACCCCAGTGTTACTGGCTAAGTTAGCATGTCCACGTACAGCAAGTTCATATACAGCATGCAGGTTGCTAATAACAGTCTGCAACATGCTTTGCAAGTTCATATGCTTGTCATGGCCGTCAGCATGTAGTGAATATATGCCTTGGATCACATGCCTAATCTCCCTAATTGCTGAGAACCAAGTAATCCGAACGAGCGGCCGGAGGAAGGTTTTAGTAAGCCAAAAGAGCCAAAAGAGCCAACAGATGCTGCATGACACAAACGGGATGAAGCAAAAACCTAGGCAATGCTGGCCTGACAAGGACTGGCTAAGACAGTCAAGCTTCAGCGGATCCACGTCAGTACCATGTCTAAATAAGCAAGTAAAGGTTCAATGCATCAAGTGGGTTGGTCGGCAGGTACAAGTCTGTCGTGGCCTCCGAGGGCGCCAAGAGAAAGTATGCTTGTAGTGCCTACAGTACACCTTACCCGGCAATCACCACGGCAAAGGATGTATGTGAGATATAATTATAGCATTTTTCACAAGAAAAATTGTTCGTTTTCAGCTTTGATCGAGAGAGTTATTTGGCAGGCGTCGGTTAAGACAGTCATCAAGAATATCAAGCAAGCATTTTGTAGGTAGGATAGTGTGATTGCCGAGATCGTGCCCATGAATGAGTCCTTCATGTCAAACTCTAGTTTCATAGCGGATTGGGCATATGAGCATATGCGATCTTGCTGATAAGTGGGGAATTCACTCGTTCCGCGAGCCCTGCAGACGTGATCTTGTCAAATCCATGACGAACAGCTCTGCAACAATTAGTAATCCGAGATACAGCATAAATAGCGAATCAGATGACACCTCAGCCCGAGCACTTTCTGGAACCAGGAGCACGGAGTATTGAACGGAAAGCCAGCGAAACAAAATCGTTTTAATTTTGCTGAGGTCTTGTGTCATTGATGAGCTATTCCTGTGCAACGTGTCACAACCAACATAAACAGCGGCCGCTCGCTCCATAAGCCCCTATGGGTATCCCGTGCATGCACTCATGACCACGACAGAGTATAGAGCTTAAGCGCTAATGGAGAGAGCGGTACGTTTACTTGCGTCAAATGGAGTGAAACAGATTCGGCGTTGGAGATCGGCCAGGGTAATTGATTGTCCGTTCGCTATTCCAATGACACGGAGCATATGGATGCGGCGTACTTTCACGATACGATGATATGGCCGAATTTTCCAGCGAATGCGTAGTCTGAGTTCAAGAAGAAATGTGCAGTAGAAGTAGCGGGACTCCGCGTAACTTCACGTGGGTCAGTTCGGGGGCGATCGGGGTCGTGAGTGAGAGGCGTTGACTGATCCCGGACTTTCGCGGCCGAATGCCGGCGTGATGCAATGATGTCCCCAACGCTTGCGGCCGTAAGCAAGATCACTCTACGTCTTCTCCCCAATATTCCTCCGCCAATCTGCTCTTGTTTATAAAGAGTGCACCAAGGGCCTGCTGCGAGTTCGCCACTCTCTTCGTATTCCAGCCGCTCGTCCGTTCGTTCATCCCGAAGTCTGTGAAGCAAATATAAAGTTGTTTTCCTGCCACCTCATTCTCTTTGTGGCACGCGAGCTAGTCTGTTGGAGACCATCAGTGTGAAAACCTAGACGTTGGGGGAGCTAATTGCGGATACTTACCAATTTCAATGGGTAGGCCCTAGCTTTATTGTCAGACCACGTCCCAATCGCTGATTATTGTTTCCCCAACCCCCGCCCTTCTCGACACTATGTTTGATTTACCTTCTCACTGTGGATCCGCGCCTACTTCGTGTCTAGCCACCGTAACTCTAAATGCGACTTTCAATCCGAGGCAACAAACCAGGCACGCGCCAGCTAGGTCCTCGCCTCTGGCCTGTTCGCACTCCGCAGCAGCAGGAAAAGGCAGTGCTAGCGTCAATGGTCTGCCATCTGTAGGCACACAACGAGTACATGCCTTCCCTACTTCGCGACCACTCAGGCCGTTTGCTTCCATTGCACCGAAGTCGGCGTCGAAGCCTGTAAAGAGCTTCGAACTACCAGATGCGTTCAAATCTGGGTGCTTCATGCTCAACCTGTCGCAAGCGGAATTCAGTCGGCAAGAATAAAGAATTACTTATGCGTCTCTTTCTCGGGTTTTGCTGGTTGGATCAAAAGGTGTGGAACGACTTTCTACTTATTTCATTATATTCAGACTGACAGAATATGTTTGTCTATCTAGAATGTGTCTTCCTAATGAAATTGTGGCAGTCCCCTTTCTCTTCTTTTTCTATGCTTTATTGCAGCATTCTACGTCCAAAGTTATTTCTATCTCACAAATACCCAGGCTGTTCTTTGTATTTCTAGTCATTCCCTGACACACGCTGTTGTCTTCCTTCTTTTTCTTCATCACCATTTCTTTTATTATGCCGTCTCGCACTTCTAGCAAACGACAGAAGGAATATGAAGTTAACACATGTAGAGTACTATAGCAGTTTAAATTGGAAGATGTCTGTACATTTGTTCAACACATTAAAAATGCTGGGTCCAGACTAGAGGGATTTGCGAACCCTCGAACACGTCATCAATGAGCAAGTTGGTCGACCAAAAGTGGAAATTGATCGACGTCACCCATGACGTTCTGTTAAGTAGACCTCAGCTCGGCATTCTGCGCATACGAGTTTGCGTAGAACATTCATCTCAACTGACTTTGACACCTCGCACGAGCCACCTTGTCTCAGGAGCTTTCATTCTAGAGAAAATCGGTCAGAAAGGACTTAGAGAGGAAATTTCTCTACTCCTCGCTTTCTGTCTTCCATTCGAGAACGGATCGATGGGGGCCAGATTTGCGAGATTTGGACACAATCTAGGTAGCTGATATCTGGATCACACTGGACATCTGTTCGCTACCATTCTAGACGGTCGTCGGATATTCGCATCTAACATATGCTGCTGTGCATCTCGGGCCTGTGCTTGACGCTAGAGCAGGCGATTGGAGCGATCTGTGGATTCTGCACTTCCCTGGCAGGAAAAAATTCTGGGGCTGTATCTTAACTATGCATCCCATAACGTGTACATGTAACCTCGTTCTTTCTCTCGCGAGTAAGCTCAAGGCCCCTTTACTGCGTTATCCGTCAATCTCCGAAATGTACCGTGTCCACTCCGTATGGAACATCCAATTGCGTCGCTTTCTATACTTCTGGTGCAATTATGCCATTCCCGCTTATTCCCGCTGCAGATTATGGGCACGTGCCTTGACTGCTTCACTTCCTTCTGTGTGTGATTCGCCGCTCCTTCGTTTCATTAAAGCTAGATAACGCTTTTAGCACGGCTGTTTACTCCCGCCTTCTGGGTGCGAGTTTCCCTGCATATGTGATTAGCGTAGGGGCGGACCAATCACCACTCCTACGTGAGGGGTCTAGCATGCTTGAACTGCTCAACCACCGCCGGCATGGTGCCACCATGGATTGGCATCTATTAGCACCGGACCTGTGAACGTAAAGTCAGTTTTGGAGGCGGTGCAGGTGCTTCGTGCCTCTAATAGCATTTAAGAACTCACGTACAACTCTCACTTCGCGCTCATATATATAAAAGGGCATACTAGGAGCGGCGATAAACACCAATCCGGAACGGCGGAAATTACCAGTGTCTGATAAACTTTCATCGGTAGGCTTTCTCAGCGTCGTGCGCGTATATATGATCCATTACGTGTAATTCTCTATTAACTCGGCGATTTCTTGTGACTCCACTAACTACGGTATGTATTGCTGATAGGAGGCGGCGGGGGTGAATAAGCTCTAGCTTTGGTGCTTGCTCCAGCTTCATTCAACGAAAGTCAGCGCTGGGTGGCCAAAGATACCGACCTCCGAGGTGTCCGGTGCCTCGGCGTCTACATGTCATCCGCATTTCTAATTAGGATTGTCCTCAAATAACTGCCTTATCGGTTCGTCCTATATGTACACACTGTTATCGAAAATGGTGGTTGATTAGGACATAGGCCATTAATCTAATCTACTCGACCGAATAGAATGTAGAAGCAACAGGCACTTGCGCAATGTCCGTTTGAAGCGAAATGGATGCAATCATGCATCATGGAACGGAAATCCAATGTGCCGAATCTGCGTATTTGCCTTTACAAATTCAGAGCGGATACGCGGTGTACTGTATAACCTGGCCAATGACTTCATAAACCAAGCGCGAAGGTGCTCTCCTAGTCACTAAAGGGCCGAGACCGCGCGAACTTCCGAGATGATGTTTGCCTTGCATGGAATCCTTATGCAGCACGCTGCTTCATTCATCGGGCACTGGGGAGAAGGAAACTCCGTGATTCAGTACGCAATCTCACTCTACGCGGTAGACGTTGTTCTCAAAAGGGAGCGGCAAGGAGAAATTAATCAAAGCCGTAGGATCGTGAGGCGATGTCAGGCGTATGAGTTAATGAGTCATTTCCAGTGTATTCTACTCGCACTCCATCGCCGTTCGAAGAAGCAAGCTATTTGCGTACACTACGTCGTTGTTGTAAGCACACTTTACACGAGTACTCCAAGTCATTAACTGGCGTTTCTCTTTCCGCAAACGATTTCAGCGAGTACAATGGGACTCTCTTGCTAGTGAATTGGGCGTCTTATTGTTCACAACGAACTTCACGGAACTCTGGGAAGCTGTACTCCAGATAGATGAACAACCTATACCTTGGCGCTTCGTCTTCTGGGATGTTCCGTTCTCTTCTTCCCCCCCTCTCTGTGGATCCTGTGTATCTGGATCCTTGACTTTCTGTTTTTACCTGGGCGGTCTGCCTTATTCGGTTGTCTTAGGATCCTCGATCTAGCGAAGCCCTCGCTCGGCTATTCGCAGTGTTCTTCTTCCAAGGCGGCTGAACGGCAATGCCTCGAGGGAACTTCGAGGAGGCCGGCTCATCTTCGAACACAATAACGACTGCATGGTGCGCGATAAAATTATGACCAACAACCAACATTCCAAGCATGTATATTCTTAGGACACGGAGCGCTCATGCGCTTTGAAATGAGCAATTAGGATTTGAGTGTTCGCCTTCCATGCCGAACTACAGGGGATTTAGGGATCTCACTAGACCTCTATGCAGATCCCCTCTGTCGGATCGGAAAGATGATGAATAGCCTTTTTTGAGTAGGAGAATTACGTCGCGGAGGCATTTCTAAATCTCGGAGACATGGATGCTGTTCGTGACCATCCCGCTAAATCGATCTATCCGCGCCGTGTTGGTCCATTGATCCCTAGCCTGGTCAGCTGCTATGACTATGGGATATTCTTTCTACTCCTCGTCGTGTGCTCGACTTCTCTCGGTTTGTGCGACTTTAGATACTTACAAGGAAAGTTTGGAAGTGGGATGTGGATGTAGGTGCAATTGTAATGGACATTCGCGAGGGTGGATTCGAACTTCGGGATAGTGTGTCGGTCCGGCGGCGTAAGGGTTTACTTAACCCAATCGAATATGCGAAGCTCTCCTTTCGTTATTGTCGAGATGTTGAAACGAACCTCTTCGCGCGGATGCGAGAGCAATCTTGTTCCTTTCCAGTGGCATTTTCGGAATTGTGAGTGCTTGCCAGATTCCAGAGGTTCGGCGAAGACTCAGCGACGTGAGTAACATTGCGCAACTTTTTCATAAGCGTAGGTTCCCTTTCCACTCTCATTCCGATCCGGTGAAAAGTCCTCGGAATCGGATCCGACTACTTCTTTGTGGTTCCTTACTTACGGATGCATCTACTGTTCATATCTCGGCATAAACCAATATAGGAGACTCTTGCTATAATTGAGGAGCCGGACAGCTTGAATTCATGAAGAAAGGTTCGTTCTTGTTGTGTTGCATGTCATTATTGTACACATACATGCAAATATACATACACAATGAAGACATTCTCTCACAGAAGGCGAAGTCATTCCTACTGAGAAGTTCTCGATCTATTGCTTGCAAAGGCACAATTACGCGAGAATGCAGTGTATTAATCGCAATACCATGAGATATCGCCTCGAGATCAGTATCTACATGTGCATACATTTACGGCATCATATTTGGCATCTCTTATCTAGCTTAGCTTAGTTAGCCAGGATCCTCCCGTGCATCAGTTGATGGGATGGAAATGTCTGATGATTATGCATGAACCGACACGCGTTAAAGTATCCTTTATTAAAGCTGTCTCATCCCATCAGTCCGAAGGGATCGTAGCTACTGCAGACAATAAGCGAAGGGATTGAATGGTGATGTAAAACTGAAGAAGAATCGGAATGAGATGAGTGAATGCTCGAGGACTTCGAGGACTAGGAGAGGCAGAGACAATAAAGTAAACCGAGGACGGACTAAGTACGTATTCTTAAAGTCAAATCGATCATGAGGGTCGGGTGTGTCCCTGAGAGTGGGAGTGGCACTGACAGGCGCTCGGGTACTGAATGTGCTGGTGTATACATGCGGTGCCTTGACGAGACGCATTGTCCCGTTCTAGATTCCGAACGGGGCTGATGTCAAGGGGTGCCTGGGATATGGGGCTTTAAAGCTCATTATCTCCATCACTTCATCCCCGTTGACGCGATCATATCGCTCCCTTTCCACCCCGTCGATTTAGATCAACGTTCTCTTGAGAAAAATATGCTGGCCCAGCCTGACCTTTGAACTTGGGAAGAAGAAATAAAAAGAACAATCCCTTCACTGGGGGTGCTCAGCCTTCGGTGAAGGGGTCGAGATCGTGTGAGGGAGATAGAGGTCGGTGCATCGAGAGTTTAAATGCTGTTAGGAGCACTGTAAATGCTCTCGACTATATGGCTGGAATGGCACACACGACCCTTAATTATGTACGTCCCGTGAGCGCAAGGGTGACTTCGGCGGCAGCCTTGCGCTTCCCAAGGGATAGCGAGCATAAGGTTGATAAACAAGCTCGGGATGAGAGAGAAACATGTGCTGCATGAACTCTATAGTGTACAGCATGCGCCCCACAGGCAGACTGTCTGTGGAATTCCAGCACCATGGCCGGGTTTATATTCGGTACCGGCTCGTCGAATCGCTTTGTTTGGACAGGATAACCTCCACTGAGAAACATCGAATCACCTGGGGAAGGATTCGAATTCGAAAAGCAAAGAAGAAGTCACGCTAGTACGAGAGAATAAACTCCTGCGAGGAGGTCGCACAAATACTCGCTTGTTGTCTTCGGTGACCTAGAACATGGCCGTCGACTGACTGATCAGCATAAATAGCCTGGGTGCCGGGACTAGTGTACTGTGTTGCTACTTATAATATGTTCATCGGGAGCCGGAAACGACCTCCTGAAATGTACAGTAGAATAAGACTGCAGAGGGTAGAGTAAAGTCCGTGGGAGACGCAGGGCTGGTATGCGCCGGAGGGGATAAAGAGGAATGGGGGACGGGAGTCGGAAGAAGGGTGGATTCTATCGTGCTTCTGTGTCCGTCAACGTTGACGGGGAGGGTGTCTGGTATGTGATTGGTCAGAGTCAGCATACCTTCCATCTGTGGATTTATTGTGTTCGGGGAGAGTAAGTGCAGTGGGCTGAGCATAGCACTCGGCGTGGGCACAAGGGAATCAGTCACAGGGGCAGGGTAGAGGGTGACCAAGGAAACTGGCATCGCCAGTGCAAACGCATCATCAGCATCGATGGCAGCATGAAATAAATATAGTCTGCTGCGTAGTCGAGCTCGTCTTAGTAATGTAAAAAGTTATACGGTGGGTGAGTGGATTGCTCAACAGGCGCCGGGAATACGTGTCCCTGGGATGCCGGATATATCCTATGCATATTTTGTGGCTGGGCGAAAGGAACGTTTTGAGCAAGGATGAGAGATGGGCAGAGAGTCGTATGACATAAGCGTTGTTATATAATTCGTATAATAACGAGCGCGTGCGTTGGACGACCACAGGTACTGACTGACATCCGCTTGTCCGCGACAGAGTAAACGCACGACCCCCGCTTTCTTTCTCTTCGCCCCTTTCCTCGTAACGACAAGACACGAACTTGGCACGACTTAGTTCTTTTTCTTCAACGCATCTCTTCCCAGACTCTTCTCTCCATACGCTCTACACGCCCCTGCAAGACGCCTGCCTTCACATTTGTATACCCGCTCCAAATCGCTCGCCTGTCCCAAAGCGTCCGCTCTCTAACTCAAAAGTATGTAATCCAGTCCGTTCATCGCTCTCGCTCTCCGCTGAGACCGCCCATTTGCACGCTAGAAATCTGCAGGTTTTCGCCTGCTTTCGCCACTGATCAACCCAATTCACAATTGTTGCTGCACCGTTATCGCTACCCACTCTCGCTCCTGCTCAGTTTAACCCGCCGTTGCCCTCAAAATTTTCTGGTTGTATCCCGTATAGATTGAAGAATGGATAGCTGGCGCGTAGCAGTGCTCGGGGACGGAGGCGTCGGTAAGACCGCCCTTGCCGTTCAGGTGAGTTTTATTGCCGAAGGACTAGTTGGCGAACATCACCTGATCCTGCATCGATCAATGTCCTCCAGTTCACCCTCAATTGTTTTGTGGGTGCGTAGTACTGTTTCTCCGCCCCCTTTCTGTCTTACGAGAAGATGCTCACTCTGCGCAATGACCACGTCATTTCTTCTCTACAGAGGTGCGTGTGCACTCCGTCTCCACGGATGCTGATTCATCTCACATCACTGTATTCTCAATCTAACGTGACTTTACTTTGTTAGACTTACGATCCTACAATTGAAGATGCATATAGGAAGCAACTCGTAGTGGATAATCGAATGTGCTTCGTCGAAGTCATTGATACCGCTGGTCAAGGTATGTTCTCCCACTTCCGTTGCTTTGTAAACCCGATCAGCGGGACCTGACAACTCGTTAATTTTCAGAGGAATACGCGACTCTACGGGATCAATGGGTTCGGTGCGTGACTAATTTTCCAATCATCAAGTTATATGCCGCAACGATCGGCTCAATCTCTATTCATTTCGCACACAGGGAAGGACAAGGTTTCATTCTCGTATATTCGATCGCCTCGCGCTCAACATTCGAGCGACTGGAAGTCTTCCGGCAATTGATGCTTCGTGTGAAGCGTAACAAGCCGATCTTCGTGCTCGTCGGAAACAAATGCGATAAGACATATGAGCGTGAGGTGTCTAGGGAGGAAGGTGCCGCGCTGGCGCGCTCGTTCGGATGCGACTTCCTCGAGACATCGGCAAAGACGTCGCATAACGTTGAACGTCTGTTCACTAACCTCGTTCGCGCATTACGAGCCACCCGACAGGCAGAGCAAGGGCCTCCTCTGCCAATACGGCAAGGGGAACGGGAGAAAAAGAGGCGTTGTATTATTATGTAAGGAAAATTCGTTGTGTTTCCTCTTCTGACCATATAGACGCATCCAAGACCATCCCTCCATTCACCGAATCATTTCCCCCCTTCCGCCCTCTTTCCCCCGACTTTCCCCCCGTGTTCTTGATGCCGAAGACTTGCTTCTTACAGTTTTACTTCAATATCTCTCATCTGTACATTGTTTCATATCTGTCTCACCCCCGTCGGCGTTGTTTTCACCCCTCCTACCTCCCCTCAAAGCAAATGTCGCTGTGGTCTTCTTTGCCCTGCCTTTGTTTCCTGCGATATACAACAAATTTGTCACGTCTCTGCCCGCTTTTTTTTTAGTCCTTGCATGTCTTACTCTGACTTACAAAGAGTGGAATTTTGGAGTTTTTCTTCTCATTTCTTTACCTTCTATCTGTCGTGTTCTTTCTTCCTTCCTTCCTCCTGACTTGGTCACAGTGAGCAAGCGTCCCCTTCCTCCTGCTCGCTCGCTAGCCGTCCGTTTGACGGGCGTACGCATGATGTTCTATACGGACTTCCCTTTTTTCCCTTCCCTCCCCCCGTTTTCTCCTTTGCCTTTCCTGCGTTTTCTTTATGTCCAAATTGCATTGTTTTCTCTTTTCTCCTTTATCTCTTCCTTTTCTTTTCTTTTTCTATTTTCATGGTTTTATCACGAGTGATATAAAAGAGAAGTTTCTTACGAGCGCAAGGAAATGGAAAACCGGTTCAAATTTTCGAATTTTCGAGTCTTTGAGTCTTTGAGGTCTTTGAGGTCTTTGAGTCTTTAAGAAGCTCATGTGCACATGTTGTACATGTGTTGTCCATATGTCCATATGTGCTATTACCGTGAAATGATAAAATGAAAATGAAGGGGTGTTCGTTCTGATTCTGAACAGGGACAGTCACTGAGATTTTTTGTGATATTTATGATTTGTGATTTAAGAGACTTCTCTTGAATGGATGAATTATTGGACAGGCGGAGGAACTTCAAGTCAATAGGACGGGACAGGACGGGACAGGAGTGAATAGAGAGTCTAGACATTAGAATTTATTAGATGTAGGATGTCGAACGAGACTATGAGAGTCTCGTTTCTTGTATTGGGGGGCTATATACTTATGTGCTATGTGCATACTTTCATAAAGGAAAGAGAGAAATGAAGGGACAGATAGAGATTGAGAGTTCATAACGACAGTCGAAGGAAAGATTTAAGAAAGCCGATGGAAACCAAACACGGATTCTTGATTCTCGATTCTTGATTCACTCTTGTCATAGTATAAACCACCGACAGGAAAGAACAAGCTCATCTCCAGAACCAGTGTAAAATTAACAAGTCGAAATCTTTCGTACGCGCACAGAGGCCTTTTCTCAAAGAAAGGAAAGAGATCAAGCGATTCGCTCATTCGTTCATTCCATTATATTCAGTCAGATAGACGCGAGATGGTGAAGACTGCGATGATAGCGACTGCTAGCGCGCCGATGCTCGCGGGCAAGAGTAGGTCGCGTGGGATACCGAGAACGCCGTCGTCCGCGCCGCCTGGAACGGACGCGGAAGTAGTCTTACTCGTCTCTGACTGCTTAGTGTCGACGCTGGGGACGGCGCTCGCGGAGAGTTCGCTGGCGGGTGCGATTGTTGCTTCGCCTTTCGGCGTAGCAGTAATCACAGGAGCTGGTGTTGGCTCGGGTTGTGCTGGTTTGGGAAGAACCCAAGAAGAACCGCCGTGTAAGAAGAGAACGACCCGATCGACACCTGCTCGACGAGCGATCTTGACTGCATCGGAGAGGTCCTCGCTGTGTGAGATATACACGTCGTCCCCGTCTGCGTCTTTGTAGTACATCTGGAAATCTTCCGTCTTGGGCGCGTTCTCCGTTGCTTGTGCCGCTGATGCTGATCCGTCTCCGCCGGCGGCGGCGGCGGGAGAAGCAGATGAAGTGGTAGTAGATGATGTGAAGTAAGGATCCATTTGGAGCTTGCCGATGATGATTTCACGCAAATGCTCAACGTCGTCGTAACGAGCCTGGAAGCGATGCGTGCGCTTGGAGGGTGTACTGAACTTGAAAACGTAAGTCCCATCATCGACCGGCGCAGGTTCGCCAACTCCTGCTCCTGAAAACCCGCCGACGCTCGATACGGCGTTATTATCGCCTTTATTATTAATATTATTACGACGGAGTGGCGGGAAGTCGACATTCGACCCATGGTCGTGGTCATCATCCACAACAGATGCAGAGTCGTTTGGTCCTACTTCCGGCGTCTGTGCCAAGTGCCGCATCGGCGAATCTGGATATGGAGGTGGAGAGTGTATGTCTGTAGGGACGTTTGAACCCGATATCGCTGAGTCATTATCATCGTGCCCGATCGACTCGAAGAAGCGACCCCACATGGGCCCGCCAGAGTTATCTACGCCTGTTTCCGCGGCCATTTGGTCCATCTGATATGAGACGGAAAAAGCAAAGGCAATAATTAGCTCAGATTCCATTCCATACTATACTACTGCGAGCAAAGAATTTCCGAGAGGAAGGGAGGAAAAACAATGAACAATGAACTGACCTGTTCGAGCGTAGCGTACGTGAGCTTCAATACATCTACTATAGCCACCAAGCGCCCATCTGCCTCCACAACCGGAAGGTTGAGGTAATGGCCATCTAATAGGGTTTAAGCGGTTAGACAACAGTGGAATGTATAGATGTCATGAAGAAGCAACTGACTGTACATCTTCTTAAGTGCATCCTGGACAATCATTGTCGGCGCTGCGGTGTCCGGATGGGGCGTCATCACTCGAACCACGCTGCAGCGAGAAGGCTCAAGACCAGCAGCAATAACGCGCAGCACGATGTCTTTGCTCGTGAATATACCCGCGATACGCGGAGGAGCACCGGGGACGCCCGTGTTTTCCATAACACAAACTGCGGTCGTACGGTTCTCTTTCATGAGCTTCGCGGCTTCCTTGACCGTCGTCTTGGGGCTAACAGTAGCCGGATGCGTACGCGAGTCCATGACGCTTGTGAGATCCGGAAGCGCAGTCTTCTCGCGCAAAGCGTCGACGTAAGCAAGCATAGCCGCCGCCTGTGGGTTTGCAGACATGTTTGGGCCAAGCTCTGTTTGCACGCCGGTCAGAGCATGGTACAGCTTCTCGGAAGCAGATGAACTGCGTTCGACTTTGTCCAGTGCTTCATGGAAGACTTTGGTGATATCAAGTAGACCAACGACGTTGCCTTCTTCGTTGCAGACCGGCTGAATGATTCATGAGTATTGTAATACGATTGAGAAGACCCGCGGAATTGAGACGCGGTACTTACCAGGTGGCGGAAGTGCCGCGTAACCATAAGTTGAAGAGCCTCGGTCGCGCTGGTTGTATCTCTCGTAACCATTGGGTTCCGCGTCATAATCGCACTAACGGGTGTAGAACGCGGATCAAGGCCTTCTGCGGTGACCTACACGCTTTATTTTTAGCTTGACCTGACACGAAGCTTCATCATTTGTTACACACCCTGTAAGCAAGGTCCTTGGCAGTGAATATACCGCTAAGTCCCTCCTCTTCATCAACGACGAGAACGCAGTCCGTCCTTTTTGCTGCACATAGTTGACTTGCGTCTGAAACTGTGATTCCCTCTGGAACGGTGAGTGCGGGACTCGGTTTGAGTGCTGCGACAGAGCCTTTCGGCGCAGAAGGTTTCTTCCGACCACTAGGTCTGCTTTGGGTGTTATTAAGTGAGATGGTGCGTTTGCGGGCGAGGTCAGACTCTATCTTCTTGCGGATAGCCTGTGGGTAAAGACGCGACTCGGTCAGTTCTGTACGTGTTGATGTATGTGAACTACGGCGATGGGTAGAAGTTTGAGAAGAAGATAGTGGCAGTCCACTGGTGGGTTGTTTGCCAGGATGTGAGAAAACATCATCTGCACTCTCGAGTTGGACGTTCATGATGAACTGAGAAAACGAGGAGAAAGGTATAGTACACGTGTATCAACGCAAAAACACGTCCTCTTGGGCTGATTCGCGAGGAAAACACGAGAGATCGAGGATGAAGTGAAGGACGGACCTCGTCACGTTTTGCTTGCTTCTTACGTGTGTCCGAAGCGGAACCAGAGAAGGAGACGGAAGACATTGAGGTAGGACGTTGTGGAGAAAGATGAGAGGGCGAGACTGCGCGTTCTGGGAAGGGGATTGGACTGACTGGGCGCTGGAGGGAGGAGGAGTGAGAGTGAGTTGGGACGGGAATGCGCGACATGCAGAGAGCCAGAAGCACCAGCACTACAGCAGCTAACTCGCTCGTTCGTCGGAGCGTCCACGTTTGCCGATCCTCCCAGGTCTTTATTCGGGCATGCCACTTCCTTATCAGGTAACCCGTCTGTTAACCTTCAATATTTTGCTCTCCCCATTTTCTTACTTATCGGAGGCATTGTTTGCAATGACAAAGAGCGGGTGTAATTTTTGATTTATTTATGTATGAAGAATAGCATTGAACGAATATTTTATTTTCCGCAGACGTAATTTATGCTGAAATAAAATCTGACCGGCCCTAAATAGACGACGTCAGTCAACCGCTCCGCTGTTCACTTTCTTTGCACTCGCCGCTCGTCTTTCCTTTCACCTTATCCTTCCACATCCATCTCAAAACAACACATACTCGCACGCGCCGCTCACGATGGCCACTCCCCAGGTACAAACTTCATCTCCTCTCCGTCAAAGTTCATTACTGATTTTTTTTGCCCTGGGTCCAGCACTATGTTTGGGCAGGAGGTCACTTCCTCATGCTCGCATGTGCCTCCAAATACCTCCTCGCCTGGCTAACCTTCCGCAGCGTTGGCCAGTCTAGACTCTACTCTCGTCGGTCCACCTCTCCGTCTGCGAAATTCTATCTCTAATGGTCTTGTGACAGTGAGCTACTTCGGTGCACTCGTCAGCTATGCCATCGTGTGCTAGTACGTGTCTTACGCGTGTTTCCGCATCTGGCTGCGCGTGCTAATATCTTATCTTCCAGTAAATCGTTCGCAACTCAAGTGAGCATGACTATACACTCATGGGAATATTCTAATCTGTTCGAGCAGGGGGCACCCAGTGCGACCACGCTTAGGCGCGCCTTGATGGACGAGGTCTGTCTGTCTTCTCTTCTTCCTTCCGACGTCAACGTCTAATGCCACGTTTAACAAACCCAATCAGAACGTGCAATACTTCATCCTCGCGTTTTTCTGGTGGATGTCCAAGCCTATTCCAGGTACGTGGAACATACGAATGATATATGTCAAGACTTACGTGGCGATCTAACGCAATACGGCAATCAACAGTGTCCCTTATTCCGTTCGCAACCTTTTCTCTTTTCCACGTTTTGACGTTCCTGCGTTCGAACCTCCTACCACATTTCTTCCCGCCGACGCCACCTGCTGCTGCTGGACAACCGCCCACGCAGCATCCGTTCCTGAAAAAGGTCCAGGGCTGGATCAAGGGTGCGAATATCACACCAATCCCGCTGGATGTTGGATTAACCGTTCTGTATAGCAAATTATGACCCTGCGATGCGCATCGTCGCATACGCGGAGCTATTGATCCTCGTCCGCGTTGCACTGGGAGCACTGACGTTCCAGAACTCACTCCTCGCACCCGTCATCTTCGCGCATTTCCTGCGTTTGCGCTTTTACCAGTCGCAGTTCACGCAGCGAGCTGTTTCACATGTTCAGAGTCTCATCGACGGCTTCGTGCGCCGTCCTGGAAACCCACCTGTGCTGGCTAGTGTGTGGGAAAAGGCGAAGGTGCTGATTACGCGCTGGTCGGGCACTGTTCTTACCCAGGCGCCCCAGCCTCAAGCGCAGCCCGCTGGTGCTGCCGGTGCTGCAGGAGCCGGAGCCGGAGCCGGAGCAGGTCGTCGCTGAGAAAGGGTGGAAGGTAGGGGATTGAGGGTAGAGATAAGGGAGTAATTTCTTCTGGGAGGGTTAATTGTGCCTGCTTCGAGACGTAGACTCTCTTGGAACAAAGTACTCTACCGTATTTTGAATGTAGAAATCCGTCCGGCGAGGTGTTTCATTTTCCAAATTTTATATTTGTTCATGTTTTATTCTCCTAGTTGCTGTCTTGTTGTTTGTAAGGAGTTGATATTGTTGTCGCACGTAAGGTATGCACATTATTCTACAGGGACAGGATACACGATATGAGTTGCGTAGTCTAATGGCTAAGGGCTAATAGAGAGGACGTTATAATAATCGTAGTTTGCCTGTTACTTGATTTATTAGATCGACGGGAGCTACAAGAAGGCCGTATGAGTAACTGTGATTCTTTACCATGTACCAAAAAACTTACCAGGTCCAATGCCGAGGACAGTCCGGGTACCCTCTTTGCCTTTCGTCAATTGTCTGCAGGGCATACAGTCAATATTAGAATCTAGTATAGATGAGCAAACTACGTACTCGCTATGTGCTGCACGCGCACATAAGTTGAGACTCTTCGCGATGGCTTCTAGTTCGAGGAGTTGTTCGTCTGAGGTTCCTTTGAGTGCGATTTTGGCTTGGCTGGTGTGTTTTGTGGAGAAGGTGTTAGATTATATGGTTAAGATTTGCCGGTAAAGGAGGAACTGAAGAAGATAAGATAGACGTACCCTGTTACTTCCCAGTGTCGGGCGAGTTGAGGGTTTTTGAGGTGGAGGGTTTTGTAGCATTTGAGTGTTGCGTCGCTGAGTGGGAAGCCAGATAGATGTTCAGTAGATGGTTGCACATTGCTATTAGATGGAGGGAAGGGGATTGAATGTAACTTACGCGCATCTGCGATATACAGTATAATATACCCAAGGTCAGTATTGTATCAGATGATCGAGGAGGATACTTTGAATAGGTGAATGAACGAGTATGGAACGTACTGCATCGAGATGTCACCCGGGCTCATTTTTAGGTCTGTTCGTACGACAAGTACCTGCATAGATGATGTTCCAAGGGTAAATTAGCAAGTTTAGGAATTAAATTGCCTCTTTCATTAATTTTTCGAATCAGAAACTGTGAATACGATGATACGTACGAGTTTACATTGATCCCACATCTTTGGTTTAATTGCAGCAAGGTCACCATCTGTTAGTGCCTCGAGAGCTTCGATGTTGGTGTTATCTCCTTCTGCAACTGAGTCTACTGAGTCTACTGAGTCTGCTTGTGATGTTTCATCTTGAGTAGGCCGAGTTTGAGCGTTTGAAGTTGAACCGATTGTGAAACCGATGATGAGGGAAGTGAGGACGATTAATATTTGCGTGGCGGCTATTTTCCGTATTCAAAGGATCAGTTAGTCGGTTTATTTGGAGGGAGTGTTATGATACAGACGAACTGTGCATTGGTATTGATAGTGGGCCTGCATTTGAGCTAGGCATTTTGAGAGTATGCAAATAGAACGAGGAAAGCTGGTTGAATGAGTGAGATTGGCAATGCTGAAGCGTCGATCGTTTGATCACGGCAAGGCCCGTGCAGGATTTTTTGTTCCCGAGCATTTCTGCAGCAGAAAGTCTCTGCTACATCTTCCCTTCCTACCTCCTTTTCACTTCCTGCGACATTTGAACCGTCAGCATGGCCGTGGAGGTGAGTACTAGCGCTTCGCCCACGCCGGCTCAACCGGAGCGACAACCATTCTCATCACTGGAGCTGTCCGAGCCTACGACGAAGGCAATTGCGGAAATGGGATTTACGACGATGACGCCTGTACAGGCTAAAGCGATACCTCCTTTACTTGCAGGGAAGGACGTGCTTGGCGCTGCGAGGACTGGTTCGGGGAAGACACTTGCGTTCCTCGTGCCTGCTGTTGAGCTGTTGCATAGGTTGAAGTTCAAGCCAAGGAACGGTGCGTTTCTCGTTTCTTTAGTTTTGCCCAACCCGCAATGACTTAAACTAATCTTCATTGTTACCCTGTTATCGAACTATACTACAGGCACAGGCATTATCATACTCTCACCAACACGGGAACTCGCACTGCAAATATTCGGCGTCGCAAAAGAACTCATGGCGTACCATTCTCAGACATTCGGTATTGTCATCGGTGGAGCGAATCGAAAGGCTGAGGCAGAGAAGCTTGTGAAGGGTGTGAACTTGGTTGTTGCGACTCCTGGAAGACTGCTTGATCATTTGGAGGTGTGCATCATTTCCTCATTATTCGTCAGTATCGTATGTTGATGTTTTGAGTGGAACAGAATACGAAAGGATTTGTGTTCCGAAACTTGAAGGCTTTGGTTATTGATGAGGCGGACCGGATCCTTGAGATTGGATTTGAAGAGGAGATGAAGAAGATTATTAGCATTTTACCGAATGGTACGTCGAACAATAACCTGTCCACAATTTTTCGTTTCGGTCATTGGCTTATCTTTTTGCGTCTTTACCCAGAAAATCGACAGTCCATGCTCTTTTCTGCGACGCAGACCACAAAAGTCCAGGACCTTGCTCGAATATCGCTTCGTCCCGGTCCTTTACATATTGACGTCGACAAGGAAGAAGAGACGAGCACTGTGTCTACGTTATCGCAGGGCTATGTCGTTTGCCCTTCTGATAGGCGGTTCCTACTGCTATTCACGTTCCTCAAGAAGAACCTCAAGAAGAAGGTTATTGTGTTCTTCTCGAGTTGTAACTCAGTCAAATATCATGCGGAACTCCTGAACTACATTGATGTACCAGTGTTGGATCTTCATGTATGCTTGTCAATCTTGGATTTTTCCGGTAACGAAATTCTGACATTTTGACTACTTTCAGGGTAAACAAAAACAACAGAAGCGCACAAACACGTTCTTCGAATTTTGCAATGCCACTTCCGGTATCTTGCTCTGTACCGACGTCGGCGCACGAGGTCTTGATATTCCGAAGGTTGACTGGATCATTCAGTTTGACCCGCCTGATGATCCTCGTGATTACATCCATCGCGTCGGTCGGACGGCTAGAGCGGGAAAGGCAGGGAAGAGTTTGCTGTTCTTGTTGGAAAGTGAACTTGGGTTCTTGCGATACCTGAAGGAAGCGAAAGTGCCCTTGAACGAGTTTACGTTCCCTGCTGAGCGGATAGCTAACGTCCAGAGTCAGGTAATTAAAAATCTCTTCTCTACCACTTGATACTTGATGCCTAATTTTTTACTTCCTTTGATTGCAGCTCGAAAAACTTTTGCAAAAGAACTACTTCCTTCACCAATCTGCTCGCGACGGATATCGGTCGTACCTGCAGTCGTATGCATCACATTCACTCAAGAAGATATTTGATGTGAATGCTCTAGACCTTGTGAAAGTCGGACGAGCATTCGGCTTCTCTGTACCCCCTCGAGTCAATATTACCGTCGGAGGTGGTAAGAGCGGAAACAAATCGAGCAGGAAACGAAGCAGAGGCGAGGATGATGAAGACGAGGATGAGAATGAATGGGAGGACGAGGATGGTGCGGAAGAGTATCCAGGGGGCGATAGGAGACAGGGCAAGGCACGGAGAGTAGAGACTATGGGCAGGAAGAAAGTGCAGAAGGAGGTGTTTAAGAAGAGTAGGGAGCGGAAAGCTGGGAATTGGAGTCGATAGTACTCTTTTTATTCTTCCATTTACTTCTTGCTCTATGCTTTTCTCTAGATGGGATTGTAATTATTTTGTGCAAATTCTTCTCGTAAATCCGATTCCGTATTTCAAAGTTTGAAATTGAAGAGTGAGAAAGATCGTTTAGGGCCGGCTTGTACGCGAACGCCCGCGTCGTACTCGCGCTTTTCACTGCTCCTTCAATCTTCAGCCATGTCTTTCCTCGATGAACCAGAGACAACCGACCAAGTGCAAGCTGAGCGGGCGCGCTACTTCGAAGAGTTCTTCAACGCGCAGACCGAGCATTATGACTACAAGGACAACATCGCGCGAATGTTGCGCGAAGACTCGACGCGGCTCATCGTCAACATCGACGACTTACGCGACTATAGACGCGAATATGCGGATGGTCTCTTGAAGGCGCCGACGGAATATCTGTCTGCTGCGGAGGAAGCGTTGCTCACGATCGTGAAGACCGTATATGACCCGGAGAAACACGCGCTTGCGGACAAGGGCTACAAGGTCGGCTTCAGTGGGTCGTTTGGTGAAAATCACGTCTCGCCGCGGACGTTGCGCGCGACGCATATCAATAGGATGATATCAATTGAAGGAATCGTCACGCGTTGCTCACTCGTACGCCCGAAAATGCTCAAGTCGGTGCATTACTGTCCGAAAACGAAGCATTTCCATGCACGTGAATATCGCGACGCGACAACGTCAACGTCGAATCTCCCACCGACTACTTCGTTAACTCCTCAGACAGATGATGAAGGGAATGTACTTGAGACGGAGTTTGGGCTGAGTGTTTTCCGTGATCATCAACGGATAAGTATTCAGGAGATGCCGGAACGTGCGCCAGCTGGACAGTTGCCAAGGAGTGTGGATGTTATTTTGGATGATGACCTTGTGGATAGGTGTAAACCTGGTGACAGAGTCCAGCTTGTTGGGATTTATCGTAGTGTTGGAGGTGGAGGCGCGGGAACCTTCAAGTAAGTAGTTATGGACTCGCCATCGCCGCAATGTCGCTCATTTAAGTTTCAGGACGCTCTTGCTTGCGAACAATATCAACTTGCTGTCTTCCAAATCAGGAGGTGGAATCGCTCGCACAGCACTGACCAGTACCGACATTCGTCAGATCAACCAGCTTTCAAAACGATCAAAGATTTTCGACCTCCTTTCTCAATCCATGGCTCCATCAATCTACGGTCATGACTATATTAAGAAGGCCATACTGTTGATGCTCTTGGGAGGCGCTGAAAAGAACCTTGCAAACGGGACGCATATTCGTGGAGACATCAACATCCTAATGGTCGGTGACCCATCCACGGCGAAGTCCCAGCTATTGCGTTTTGTACTTGGTACTGCACCTTTGGCTATTGCAACTACTGGTCGAGGAAGTTCAGGTGTTGGTCTGACTGCTGCTGTTACGACGGATAAGGATACGGGAGAGCGACGACTCGAAGCTGGCGCTATGGTGCTTGCTGATAGAGGTGTTGTTTGTATCGACGAATTCGACAAGATGTCGGATATTGATCGAGTCGCTATCCATGAAGTCATGGAGCAGCAGACTGTCACTATCGCGAAAGCTGGAATCCACACTTCTTTAAATGCACGGTGTAGTGTTATCGCTGCTGCCAACCCGGTCTATGGACAGGTGAGAGCATTGTTTTTGGCTCGCAAATCTTGTATCTATTGACACCTTTTTTACAGTACGACGTCCATAAGGACCCACACAAAAACATTGCACTTCCAGACTCTCTCTTGTCACGTTTCGATCTTCTATTCGTTGTCACCGATGATGTAGAGGAAGTCAGGGACCGGAAAATCGCAGACCACGTCCTGCGCATGCACCGATACCTTAAGCCAGGTACAGAAGAGGGCACTCCTGTCCATGACAGTCTTACTCAGTCATTATCCGTGGATGGACCTACTTCAAATGACCCCGATGCAGAAGCAGAGGAGACGAGTCCGTTCGAGAAGTATGATCCCCTGCTGCACGTTGGTATTGGTGTTATTACGTCCTCTGGAAGGACTCCGGGTAACAAAAAGAAGGAAGTGCTTAGTCTTGCGTTCATCAAGAAGTACATCCAGTATGCGAGAAGCAAGACTGCACCTGTGCTTACCAAGGGTGCTGCGGAGTGGATTGTAAACGCGTATGCTAATTTGCGGAATGAAGCACCGGAAGGTAACGAACGGAGAGTGAGTACTTGACTTCTAAGTCGTGTTTCCACACAGGTTCTGATATGTTTGGATGGCGCAGACATCTCCACTCACTGCTCGTACGCTGGAAACTCTTATTCGTCTAGCTACAGCACACGCAAAGGCTCGCTTGTCTCCAAAGGTGCAGGAACAAGACGCTCAGGTCGCAGAGGAACTTCTTCGATGGGCGCTCTTCAAGGAGGTGCTTAGGCGTAAAAAGCACATAAAGAAACGTAAGCTCAATACGGGTGCAGCTGTTGCTCATGGCGAAGATGAAGACGAGGAAGGCGAGGAGGATGGAGAGGGCTCAGAAGAGGAGGAGGAAGAGGAAGCGACGCAAACAGATCGCATGGTTGAGACTATGGCTAGACAGAAGCAGAAAGAAGTGACGCCTGCACCGGTACATGACGATATGCAGATGCCGGTTGACCATCCACCCGCTGGACCGACGGAAGATGGCAGTATTGCACCAGACCGGTAAGTACCAAAATAGCACAGTTTGCCACTAAACGAGGACTAACTGGTTTTGCAGGTTAAGGCTTTTCCGTCAACGGCTTGCTTCTGTCTTCTCCACGAAATATCAGGACGAAGAACAGGTGTTCTTCGCAGAGCTCTTGCCACATATAAATGAGGGCTTGCCGACGAACACGCTATTTGGTACGGCAGAGGCGACGGCCGCATGCCAGGCCATGTCAGACCAGAACGAGCTCATGTTGAGCGATGGGATTGTGTACAAGATTTAAAATAGTGTTGCGTTATAGATTGGCTTTATGTTGCTTTTTTCGGTACATTTGTCGTATTTTATATTGCGTCTATGTAGCTTCTCGTAAATTTATTTGGTTTGGTAAGGGGTGACGGAAGTTGAGATAGAGTTTTGAGAAGCATGTGATATTGTTGAACCGGCGATCGTGTTACGTCGTGCTGGCTGGCCAAACATATGTTCTCCACCACCGACTCTCTTTTCCTTTCACCACAGCCTCCCTGCGGTGTCCTCCCTTGTTTTATTTAACGAGTCCTGATTATAGTGGCATTATACCATAATTAACCGGGGCACGAACAATGTCGACGATCAATTCTATCCTCTCAGACCCGCACTATCATGATATTTTTGCCGTCCTAAAGGGAATTCGCAATGCTGTTGTCTACGGTGTCAAAATTCGTTTTCCACATGCGCTTATAATGTCTATCTTATTCGGCAAGGGAGAGTAAGTGGTTCTCCGTCGTAGTAACTCTTCATGAAACTGATAAAGTATTTGCTGCATTCCTTCCTTCAACACATTTATTTATTTTACAGTTGGTCTTCGCGTATACGTATGATCCTTCGTATGACGAGGGACCATGCAGTGGGACTCGCGAAGTTCGTGACGTTGTTTAAGATCATGATGATTGCGCAGAGGAGGATACGTGGCGGGAAGAGCCAATCGTCCGACACGTTCTTTGCTGGTCTTGTTGGAGGGTATATTGTGTTTGGTGACCGTACGCCGATTAACGAGCAGGTACGTATCCCACTATTACACATTTTTCAACAGCTGCTCTACTCTACGTGTGGCTTATAATTCATAATTGATATAGATTGTACTATACGTCGTCTCTCGTGTCGTTGCCTCCTTCCTCTCGAGAGAACGACTAAATGGGAACGCTACACCGGCCACTCCAGCTCCTCCGGGTTCTCCTGCTCGTCCCATGCACCCAGATGCACGACAATTCTCGGTGTTTGCTGCGATAGCTTGGGGTGCTGTCATGTGGTTGTTTGAGAATCGGAGTGAGACTATCCAGCCGGGTATGTGGAGTTCGATGAAGTATTTGTACAAGGTGAGTAAACAAAGCGCGTTTATGTGTGTGTCCTGTGGCATCGATTAACGATGGTTTGTTTAGGACTCCGAGACCTGGGATGGACTTCGGACGCTGCTGTGGCGCAATAAGTAGCGGGTTGTTAGGCTACAGCATGATCCTCCCTAGAGAGCTAGACGATTTTCTTGGATGCTACGATATCCACCACTAATACACGTGTTGTTTGATACCGTCATTGGCCTTCCACGGGTAACTTGCTGATGCGGCGCGCAACTCGTTGGCATCTGTACTGTCATGCGTACGAAATTTGTATAGGTAAGTTTTCAGGACGGAATGAGAAACTCACAGAGAGCATGTCGGTGGCGGCAACCCACGCCTTTCGACAGGTCTTGCATCTCCGGTCAGTTCCTTTCAATCCACGGGCCATCTTTGCAGCAACGTCGGTCCCTAACGATTGTACTCAACGAATTGAACAACAACTATAAATTATTTCAGAGATTCAATCTCACCTGAGTGTACATCTGGTAAGATTGCCTGACGAGTTGTTTCCCACAACGATTCAACATGTACTTTGTGGGCATCACATACACCATATCCGTGTGGGAAGAGCTCTTCTTTCATAAGTAACTCTTTGAATTTCAGTTGACGATGGGTTTGAAGGAGTAAGAGATTGTGTAACGCTTCTGCTGTTGGGATGATTTTGATTTCTTTTGAGGTGAATGATGAGAGAGGTGTGGATGCGAGGAAAGTGCTTGCTTTATCTGCGATTTCGCGGAGGGAGTGGCCAGTTGCGAGACCGTAGACGAGGAGAGGCGCGGTTGGTGTTTGTGCTGAGAGGTGGGAGTGGAGGACTTTTGTGATGGGTGGATTGAATAAGTATTTGTCGGCCAGGGCGAAGAGGCGAGGGAGTAGAGGATGTGGGATTGCTGTTTGAGTGGGTGCTGGTTTGTAATGGATGTTTGGTTCCATTGCACTTCGCTTTAATGGCTTTGTCTCTGGTAAGGTCTGAGGCGGGTCATGCAAGAGTCGGACAAGGATCTCGATATCCTTTGCGGATTCGTAAATATCCATGCATTCGGCCTTCTCATTGCCTTCTTCCTCGCTATCACAGCAAGAGAACATGTCGGCTAATAAAATATTTAACACTCGTTAGCAAACATATAGCTAATAAACCGACTTACAGAAAACTTGACTGCCTTCTACAAGCTTTGCCTTTTGTACAGGGAAGGTGACGTCCTCTGGAAGGCATCGGATATAGAAGTCGGGGTTATAGTCCATACGAGACATAGCTACAATGTTGACCTTGGAGGCAAATGATTGATACAAGCCTTTATATAAATTGATACCTAAATATAAAATTAGGTTGACGTGTCTTTATGTGTCGCTGACTAGTCAAGCACTGCACTGCCACACTTTGAAGGTTCAAACACCAGGTGCTAAGTAAGCAAGCCAAGACTTTAAATCATCAGAAATTTGAAGCGAATATTCGCTTAATTCTTGTATCTTTGGTACTTCTCAATTCATGGTCATAAAAATACATAGAAATAGTAAGTGAGTCGCGTGCTTGGAGTGAGATCAGGATTTATTTTGTATTTTTGACGCGTCTTGACGGGAGACGCGTTGAGTCGCTTACGTAAAAGAGTGTGGATCCGCGCTTCGCGAACTTTGGCTACTTCAACTCAATACTTACCCTCTTCCCCTATACAACTGCCCTTGTTGCTCTAGCTCAGATAACTTCCAGAAGGACCGAATATTAATAAGGGTGTGCGTTAATCATGGCGAAAGCAGATAAAGAAGCGGTCCTGTCCGACTTGGTCAGTCAGTTAGAATTAATTCATCTGACTCCAGAGTCTCGAATAGTGCCCTTGCACGAGACATCCTGACGCGCGTTATCTTACTTACAACACTGCACTACAGACAAGTCGGATATTCGCTTCTATGATGGGAGAGATTGCTATGGACGTAGCTATCCAGGCGCAGAAGGAAGAGAGGAATAGTTTGAGCGTTTGTAAGATTTGTGGTATGCGGTGAGTTTCTGGTTTGGTTTTGTCTTATACGAGTTTGTGTCTGGTTTAACTCAAGTATGGGGTACGTGTATGTTATAGGTGTAACCAAGGTGAATTCGAATTTTGTCTGTATACTACATGCCAGGTCGTGTTTAAAGTGCATCCAGTACATGCTCTCCCGGAGGCTGCACCAGCTGCTGGGAGCTCACGAGCGGGTTCTCCAACGATTGATGGCCTACCTCCTCCCGATTCTGGCACGCCGGGAAGTTCTGGGAAGTCTGACGGGAATATCAACCTGAGCTGTGTTAACTGTCAACGGCTCGTGAGCTTATCTGAAACTTGTCTTGGAGTTAGTACATCGAAACTAAACAAGCTTACTTCCAGTTTGCATCCAACAGGTATGCACAACACCTTACTACTTGTCTGGGTGTAGGAACTGGTGTAAGGCGTACTGCTCAGAGAAACGCCGTGACGAAGACGAAGTGAGTTTGACATTCTTTCCGTTGTGATTGATGTTGAATTTCCAAGAACAAATGCGAATACTCGTTCGGGATCTCCGTATGTGGATGAAGTTGAAGACGCAAAACCTATAAAAGGGAAAGGAAAGGCTAAAGGGAGAGCCGCAGGTATGTATCATTTCCATTTTTCATAAATTTCCTTCACTATCATCCGTCTGATGAAAGCTCCAACAGCCGAAGACGATGTTGTTGGCGCACTGAAGGTACGCACTGCCGCTAACTTCTATACAAATTCAAATATATCACGAGCTCAAATAATTACAAACAGTCTGGGTTGCCTCAGCCTTCTCCAACAAAGAAGCAGAAGAAAGGGAGAGCGACTCGTGAGTATAGCGTTTTTTTACATCCCGAACTGGATTATCTCATCTGTATCCGCAAACAGCAGCCACTGGAACAGGTCCGCCTCGACTACCAGGGAGTGTACGTCTCTCATCTCATTTTCTCTCCACCTTTTCCAGGCAGATCATCTTAGCCTAACAAAACAATTACAGCGTCTAGGTCCACCAGGCTCAAACCCAAAACCGCCCTCCAAAGTCCGCTCAACACCCACCCCCTCCATCGCCTCCCACATCTCCAAAACCTCACACTCGCCCTCCGCACACTCCAACGACTCCTCAGACGCCGAAGGCGGCATCCCCGCCACGGGCGGCACCGGCGTCGACTCAGGCGCAGAAGGCGAAGGCGAGTCGCAGTCTTCTGTCCTGGGTGGGATTAGCCCTTCGTTGCCTACCGCGGAATCGATCGGTCGTGGACGAAGTAAGGCTGGTAGTTTCAGCCAAGGTACTGGGAGTGGGGGTGGTAGTAGTGCTGGTGGAGGATCAAAGGCGAAGAAGGTTACTGGGACGGGTCCACCTGCGAAGAAACCACCTCCACCGCCTGTGAATCGTTTACCGAGCCTTCCGCCCCCGCCTCCTCCGCCCGTTAGACAACCTAATTCTACTTTCCTCATCGGTAAGCACGTTTAGCCGACATAATACTCCGGTAAAAGGTTTTGCTTATAATTTTATCTGTGCTGTAGATATTGAAGGGGATGAAACTGGTTCTGACACAGACTGAGTACCGCATCAGTGACTCTGCTAAAGCTGAAAGATCTTGTTTATCGATTTGCTCTGCTATATCTATTTTCATATGTATGATGACATCGTGTGCAATATTGTTCCTATCTTGTACCACGTACATCTTCCAGTGAATGCCATCATCAGTTATTTCGGACTAAAATATGTATGTATATTCAAGGACGACAATACTATTTTCGCTATTTACTTTTGTGCGACGAGATCAGAATATCTCACCGAGATTAACGCGGTGTACGATAGCGTTGTACGATTAATGATGAAGAGGGCTTTTAGCTGGGAAGAACATCCAGAGAACGATCAATGTGACAGTCTGTGCAACTGTCATGTACACCAAGACCTTAGGACCACGAAGATTGGACATGGCGCCAGCAATGAATGGGAATATAGCTATCAATACCCATTTGTTAATAAACGTTGCAACAAATAAGACGAACACTCACAGCTGCCGAGATTAGAGAAGCCAGCGCTATGTAGCAATGCAGACTTGTTAGCTATGTAATGGGGCTTGCACAGCACATTAAGTAGAAGCGTACATTATGGCCATAGTGATCATATGAGCCTCCTTCGGTAACAAGTCAACAGCGAGAGCAAGCACGCTCGGGTAGACCGGTCCATAGAGTAGGCCCACAATTCCGGTCGAGAACGCATTCTCGAACACGGAGTTAATAAACCATATGCAGAGGTGCATCGATAGGGCGCAAACTATGGAGAGAAGTCCGACGACAACGAAAAATTTGTTAGTACGGATGTATGCATCGGAATGATAACGCAAAACCTACTTAGGATAATATGAATTGCATGTTTGCGCTGCGTGAAGCTGAGGCTGTTTGATCGGTGTCAGCGGGTTCAGATAATATTTACGAGAACGGAACAATGAGGACGTACTATGGCGAGGCAAAACCCGTGATAAATCGAGTGATGGCCATGCCGGCCCAGAATCCACTTGTAACATACCCCACAGTGTTCGGGTTCGCATTCTATAATTCAGAGGATGAATAGGCGGTAAAATCGTTTGTATATTGTCGGCATACCCTAACTGCCAAAAGATAAGTGGCCATCTAGTAGATTGAAGTGAAATTAATTTGAATCCAATGCAGATTATCCGCAAGTCAACTCACGTAGCCCTGAGTAGCCGTCTCACTAAATTGAAAATGTTAAACAGCGCCGGCGACCGTCGGAAAAATAGTAGGACCACACTCACCTTCCGCTATAAATGCACATGAAAAAGGAAAAGGCCCAGATATATCGCAATCTCAGCGCCAACCGTAAAGCTAAAAGAAAGTTAGTCGTTAATTTCAAACGTAAGATTCAATAAACAGACCTGATCGGTCCCTTTGTTCGGTCAAGGACGCGGATAGAGGCCAAGGTTTGGAGCCCATCGACTTTTCGCTCATCGCCGTGTTGGAGCGGGCCCTTGTCGGGCTTCCCTCCTCGGTAGCACCCGAGTTGAAACTACTCGATTGCATCCGAGTCTCGATATATGCCCCATCTAGAGTGGAGGAGCAATTGCTATCCTGAGTGCGTTCGTTCCGTGTAGGTCGGAATGAGAGAGCAAGGAGACCCGTGTTCATGGCGGAGAGTATTAGGGACCCGAGATAGAAGTGCGACCACGGGATGCCCCTTGCCAGCAGGGTTTGGCAAACGAACGGGGCAGCAAACGCACCGATAGCTGTATGGATGGAATAACCGTATTGTTGGTCACACAACAAGGTAAAGAGGTACTCGGCAAACCGTACAATTGCAAGCATACATCTGACCAAGCGGACGTCTCGGACTCGCTGCGACGTACGCATTCCTGTTTGCATTTGTTATGCCAATCAGTTCGATGTGTTTCTATTATAGCGACATGCTTACACGGTACCTGATTAGCTAGTCAGCCAAGCTTAGTCACTTCTCTTCGCAAGAACACGCACCGTTTAAAAAGGCTTTCCCTAGAGATGCGATGAAGTAGGCAATGAGCACATTCGACAAACCAGTGGCAGTGCCCATGAGCACAAAGAAACTCGCATGGAACAGGCTACCGATCACCAAGATCCGGAATCGAGCTCGAGCATGCCTTTGGCAATCGTCCCTATCGTTCCCCTTGAAACAATGGGAAGGCATTGCTCGTGTTATTTTACGTCTTCTCTGAGCAGAACGGAACCATATCGCCTTGGAAAGCCCGATACGGCTTAGCTGGAAGCTTCCCAACAGACACATGACTTGCTCGATCATGATGACGCCGAGGGCGAAGCTGTGACACAAATTAACTTTTAAGCTTGGGCAAAAGTTCAAGCGTGATAGCATGGCCTTACCCGAATGTGCTTGTCACGAAAAGTAGGGAAGACATGATATAACTGAGCTCAAAATCATTCTTGATATCTCGAGTGCAAGGAAGATAAGTATTTCCGGTATAGCAAGTTCACGAGCTTGAAAACATACGGGGAAGGATGGTCCCGGTCACTAGATTGAAACATCGCGGTTAAGCAATCCAAGACGTCAGCTCCTAGAAGCAGTAGATTGCACAATCACCTCACCTCCGTCGGCCCAACCGGCTGTAAAGAGTGCAAAGAATGCACCAGCACATCTAAACCAAAAGCGTTCAGGTGTCTCCAGCGACGACTCTTGTGCTGAATGTTCAACAGTCTTCTCCGTAGTAGGCCTCGTAGTTGATTCTCTGGTTCCGTCGTTCTGGACTGATGGCACTCCACAGTAGTGCGAAGCTGGCCCATGATTGTTATGAAGATGCACCGGAGCTGGTTCGGATAATACAACTGCCAGCGAACGTTGGAATAGTTCTGCCTGGAAGCCATCATGGACGATTAGATCAATGGTGCCATGTATCTGATGGTTTTATAGTGCTTACATTTTGATTTTGACTGAGTGGCAACGCTTCGCTCGTCGCAGTTGTTACTCGATTCCCCAGGTGACATTCAGGAGAAGTGGAGGAATTACTCTGACAGGACGCTTGAAGAGGCATTAAAAGAAGAGATTAATCAGAGCTAGGCGAAGACTGAAGAAGGGGCCTACTTCGACTTTCTGTTATAACTTGTTATAAATATAGTTCCCGGACATTTGTAGTCTTTCGTGATGCATGACGTGTTGTCGGATCCGTTTCAGAACTCGAAAAAAACCTCGAGATCGTGGTGAAGGTCCGGACGTTCATGCGGAACGACTAACCGAAGTACTAGCACGAGGTAGGTTAAAGTCCATATTTCTGTCGTCGATACGAAACTGCTCTGGGCCACTCGGATGCTCGCAAGGGGCGAACTGTGCAGAATAATTTCTCGGCGCCCATGAACGTAAGCCCCGCACGGTCATTCAATGCAAGAGCTCAGAACTCGGCGAGGTAGTCAGGGACGATTGGAGCTAATAAAGTGCAAAACCAGTAGGACGTGTCATTGAAGAGGCACAAGTATGGATCGAATAAACATACTTTGATTCTTATGAAAGCCCTTGGAATGCCGAAGTTAGGCGACCACGTTGATAAGAAACGCAAGTGGACTTTCTCATGTATGCTAATCAGGTGTCATATTATTCTAGTCTGCTCATGAGAGCAGCTCTGTGGCCGATCCGAGGAGTATGAGTGGAAGAAGTCAAGTTCGTCGTGTTCACTGTTCAGATCCGTGTTGTGTCCCAAAGAGGAGACGCGGATCTATTTCCAAACTCAGAATAAAAATGACTCCTCTCTCTTACAGTGGACGCGTCTTGGAACTCGATTTTAATTTTCATGGTGTACAGTTTTTCTATTTGAACTCTGTTCGAACATCTTGGATTAATCGGTTACTAGTTTATGGAATTATGGCGAGTCCTGGTGCGTCAATGCAGATGCTTCGTGTTATAAGTTGTTCACGTGTAGCATGTTCCGTAGTCGCTACGTATGCCGCTCTCGCGACGGTCTCGCTCACCATCGGTTACTGGGTGGGCACCCGCTGGGCTATGAGAACTTTAAGCTCTGATGAAACGCCAAAGAATGTTGGCGACATAACGAAACCCACCGGTGACTCAGAACCTGGAGCAGATTCGGATTCTAGTTCGTCGGAAGAGCCAACGGGTGAAGACCTCGCATCCGTAAAGGCTGGTTTATTCGAAGACTGCAAGCTGGTGAGAAAAATGTCTCGTATTTGCACTAGGTACTTATGAGCTCCCGCATATTAAAACCCGACAGGCCCTCGTTGTACGTGTGGACTTAGGAATGTCATCTGGCAAGATAGCGGCACAGTATGTCTTCATTTCAACTTTATCCACAATCTTCCCCGCGGACACATGTCGTTGATGCGTCCTTCTGACAAGATAATCGCCTCTTTAGATGCTCGTGAGTCGTCCGTTTATCGTCCGTGTAATAGATACGTCATTGCCGACAATGGACGCCTTCATTTCTCCTAGCCATGCGACCTTAGCGTGTTATAAGGCCCTGGGCAAATCAAACCCCGCGGTATGTGATCAGTCGCCTTCCATTCCACCGACTCATGACTGGGCTGTGCGCACCGTTGTAGCTATTGCGGCGCTGGGAAAGAACAGGGTGAGTACCCTCAATCGTGTTGCAATTTCTGTGATAACTTACTATAACTTTATTATTATATCATTTATTCGGCTGCCGGTAATACAGGCAAAGCAAAGTGGCGCTGCGCGCAGACAGTGACGAAGATTTGGAGACAATGGAGGCTATGGCGCGCAGCTTGAATCTATGCGCCCGTGCCATTCATGATGCGTGAGTAATAGCCTCAAATTATACCATTCTCCTTCTGACCGTTGGCACAGCGGGAGGACACAAATCGCTGCCGGTTCTCGGACAGTACTCGGAATCGGACCTGGTGAGATATTTCAACGTTCTTGCTCCTCATTTCGTTATTGACGTAACATCGAAGGACCCGCGAGACTCGTAAACCAAGTCACAGGGAAATTACGACTTCTATAACCGCTTTTCAAATTCCATGGAAGCGACAATTAATGATCGTCTGTCTATTTGTCTGAGTTGTCTTCAGTGCCTTCAGTTCGTTTACTTGGAGGAAGTGTCGGAGCTTGCGGCGATAGACTAAGTCAAGGGTACTGGATTGCTTCCGGATGTTCGTGACGCCAAGCGATTACCGACGTTTCATTCAATTTGTACAGACTCAAAAGTTTGGCTCCATATGCCTCATTATTAGCCTTCACCAAAGCGAGGACCTTTCATGTCAGGAGGGAAGCCTTCTCAGCATTGAATGGGTGAGGGCAACATCGGCTCGTCGGCTCACTGACGAGCCAAGAATTTGGCTGTTTAGTGCGCCTGTATTCATCACGGTACAGCCAATACAACTATACCACGGACGCCATAAAATCCAATGCATTCTTCTGCGGACTTGATCGTGAGGAGAAGGGTGTGGAGAAAATAGACTATCAAAGTCAACTGCCTTGTAGAGCCCACTCGTTGGCCTCCGGCCTCGGAAAATGCTCTCACCATCTGTAACAGCCGTCAAGACTCCCATTGTTCCTATATGGACTGGATCCCGCATACACTGCCTTGCTTGACATCTCTATCTCCAACAGTCGTACCAGAAGCAACGTATGTGTCTCCTGCGTGTCCGACAATGGCGGCTAGTAGAACGAGGTGCGTTCCTGGACTGACAGGTGGTTCTGTTCCTGCGGATACGACAAATGACGCTGTAATCTTGCTCTCGTAACTCTCCCAACCTCAGCATTTTCCACAAATGTTCAAGTTGCCGTGTCCACCCCACTCAATGCGACTATCATCATGCATAAGGTTGTATTGAGTTTTAGCACAGAGCACCTCATGAGTCCTTATCTTCATGCAGGAGTGGACCCCCTGGGCCCTGAGTGCTTCGTTTTCTGTTAAACCGAATCTACCTCTGAACAGTCCGCACATGATAACTTAGTCTCGTTTTTCTCCCAACCTCAACATTTTCCATCCAGAAATGTCCAAGTTGCCGTGTCTGCCCCACTCAACACAACAATCGTCGGGCGTAAGTTAATTGAGGTATAGTACAGGGTACTTTGTGAGTCCGAGTCCTTGAACTTGAGTGCTTCATTTCCTGTCCAGCGGCCTCCAGCCACATTACATCTGAACATCTTGCACATGATGATTTGGCCTTGTTTCTCTATCAACGTTAGCATCAACCACAGATGTCCAAGTTCTCGCGTCTATCCCACTCAACTTGACTAATGTCAAGCATAATGTAGATATTGAGATTTAGCTTACAGTACCTTGTACTGTGGGACCTTATCTTTGTGCATACATGAACTTGCATGCTTCATTTTCTGTTAAGCCTAATTTACATCTGAATAGTTATCATATAATGTAAATAGTAAGTCCTTTGAGATAATGTTTCTCATGCTTCTAGACTGGAAGGTGCTTGCATGATGCAGGTTGCACAATGGATGTATGCCCCTTGTACAGGCGTATCTGAAGAATCAGGTTGATTGACTTTCTAGTATGACTTCTACTACAAAGGTCCTACTAACAGAATTGACGTGCATGGGTATACATTTTAAAGCAGTAGCTGACAATCAAAATAAATAAATAAATAAATAAAGCGTAATGCACTGTACATTCGACTTCTGGTGGTGTGAACGATTCGTCGCATCAAACCAGATGAATGCATAACCAGTATAAAGGCCCAGAATACAGTAAGATTTGTCCAAGCACGTAGCCTATCAAGCCAGTGAAACAAAAGTATGTCTTGACGTTTTGATGTCTCGAGTGCACAGCTAGCTAGTAGGAATTTGCTCTTGAAGAGTGAGACGGGATGTAGTCAAGCACTTCGTTAGTGGCGTGACTTTCGGCGCGTTCTTTGGCTTCTTCGAAGACACCACAAGCTAGAAGTAGGACGACGATGAATATAGTCATAATAAATCCAGTGATGACAATTGCGACGACTACAGAGATGTGATCAATACTGACGCAAATAATTACGTGCGGTACTGTGGCATCCACCTTTGCAGTACGAGTATGGCCTTTTGTAGGTCTGGATAAAAGTGTGAAACGCAAGCTTTCGGGGAGAGTAACTTTTCTTGGGCTTCTCCTGTGGCTGAGCCTTCTCGGCAGTGTCAAGGTTGGATGTGTCCGGTTGACTGGGCTTATAACCGAACAGACCTTTTGCGGCTTGTAGGGTAGGCATTGCAACGAGATTCTGAGTAGGTAAAGAGCGTGATGAAGGAATGGACCACTAAGGCGCTTCACTAGCACCGGTGAGCGCAGCAGACGACGACGACGAGGGTGAGAGATGTGAGCCACAGGCAATGAGAGTGAGCGGGAGCCGATGCCCGTTCGCGAGAATTACGGGCGTCACGTGCATTGGCTGGCAGGCCCCCGCAACGGAAATGCTTCCTCTTACAGCGCCATCCACCAAGCACCGCTAGGCCTCTCTGCCTGCCGACAGCTCTCATCCTCACCCTCTTTCCGCGACGCTCATTCTCGTCAAAGTCCACGCTCTTTGCAGCCCGTCATCTTACTACTTCGCTGGTCGAGACATACGCCAACACACAACAAGAGCACAGATGGCTGCTCCCAGGAATATCTACCCCGCGAATAACTCCTCAAATTACCTTCCTAACTACCCTCCCCGTCCAAATTCAGATAGCTTCGAGGACTACAAGCCACCTGCAGAGGACGACATCATCGACTCGTACACGACGACCGCGGTGCCTCTGCCGAAGCAGACGTCCCCTGGAAATCCCGCCTATCTGCCACCACACGACAGACAGGCACCGCTTTATCCCCCCTTCACTCAAAAACCATCGTACCAAAGCTCATGGGATGGTCAACCGGATACGCCTGGAGGTGGTGATGCTTTACCTTCAATCCCGCCGAAGGAGACGTTGAAGGTGGAGAAGCGCAGTTTCCTGGATACCGTCAGTTTAGACCTTTGCAGCCTAGTGGTGTTGTTACTGATTAAAGTTCAGATCCTGCCGGACTCGATGGCCTGTCGGCTGTACGTGCTGACGGTGCTTCTGGAGACGATCGTCGACATCACGATTGAGGCAGACTTGTATCTTCGAATCAAGGATTTTTCAGACACGGGGGACCTAAGTGCGAAACGATTACCAGTATATCTTGGGATATTCTGTTTTGCCCAGTAAGATCAGCGCTATGGCCACTTTTCGGTAGGCTGATGATTTGCACAGTTTATTCCAGCTCGGGATGGCTTTTGATGCTGTGCACGCACGGAACACCCTCCAATTCATGGCACTCACGTCGGTTCTTTCTTTTTGTCTCTGTCTTCTATCGTCTCACGGATTATTGTCATAACAGTATCTTCAATGCTCTATTCTTGCTCTACGCCGTCATTCAAATATTCGAGATTAGGTCTTCCTTATCGTCTATAACAGAACTCAAATCCAACGGTGGCATCTCGGACATCCCCGTAAACGTTCTGACAACCATCATTCCAATTGTCATATCCGTCGCCGAGATAGCGTACATTGCACTCGGATGGAAGATCTGGCGTGAATTTGGATGGAAAGTCTACAAGCGATTAGGTGCGGATCGACAGGTGAAGCGTATGTACGCGCAGTATCAGATTTTCGTGGGGATCATGAAGTTCGACGTGTTCTTTTTCGTCGGCTTTTGCGTGCAACTCATTGCGCTTGTCCTGCAAAATGGCGATTGGGAGTATTATGTTACGGTTGCGGCTTTACCGTTCTCGATTCTAGTACTTGTCGATGGGTTATTGGCTGCGCGCTATGAGAACAAGTTAATGATGTTGTCGTTCATGCTTGGGTGCGGAGGGGCAATGGTATACTTCGTATACAAGGTTCGTTCCGTCGGTCTTGCACGCCATTATAAGTTGCTCACTTGCTCTGCAGCTTTTCAGGATTTACCAATTGAATAACATTGAGGATGTGAGGCGGACATTGACGGTCTTTGGTGCATTTTTATTATTATTCCCCGCTTATTGGTTCTCTCGCTTATGTCTTCATTTTCTACCTCAGCCGTCATCGCAATCATGCTATTGATCGCTACCGTCATCTTAGCTTTCATTGTGTTGCGTAACTTTGGTGGCGGGCTCAAGTATCACAGTACGTCTCAATATCTCATATCAAAACAATCCCGCTCGAAGATACTGATTCTTGTACTCCCCTCAGTGAACAAACCGGCCCGCTCGAATTCCCTTCGTCGAAACGGAACGAAATTCCAGCACGGCCCAAAGTCATCGTACCCAATGTCGTACAACCCGAACCGCATGAGTATTGATTAATCGTAATTGAGAGAGATCAAGAAAGTATCCAAAAGAGAAGAAAAGAAATTTACGGACCTCTCTCCTCTCTTCACTCATGTATTAGTTCTTCTGCCTATCGCTCCTGTTACTCAGACTAGCCTGCGTGTCGCCGTACCCCCCTGAATGGACATTGTCACCTCACCACCATGTGCATATTATATAAACATTATTCCTCTCCATCTCTCCTCTCTCCCTATTTGCATTTGTGAATGAACCGTGCCATGCATTCTGTTCACGATGCAAAGATAAACCCCCTCACCCGCCCTCCACTCTCCACCCGCCGTCCGCTATCACCATTGATCCATTGCTGTGTCCATATTCCATATTCACTCTCTATTATCTATGCAAGTACCGAAAACGTAGTACCTTAGTTATCTCTGCGCCCTTTTTTTCTTGCGCTTATAGTTGCCAGGTGTAATTTTAAGCGTTCAGTTCCGTTGAACGAGCATTTTCCTTTTTCTTTCCTTTTTCTTCTTTCGTGTCGTGAGTATTATGATGAGATTGGACATGGTGAGTCGAGTGTTTCTAGTTAAGACAAGAGGGAGTGACATTTGAGAGGAATATTAATGAGTTGAGTAATAGAGGGGAGAGTCTACTATGCGTTCTCTAGTGAGTATGAGTAGTCATTGCGAGGATGGAGAGCTAGGATGCATAAAAGTGGATAATTTACTGAAACTACTCTTTACCTTTCTTCAACACAAGAAACAACAACCAACCCATCACATCAAAACCAAACCAAACCACACTACGGCACCCAGATTAAACCAAGCTTATGAAGCTAACGAAACCTCCAACGTCCTATTCAAATCATACTGGAAGATATTCTTCGCGTCGACCTTAATATGTGCACCGAGCGGTATATCCGAACCAGTTTTGATGGGCATGACGGCTATTAACCCTAGCATCGGGATGTAGACTTCTTGATAGTGCATCCATCGGACGAGGTTATAGATTGGTGCGATGACGACGGTTGCGTCCATTCCTTTCAGCGGATTATGCATATGATTTGATTTTGATTTTGATGAGCGAGCGAGCGAGTCCATGTACCGCTCGATGTAGGTATGTGCCCATTGACGAGTATGTGCTCTGTACGCCCTCTTCAAGACTTGTTTCCGCACGTTAAGTATGTCAACCATGTCCTTCATCTTCTCGTCATTTATAGGTGGTGGATGGGACTCTTTTCCGGGTAAGAGCGCACTCTTAATTTGCCAATGCATGAACAAGTCGTCCGACCTCCGAAGAGGCGACGTAGTGCGTATATATCCCTCACCATCCGGGATTCCAAGAATCCAGTGTCCAGCAGGCTCTGATGTGAGTTCACCAGGAGGAAGGCCTATACCCTCCCGAGCGAGAACGGAAGGACTGATGAATCCTAGAGGATCACGTTCGGCAAGGACACGCGAAAGCGTGGTCTCTTCGAGCTCTGCAGAAGCCATTGCGCGACGTATACCTGGGATATTGTGTTCCAAACAGAATCGCGAAGCAACGCGCCCAGCGAGCTTCATACATTCAGCAACGAGCGATCGAGAACCAATTTCTGAAACTTCGCCTCGTATGACGGTGTATCGGAGCCTAGGATATCCACGGTAGAGAATCGGTTGCGTGACATGGGGAGGGGCTTGTGGGACGGGCTTGTCGGGGAAGGTGACCTGTGGTGAGTTGAGACAGAACGTGAAAGCGTTTCTCGCCAGGCGTTCAGCTACTGTACGACGAGTTACCTCGAAAACAAGTTTCAAGTTTTCCTCATGTTGACGGAGATATGAAGTGTCAACCGTTCCAGAGGACTCTGAGGCTTCTGGCTCGAAGGGTGTGAACTCAACTGCAAGTGCTCCAGGATCTACTACGCTATCCACGTCGCCATATCGCAGTTTGTGAACGTTGCGTACTCGACCTGCGCGAACTTTATAATCCAGTATGTCACCCTTCTTCCCCACCTTTGCGCTGAACGTGAGCACGTTCTGGCCACTAGTACGCACACCTTCTCGGCCCATATCACACAGCTTGCCTATGTCTGCCGGAAGCATAGGGATTGTCCTATGGCCGAAGTAGTACGTCTCGCTGCGTTTTTCAACTTGCTGACGCAGTGGATGCGTGAATGGGATAACGGAGGTCGGATCAGCTACGTGAACATGTATCCAGACTGAATTAGGATCTCCCACAACGCGCTCAACGGATATGCCATCGTCAAGCTCCTCGGCGTGTGCGTCGTCAATGACATAGACGGGCATGTCCCCAAAGTCGTGTCGCACGTTTTCATGAGCATCCGTGGTAAGAAGGCCTGGTGTCTGGGCCTGAGACTTAGGCAGCGACGAACTCGCTTTCGTGGTAGAAGCCGTTTTCTCTTCCACACCAATGGGAATATGAAGCCCCTTTTCCCTGGACGCCAAGTCCTCCCAAGGAGTGAACACTCCTATTTCTCTCAAGAATTTAAGAGTAGTATAAGACGTGATGAGTTCCTCATATCTATACGTATCCTTGATAATAGCTGGGACGTTGCCTGCGTAAGAGTCTTGCTGGATCAGTCGACCCTGAATCATCGACAGCTTGAGGAAAGTTATTATCTCCTGGTCTTGTGGAGTGAACTTCCGTTTGACAACCTCAGCGACAGCGGGAGGTTCTTCGGTTGATTGGGCTGCCAGTGCGCGAGACTGGTCAATAAGCAGCCTTGCCTTTTGCTGGAAAGCATTTATCATAGGACTTCTTTCGCGCACCATCTGTTTCACTTTTTCGATATTCTTAAGGTCTGAGAGCGGACGGACATCGAATTCGTGTACGAAACGGTGTCGCGTTGGATGACAGACGAACTCATCAGCTCGTTCCATGAGTTGTCTGTGCACTGCGAAAAGGGTGACAATTGGTACGTTCGGAGTGGCATCCAGCATTCTCGCGACTTGCATCGTCGAGACTTTGGTCCATTCATCTGGATGTTGCGCACGAACTTGATGGTAAATATCCTGTATAGCACGGCCAAGTCGATATTGTTCCTTCTCAACTGCTCGCTCGAAGTCCCGCGCTGCCTTGAGGATACGGATTCGCGCTGCGAGCTGGAACTCGTCTTCGTGTAGTTCTTGCGTCCCACATCGCTCGGCGAGATTGCTATCTACAAAGTTTGGGACGGCGAACATGATATCCGTTGTTCTGTGTACGATGACCTCTCCACGGGTAGTTATACTAACCGTGTCCTGGTGATAGCCTATATTGTTCGTAGCACCGAGCACGACGCCATTCATCGACTCCGCATTTCTACAAGGTAAAACCGGAATATTAACACTTGGTGGCAACGATGCGCAAAACAGATGGGAGCTCACCTTCGAAGCTCAAAATAAGTACCGGGCTGGAGAGCACCCGTCCCAGATTGCACAAGGTCCTCCATACTCCAATCCTCCAACGGATGTCCAGAGAAAATATTCGGCTCTCCTCGACCATCATGTTGTAACGGATCCTTCTTCCTAGACAAATCCTGTTCATATCTCTTTCGCTCACCCTCCCTCTTATATGTATGCCTCCACTCAGGGTTATACGCTTGGTTCGCCCCCTCAACTAGTTCCTTTGCCGTCCCTCTTATTCGTCTTAAATCACTTTCGTCAACTTTGTATGGTCTGGGTTTTGGTTTTGATTTCGTTAGGACGGCGGAGGTGGCGCGTCGGATTTGTCTGACAGATACATCTGTGCTTTTGGAATGAGCCCGGCGCAGGGAAGATGAAAGCATGGACGGGACGTTGTAGTCGTAGACTCTCGTAGTTCTGTCCACAGCCTGGCTGGCGGACGCAAAAAGTTTGGAATTAGAAATAGACGCGTCGTCACGTGGCGACTGATTCTCACTCACAAATTCCTACGCTATCGTCCTGTGTCCATATTCCCTATTCCTCTGTGTTACAAAAAGTTTGCAGCATATTATGGTAAAGAAATTTAGAAAAAGACACATTGTACTGTGGCATCTAACGTGGTGAACGACAGAATTTATTGGAAAAAAATACTAGTAGTAGTACTGTTGCACATTGGTACTTCTGTGTCATTACAAACTTTGCTTTCTACTTCAGCAATGGCCTTTCACATTCCAAAAAAAACAAGTCTCAGCATTATGGCGAGCAGCTATTTTTTTTCTTCTTCTTCTTCTTTTGGTTGGACATCAAAAGTAGAGACATATTTTTCTATATTTTCAGCTGCTGTGCCACTCCAGTCTGTCCCCTCCATCTCGCAGGCCCTCCACGATGGCAAGGCCCGCGTCGCCGCAAGAATGTCCGCAATGACATTTTCGTTCAATGCTAGCGTGTGTCTGCCCGATGACGTACCACCTGTGTTCGCCGCCATAGGTTGAAACTGCAGTTGCGTCTGGCTAGATACACTGTTGTCATTGCCGTGGGGAGGACCCTCTCGATTGAAAAAGTTTGCTGCGTCGTTGGATATATCGTCCTTCAACACGCCGTCCGACAAGATCCAGTCTTGCCAAGGTGGATCGTTGGACATGTCTGGACTAACAGGGTTAAAGGGATGGAACCCACGAACACGCATCTCGTGGATGATGAATAGGGAAGGGAAAGGCGCGTAACGATCGCTGGTATCGAGCGCGATCGTTTTACCATGGAACTGTTGAAGATAGTCACTGCCAGAGTAGTTAACGAACACAAACTTGCGAATCTGTCTCTAGTTAACACTTGAACTCAAAGCAGTGACAGAAATAAACTCACATTGGGATAAAACCGAATAAAGAAACCATAGTTTTCAAAAGAGAGACGATGGTTAGGACACATAAGCAGGCCATTACGCGGTTCATGTCGTGGATATTGGTTGGCCTGCGGAGGGATCCATCTGCGGGCCTTGAGTTCCAACCACTGTACCTTACATCAGCCTCGCAATAAAGTAGGGGCACTCAACGCAGTTTTCGCTTACAAAATCTCTTTCTGACTGCCCCACAATATAGCAATGTTGAAGCAAGTATCCTCCTCTCAATCCACAGATGACACAGCAAGCCCGCCCAAGAAACCTATCCCGTTCATCTATTCTGACGTCGCATGCAGATGATGTCGACAAAATCGACACACTACGCTCTTCCCAACCATATCCGGAGGGAGGGTGATCCAGCAGCAGAGGAAGAGGGAATGCAGACAGAGGTGTCATGATGGCTGTCGCACTTAGAGTCTGTCTCAGAGTCAGACGTTGTTCAGTTCCAGATTGAATGGCTAGTACGTCAGATTTCACGTGACACAGTACCCATTTTCAGTTCGTGATATTGAAACGGTTTTTGTTTACTTGATTTTGTATCTTTTGGTGTTGAATGGATCGAGCTTGGAGTGCAAAGAAGAAATTGGCGTGTAGTACAGGTACTACTAGGGTAGAGTAGAAATAACAGGCGCGTCATCACGTGGCATCTGACGTGGAAAACGACTTGCAATAGCTAACAGTAGCACTCTCTTCTGAACACAGGCGCAATGCAACCCCGGCCATGACACAAAGGTATCCTTCTCATCACTTACTGTATAAAACCTACCTCATACTAATTATAACTAGATATACCATAAACCAGAACTCCTCGCTACGCGACCGCTCCGCCCTATTCAACAACCACTCTTCAACTCCATATTCCTCCTACCCAAGCAGTCGGAGCGCCTCCCCCTACCTCGCCCAACAACCATCAAACCGCACCGCAGACGAATTAGAGTCTCAGAATGACGAAGCGATAGAAGGGCTTAGTGCGAAAGTCAAAGCACTCAAAACAGTCAGTCTCTCTCTCTCTTTCTCTGTCACTATTCTCTTGCTTCTATAAGGCAAAGGATGTTGTACGCTAATGAGTCTCGAATTGACTACGCCAGATCACCATCGGCATCGGGAATGAGATCAAAGACTCTGCCGTTCAACTAAGCCAAATGGTGCGAGCAAATTTCCTTCATCTCCATACCTCACTTCACTCATTCACTTACACGGACTGCTGCTGCTAATTAGAACGATGCATTCGAAGAAACCACAGGAATCCTCGCAGGTACATTTCGTCGTATGAACAACATGGCAGAACGCCAAGGTTGTCGATGGCTCTGGTACATAGTATTCCTCATTTTAGTATTCTGGTTCTTCATTGTTGTATGGTGGTTTAGACGATGAATCTCATTTACACGCACTGCTATTGCAAATACGGACACTTCTAATGTTACAATATACACAACAGGTCCTGCTGTCTCCACAGTTCCATGGCTCCATCTACTACAGCAAAGCAAAGCAAGACCCACCAGAAATATATGCCTCCAAACTAAAAATACAACTGCAGAGAACAATAACGATAGCAAATAACTACTACTACTATGCGATGGACCGTTCGTTATAACGGGTCTCCCAATTTTGCTTTGCCAATCTCCCAGATCATCCGTTGACGGAGATATGGCATGTTCTGCTGCGTGAAATTGAATTCTTCCTCTCCGCGTGAAAGGTACTCGAGAGTCTGGCAAGTGAACACGCCACAATCGTACCCGTTCTCTTGCTCTGGGTACATATCCGATCTGTAGTCTTCCCATCCAGTAAAGTCGAATGGTTTTTTCTTCTTGTTCTTGTGTTCCTCGTTGAGGTACATCCTCAATGCCTAACAATCCATTAGTGACCCATGAAAGACGACGTGAGTTCAGAATAAATATCCCACCTTGTAGACATCGCTTCTATGAAAGCCCATGCTATCATACGAAATAATCCGTTTCCGCGTAAAGTCAATCGCAGCAGACGTCCAATGCGCATTCCCGTGATTAACAGCCATCAAGATAATGTCCTTCGAGAAAATATCAACTTTCTTCGTCCACTTCGCCAACCGACCCTTTTCGTAACCGGATTGCAACTTCGGCCAGAAAAATGACGAGAAATAATGTACGTTCAGAACCTTCCCATTACGTTCGTTCTCCTTAGCGGCCTCAGCTTCTGCTGCTCGGTCAACAATGAGCTGTCCGTAGAAGTTGATGATCTCGTCGTTTAACCATTGACCTGGGCCAAGACGGGACAAGTCCGTATCGCTGACTTGCTCACGTCCTGCCTTCGACACGACACCACGTTTCCGTAAGATCACATTGAGTTCTTTTTGTGCGTCGCTAGGCAGTCGTTCAGGAATAGGCTTGCGTTTCGGATGGAGACGTTCTTGGATGCGGTCGCTCTTGAACTTCACATTTTTCGAGAGCTCCTCCAATTGCGGGCTAAATGGTTTTGGTGGCTTCGGACTGGCCGAACAATAAAAATTAAGCTTGTTCCAACGTCGCGTAGAACAAGTGGTTCATCCATACCTATGAAGGGACTTCGTCGCTTTCTCCACCGCACGCCTGAAGAACTCCACCTGTCAAGAAGAGGCATAAGCACGGGGCTCGAACGGCAAAATAAGCACGTACGTCATCTTGAGGTAAAATAGGTGTTGATTTTCTACTGCCGATACTACCAGCGTAAGCTAAAACACATGTCGGTTACACTCAACTTCGATAAAATGCAATGAATATCTTACAGTGCTTCCAGTCTTGTTTTTGTATTTCTTCCAAGCGACGTCGATATTGGATATAGCCTAGAAACAAGTTAGCAAAAATATTAATTGTAATTGAGTAACTGACGGTAATTACCTCTGAAGGTCTCAAAGTCCGACTTGTATCCTACTCAAATCTGGTTCAGCATAAACAGAGACGTAGAATATGTTATGCACTCACCCATGGCTCGTGTACGATCATAAAGTAGACGTTGCAAATGCTCTTTTACATTTTCTCGATGCTTCACGCCATGCACATAATGTGTTAACAGATCTACATCCTTCACAGACAAATTTTGCTCGTACCTGTCCTTCATAGATGTGACTTTTCCGCTTATACTTCTTCCCAACTCCACTTCCACGAAGCCCATCCTGATTACTCTGCGCTATCAACCTTCGTATTGAATCATTCTGAGTAGGCGAATCTACTCCGTTGCTCGACTTTGGTGGGCTGTCCGGGTGAGAAGTCCTCGTTGAACTCGTTCCCGACGCACTAACGTGCGAGAACTCTGCAGACGAGGAATTCGAGGAGGATACAGGTGCTGGAGGGGGTGGGTAAAAAGATGATGCGGATGAAGATGTAGAAGCTAGGATATTCGTAGGTGAGTTGTTGGAATATGTTGTTGGAGACTTCTTCGGCGAGACACTTGATGGTTGAGTTGTGGCTGGCGTTTCTGGTGGCGGCGTTGTTGACTGGTCGATATCCGCACTATGTCTAGGTAGCGAGGCGTCATCGGTGTCTATAGTATGTATACAAACCGTCAGTACCATCGTCCACTCCGCTACCGTTAAGTCCGATATAATACGAGTGACAACGCACCACGGAATGCAAACATGGCTTTCCACTGCCACGGATTAATATAATTCTTCGCAGCCGAAACCGTCGCATAAACCACATCCCCGACCGCACAAGCCGTATCTACACTCCGTACCCATACTTCCGACCACTTTGCGGTCAGACTCGGCTCCTCCTGCTGTTCATGTTGACGTGACATTCTCAATGTCAAGTTTGCATCCGAATCCCGATTCGAGTAATTTGACTTTGCTCTTGTTGTAGATGTAGGAAAGCTGATGCGCGCAGACTTTGTAGGGCGAGTTGAGAGGTGCGCGTCTGAGGCGGACCGCTTTTGGGGTGAAGAGGACATAAGAGTTCTGCAGTCGCAGTAGTGTGTGCTTTTGTGCAGGACACGCAGAGCAGAGCCTTCAACAAGGAGAGCGTGACACAAGGTCCGTGTCAGCCGCGGCTTGTTCAATTGAGGCTTAGTCAGCCCCTTACTACCTTCATTTAACAAGAAATAAGTACAAGTGAATACAGCACAGCAAAAAGAAGCAGTGAATACAACTATATGTACAGTTTCAAATTAGAGACATTATTATCTTTGCACCAAGTACTAGAAATGAAAATATTAATAACAACGACAGATAATGCCGATTTTATGTCGGTTCTGGAGTAGCCCTTGCTGAATCAACACCCTTCACCGGGAATCCGTCGCCAAAGCTGAATTCCTCGGCAGTTCGCCATTCAAACTAAATGGTATTTAAAAATAAGTCAGACCTGTTCAGTGCATAACTTCCGCAATAATACACCTACCCCATCCTTATTGACTTCGATATGCGTGTCCTGCGAAGACTTGATCACGACGAATCTCCGATATCTCTCTCGAACAATCTGCTGTGTCTGAAGCTGCGCGAGGTCCTCCACAATCTCAGCCTCTATCGTAGGTCCTAGCTCTGTGTCTGCCTTGTTCGAATAGTCCGAAACGAACGTAGTATAGCATTCTTCAAGAAGCTGTAACGACGACTTGGACAGAGTCGCATGCTGTGCTATGATCCATCTATTGTCCTCCCCTTCGTCTTCGAATGGAGGAACCTTGCTTGAACTGGGACTGTTCATCAATGCTACCTTCCCGTCTTCGATTAAATCGAGGATTCTCGAAAAAAAGAACGGTTCTCTTCGGTTTGGCAAATGAAGAATGTTAAGTATGTAGCTCTAGATAACAGCATTGAAATGCCTCACCTAGCGTAAACGGAACTTGGATCTTCACCCGGGCAAGACAAACGGACAAACACGGCCAGCACAGAGGGAAGCATATAGCATTGCCATAGGCGATGCCTGTTAATATGTTCAATCAACTCCGCAACTCGAAGCGGGTTCTCCAACAGTGCAGTCGCAGTGAAGGTGACAATACCACCTTGCGTATTTGGTCAGCATATTATGTGATGGCATGTAAAAAATGGGATGTCACCTAAAGGATAGATTTCTCTAAACCCCCACAGAGAAGGCTTGACATTCTCATGACTGCCATAAGTGACAAACCGTACTTCCGGCGTCTCAAACCGTCGTTGCGTTATCCCAGGTAACTTTCGAATGCTCCGAACAGATCCGACATGAACAAACACTATTCGAGCGTCTAAGATATCGTATCCGACATTATTTGCTTTAAAAAACGACAGGACGTCGAGTAAAGCTTTGGTTTCTGGGCGCATGCCAGGAATTCTTCGTCCTCGTTGTATTGGTCTGGATTCGACTTGGTGTGTCCAGATACAGTAGTCCCGAGAAGGCAAGAATTTTACGAACGAAAGATCAAAGCCAAGGATGCGAAATGCATCTTCAAGACCAGGCCTCGAAGTTACAAGGGGATAATCTCTGCGTATCAGGTCCAGTTCCTTTTCAAATTCCGAGTCTCTCAGTTCATCGGGTTTGAGGTACAGGATATTGTACTTTGATGGAGGGATATGCCATGGCATCAAGGCAAGCAGCAAGCAATCTGCAGATTTGTATCGGAGTGAAAGATCGAGGCGCTCGCACATATCCTTGTCAGTTGAAGGAAAGACTATCACCTCTGCAACGTGTCCGTAACTGGTCATGAAAGCACTTGAGATAATCTGGGAATCATTATTTAGATGAGAACGGTACGATAGCTTGATTGAACCCACCAGCCGTCTTCTCTCCAAGAATTTCATAAAAACTGCCAATGCATCCTTATCTCCTTCCGCACGCTGAGAAATTTTCGCAATCTGGTCCATTTTCTTTAGTCCTCGAAGTATTATGTTCAACTCTGGCTGTCGGTAAGCTTTACTGAATCGCAGCGAGTCTTTCGAGTCCAATACTTGGTTCAGTCTGAAACCGATTTCCGAAGTCTCGCACGGGTCGTGTATCGTGACATTACACAACTTTTCAGCAGCATTGCAAGTGTCGAAGAAGAGTTCTCCGGACCAGCTCCATTTCTTCGTAAATCTGAGGAGGAATTAAGGCTAGTTCAGAATTTTGAATAGAGCTTCGAGACTCTCACTTGACGTTCGGCGGGATCGCAGTGGTCGTCATTGTAGGGGTTGAAGCAAGGTTCCTTTATGTCCAAATGCAAATCAGCGAAAGAAGCTAGGAGCACTGTAAGAAACTCACTCTGGCTTCTGAGATCTCACCTGACTACACAGTTGAATCAGTTATTGGATGGATCACAACGGCAGATAAAGAAAGCTCTTACTCGAAGGTCAGCGTTGTCGCTAAGAAGTTGTCTGCATCTTCTAACGAAACCGGGGGATTGTCTGCAGGCGGAGCTGGAGTTGGAGTTGGAGTTGGAATGGATGGTCGAGGACGGGGCGGAAGACTAGTAAAGAAAAAAATTGAGGATATTACTTTACAGACATGAACAAGTGAGTGCACGACAAACAATTGTTTGGATGAATCAGTCGGGGGTTCCCTTGGGCTTGCAAGGGAATGTATGGATGATCGTGGAGTCGGTATTGAACCTCTCGGCTTGGGTATCGGAGGGGCATCACCTGGTGGTACCGTCGGTGAGTTCACGGGACTGGGTCGGGTTGCTTCGGCATGTTTCTTTGAGATTTTCATTCCCGAGTACTTGTTTGGCGCCGTAGAACTCGTCTGCAACGTCGGCCTTTGTGGAGGATTCACCTTCAGTTTTACTTTGGTCACTTTCGAAGGTGCCTGAACGGATATCATGAGCGCAAATCGAAACCGCTATGCTAGATGGAGCGCACCGGTGTAGGTCGACTTGCCTGTTTTACTTTAGGAACACTCTTCACCTGAACACTAAGTGGCACTGAGTCTGAATCTTCTGAATCACTCTGGATTCGGAGTGAGTAAAACTCGTCAAGATTCTAGGCTAACAATAAACTTACTGTAACGCGCGGAATCTGCTTCGAGACATCCGCTTGCTTGCCAGCTCTTGGCTTCGACATCGTCGGAGCGTCATCTTCTGAATCACTCTGGATACAATGTGAGTAAGACTCGCTAAGATTCTAGCTTCGAAATAAACGTACTCCGGCGTCCGGAAACAGCTTCAAAATATCTGCTTCTTTGGCAGCTCTCGATGTCGTCGGAGCATCACCTTCTTTGGTGACTTTTGGAACCTTGGTCTTCTTACTCTGCTCCTTTTCTTTTCGTTTCTGTACAATGTCAATGGATCAATTTCTTCCATGGGGAGATTATTAGGCTCACAGCAAGATTTGCGGCCTTTTCTGCCTCCATTTCTTTACGGAAATGTCTTCGTTCATTTTCTAAGGCAATACTAATAAGAGTCGCGCATATTTCTGGTAACAGCTAGCAACGGAGTCACGTACTTATCCATTGATCTGATGCTGAATATTCAGTACCTTGAGGACCTGGTTTTTTCTTGTTATGTTTTCCGACTTCTTTCCAGAAATTCTTTAGCAGGCGGGTGCATTCTGCAACATTTTCCTCTGGCTCCCACCTTTTTCAAAAAAAAAAACGCGTTGAATTATTGAAAGCCTTCCGGAGCCAATGTGTTAGGAATCTTAGGATACTCACGTGTCGTCATCAGAAGTATAGTCAAACCACTTTATTGAATGAGATAGTATCGAAACATAAGACATAAACTAAACACGCACTTTGACTCTGTACTCCTACGGTTTGATATTTCGTAAGTAAAGGTAGGTGCCTTTGTTATAACTGCAAGCAACGAAGGAAATTGACGTACAAATATTCCATAACCGGCGACTCTTGCTTTGGTAATGACCTCTAAACAATCATTCGGAATAGCAGCGCCGAGAGGATTCAGTCTACCTCGGGGAAGGAACTGTAGTGAAGGGTGGATTGAAACTGACCGACTAGGAAGTCCTGGTCACCGGGAGGTTCAGTGCTGTCATCGTCGGAAGCATCCAGATCATGCTTTCCCATGAGTGCGGAAGGGCAAGGAGGTTGAGCGGAGTGAAGGAGATGTCGCGTGAAGACGGAAGAATAAGTCGAAGTAAGAGCGGCGGCTGTCCGCGGCGGAGAGAAGCTTCAGGTTGATTACTTCGGGCAGTGCACGAACGCGAGACGCGGCAATCGTCTGTCCTCTCTGACTTTCTTATAGACTCTGCGCTCCTTTCGCCCTCTTTATTTCCGTCCTCCTCCTCGTACAATGCTTGCATCACTACGCAAAGTCAGCGGTAGAGCTGCTCGTCGAGTACGCATTCCTTGCATGTTTTTGCACCATCGAGTTAATTATCTTTCGACAGGCTGTGTCTGCAGGTCAGAAACGGTTCCTCTCCATTCATGAATACCAATCGGTCAACCTCCTCAACTCAGTTAGTCTCTAAATCTACTCATTTAATGAGTTTTATTGCTTATATGACCGCTTTCAATAGTTTGGGATTGCAACCCCGAAGAGCGTGGCAGCCAAATCACCAGAAGAGGCATTCGAGGTGGCGAAGAACTTCGGTAAGTAGTTCTCACCTCTTGAGTCCCGTACCCTTCATCTCATTCCGTACTTTAGGCACCAAGGACCTCGTAATCAAAGCTCAAGTCCTCGCTGGTGGTCGTGGAAAGGGTAAATTCGACAATGGACTGCAGGGTGGTGTCCACATCATCAACAGGTGCGCATCAATTCTACCAAGCTTCTAAGTGACCACTCATTTTGTCTACTCTACGTCCACAGCCCCGAACAAGCCAAGGACCTCGCAGGCAAAATGATCGGTTCAAAACTCATTACGAAGCAGACGGGCGAGAAAGGTCGGATATGCAACGCTGTAAGCCACTTCCATACTTCCTCGGACGTGGCATCTCATCCTGAGGCATTTTATTTTTAACTTTTCCTCCTCGCTATATTTTCATACATAGGTGATGCTCGCCGAGCGCCGCGACGCCGCACACGAATACTACATCGCAGTCCTAAATGACCGTGCCTCACAGGGGCCCGTCCTCGTCGCCTCTAACCAGGGAGGTATGAACATCGAGGAAGTCGCGGCGAAGGACCCGAACGCTATTATCACCACGCCGATTGACTATGCGAAGGGACTGAGTGACGAGGAAGCGTTGGGTGTTGCTAAGAAACTTGGGTTTAAGAGCGAGCAGGCGGAGAAGGAGGCTGCGAAGACGTTCCAGAATTTGTATAAGATCTTTAAGCAGAAGGACGCGACGCAGATTGAGATTAACCCGTTGGGTGAGACTGCGGACGGACATATTCTCTGGTAAGCAAAATCACATATCTTCAAGTTTCTATGAGTTTGATTTGATTTTTTGGAATCTGGATTAGCATGGACGCAAAGTTCGGCTTCGACGACAACGCATCCTTCCGCCAACAAGACATCTACGCACTCCGTGATATCAGCCAAGAAGAACCATCCGAAGTTGAAGCACAGAAACACGACTTGAACTTCATCAAGCTTGATGGTAACGTGGGCTGTCTCGTTAACGGTGCTGGTCTTGCAATGGCTACTATGGACGTGCTCAGCCTTCACGGTGGACAACCTGCTAACTTCCTTGATGTTGGAGGGTGAGTTATCTTTTCTTATATTGTTGTTGAGCTGCTGGTTTAATGTTTTGAAATAGAGGAGCTACACCTGAAACTGTGAAGAAAGCGTTCGAGATCCTGCTCGCTGACCCTGCCGTCAAGAGTATCTTCATAAATATTTTCGGAGGTATGTAATCATCACAGCCCTCCTCTACCAAATTTTCCGATTAATTGCGTGCTGATTTTGGAAAAGGTATCATGCGTTGCGACTACATCGCCGAAGGCGTTATCAAAGCGACCAAGGACCTCGCTCTCAACGTCCCTCTGATTGTCCGATTGAAGGGTACGAAGGAAGCTGAGGCTAAGCAGTAAGGATTTACCTTTCTTTACATTTACATACACTACGACTGCAACTAATTTATAATGTTTGTTGTTCAAGACTCATCAAAGACTCCGGTCTCAAGATCTTCGCCTTTGATGGATTAGACGAGGCAGCGGAACAAGCCGTCCAAGCTGCCCACGCTTAGCTTACACATTCTCTGTATACGTTCCGTATAAATTTCGCGTAATTTACTAGACGAGCTTTTTTCTTTCTCAAACCAGTCCTGGGCGTATGTTGCTTTTTCTTTGACGATGATACGAAAATTCCGCATTGCGCGATAGCAAGAATCAGCTCAAAGTCAATCAAATTCAATGAGTTTGTGAGTGAGAAAAGGGGGGGGGGGGGAAGAGGGAAAGAGACTGTCTCGATTGAATTTTTTTGCTGAATTGCTAGATATATTGTCTTTTCAATATGCTGACTGACAAGATCCAGTCTTACCAGGTTGGGTCGTCGGGCACATCTAGACTAACAGAATTAAAGAGGTAGAACCAACGAGCACGCATCTCGTGGATGATGAATAGGGAAGGGAAATGCGCGTGACGATCGCTGATATCTGATATCGAGAACGATCATCTTACCATGGAACTGTTGAAGTCTTGAAGAGTGCGTGTACCAGACCAGAGAAGTTGACGAGTACAAACTTGCGAATCTGTCAAGTTAATACTCGTCAACTTCTCTCGTCGTGAACACTCAGCTCAAAAGGCAGTGATCATTGATGGAAATAAAGTTATAAACTTACCCCAGGACAAAAATCGAATAAAGAAATCATAGTTTTTCAAATGCAAGGCGATGGTCAGTGGTCACCACATCACACTTTTGTGCAGAGTCTGACAAGGCAATATATGTACATGTAGACAATACAATCGAACATAAGGACCCACAATATACAAAAAATATATGTCTTAGCAATATATTCCAATACATTTTCGTGTTTGTTTTTGTGATGGCCCATACATAAATAAGCAGGCTATCACTCAGTTCTGAGTTCATGTTGTGGACAATAATATTTTGTTTAGCCTGCCTGCAGAAGG